TCGTCGGTTCCCTATCCACCCTCGACCCGCACAGAATCAAACACCCGGAATCATAACCCCCGATATCCCCCCTTCCAATGTTGCAGAGCGATTGGAAGCCTTTTTCCCATTTGATCCCATGTCTTTACCGGTTTCCAAACGTTTTATTGACGGGCTGTATCAGGAATGGGAAAATGATGAAGATGATGCGAGCGACGGTGACGATGATGATGAGGAAGAGGAAGAGGATGACGATCGTGCTTTGGGTGTGGCCATTCAGGGATCGAGAGATGAGGATGAGGATGTGGATATGATGAGTACATCGTTTGAGGGATTTCGGATGTGAGAGGTGTATTCTTCACTTGGATGTGTAGTTTTTCTTTTTTGTACATTTTTGAGGAGGGTTGTTTTGAGGGGATAGATGGAAGCGTCGTCATTGTTGGTCTTTTTGTTTATATCTTACAGTAAAAATGATAGCTTATTTTCACGTATGTTTTTTGCTGCCTTTATTGACGTTTATTAATGGCATCATCATGTTAATGGCATTGATGATGCCTATACGAGGTGGATCTCTGAACGGGAAAAAATACGCAAGGTGACCTGGACATGCGCTGACGGGGAATCGAACCCCGGGCGTAAGCTTGGGAAGCTCACATGTTGCCACTACACCATCAGCGCGTTTTTGATTACTCACTACCGTCTCAAATTAATATATTTGTTTTATTTCGGTAGATTGCACAATGCATTACGCCCAGCGGATCTTTTCGCTGTACAAGAACGTACTTTTGCGCTTCATAAACAAAAGATATTTCTCAAAATTTGCCGCTAATCGCCCTATTGCAGTCCTCTAATGCATATTAGCTTTGTGGCATAAGACCAGTCGTCAGACCACCTCGTACCGACCGCGGTCCGCCAAGATGACAAAAGAATGAGGCCATATGCAAACTACGTATCATTGACGTCTTCCAAAACGACTTTGAGTCAGCGTTTTTAACGAGGTATAAAACTCTTGAAATTGCCATATAAAATGGAACACTATTCCACATTCCCCACCAACGCACTTCAAGTGCACATAAATCAAGAATTTTTAACAAAGTAACTCCAACGGTACGATGCACACACATGTCCCAGCTCACACTGCCATATCAAAAAAAAGAAAATGTACAAAAGAAATCCTCCAAAGAACATTTCCGCGCGAAAAGCATGCGTCTCCACTCTGCATAATTAGAAAGGGATAAAGAAAAAGATTGTACACAAAATGAACGACGGTATTGCAAAAATTTGTGGACGAGTGGATTTTGGATTGGTCGCTGGCTTTTCTTTACGGTAAGTGAACTTAGTAGGATTGAGCCACTGGTACCATGGGTGCTACGCCGACGGGAGGCATGGGGCTCATTCCTACTGGGGGATGGTGCGAGGGTGGGAGGGGCGTTGCGTTTAGGTGAGCGGGGTCCATGTGCTGACCTGGATTGTGTAGGTGGGCAGTGAACTATGGCAAAAAGAAAATTGGAGGATAAGAGTCGAGTATAAAAGAAAATTGCAGGTTTGGTAAATCTTACCTGAGACGACGTTGAAATGTACTGCTGAATGACATTACAGCTACAGTTTCGATGCAAGAGCAGCTGGTTCTTCAACATCATGACTTCCTCCTTCAGCTGGGTAACAATCATTTGGAGCTGTCGGTTTTTGGCAGATGCATCTGTTGACCTGTTTTCAAGGTCTTGTAGCCACTGCTTCTTTTTCATTCGGCATTTGGACGCTATACAAATGTCATGTGTGAGGACAGTCTCCTTGGATGCGTGATTGCGTGTAATTATTTGCTTACCAGCTAACCGATTCCTTTCAAGGAACCGCTTTCGCTTTTCATCTTGTTCTTCTTCTGTTGGTGGGCCGCCTTTTCGCTTGCCGTTTCGGGGAGGGGATGACTTGCGAGGTTCATCAGATTCTGAAGTGGTGGTACTGATTGCAGAGTCTCTCCGGTTGTCGCGCTGAAGCTTGTGGTTTGGAGCGACCGGCTCTTCTCGATGAACTTTTAGTGCTTGTGGATCCACTATGGTGGGCATTGTGTCCAATTGCGGCATGTGCGGCATTTGCTGTAATTCCTGCGGATGTACGTGCATCGGGTATGCAGATGCAGGCGCTGACATTGGTATCGACATTGGTTCCATACTAACGTACATGTGTACATGAGGATCTACTCCTAGAGCAGCGGGAGCAACGACCGGTGGAATGGTGGTTGCATGGATATCAACGGGAGATCCAGACCCGATGGTCGTGTCCATGGGTGTGGGTATGTGTAAAGGTTGCACTGAGGTGCGTTTCTGGATGGTGAGAGGTGTGGACGATGCAAGCGCCTGCCATGAAGAAGGAGGCATTGTCGAGGATGGGATCGATTCCGTTGTTGCGTCGCCAAGAACTCCTGAAGCTTCCATCTTTTCTTTAAAGCTGTTTTCAAAAGGATTGAAATCGCCGGAGCAATAGCGTGTGATGATGCCTGGGGTTTTGATATGTTCGTTAACCAAATCATTGATAGAAACGAGCCGGTAGCTAAACGGCGACGATGGCATGGCCAAAGACAAAACAAAAAATGTACCTGGCGTAAACTTGAACTCTGAACACTCTTGTAGGAACCGCGTCGGCGTTGCAATGGCGGGGTCTGCAGACAAATCAAGCAAAAAAAAGGGATGAAGGTCAGAATGGTTTTTTTTTCGCAACGTCATAAAATCGGATATATCTCTACACAGCGTCCGTTGCCCTCCTTTTTGGCAAAAAAAAGCCCAGGCAGGAAATACTGACCGTCCATCAGGGAAATTTCTGGCTGCTGCATCAAAAGCGTTGGCGTTGGCAGCGTATCGCTCATGAAAACCATAGCAGACGACATGGTAAAGAAAAAAAAAAGGGGAGACAGCAGCAGCGGCGGGGCGATGGCGGATAGGGGAGGCGACAGGCCAACACGTAGGAATGACCTCACACGAGCTAGTTTAACACAAAAAAAGGAAACAGAGAGATATGCGAACAAAGGGCAAGTGCGATCGGTATTCTTGTTCAAAAATAAAAATGGGTGGGTAAAGGGCGGCGAACGTTAGGAGGAAGGACGGGGGGGGGGGGGGGAAAGAAGAGAGTTGCTCGCAATAAAAACCAACTGCGGATGGAAATTAAGCGAAATTCCATACAAAAAAACCCAAGTTTTCCCTTGTCGCCGTACCCTCCTTTTCCTTCTCTTGCTTTCCATTCAATCGTCCTTTCCAACGATCCCTTTGCGCAGCGCCAGTCGGGATACAAGCCACATTTCATACTATAGATACAACTTTCTCTCGTTTGATGTCATTATGATGTCATTCGTATTACACTCCTATCACGTTACAAGGCTTGAAGATTATCTCAGCGCGTCATGGTACGGGCCTTGAAGAATCTTTCAGGTTTTTCTTTAGTGCAAGTTCAACAAACTTTGTAAACTGCAGTGTGAGCCTCATCAGGTCGGGTGCAGGGCTCGTGGGTGGAAGGGAATAAAGGTTGGGTGCAAAAGTGCGGACTTTAAAATTGTGTTAATAGAGACACATATTTTTTTTTCTTGGCAAACGCAAACTTACCCAGCGATAAGACGGAGACATTGTTGGTTTCTTGGCCACTGGTTCGAAGGACGACTGCTATCAAGTCCAGACACCATAAAAGCAGATCGCGCTTGTCTCTTGGCAAATCGTTGGTGATGATCTGCCAACAGGAATCTTCCGTCATGTCAACAGGGAGAGTGATATCGCTCGCGAGAACGTTGGGGAGGGTCCGGAGGTAATGCTATACAGAAACAATATTTTGAGATCACTTCTGCCACTGTGTTCCATTTTTCTTGGCGCATGTATACGTTACTTTGATGCATGTGGCGGGTACAAGCGCATCTGTCGTGGTAAGCTCTTCGCAGTGGTCAAGCTGGTATAGATTGATTTCTACTTCCACATCGGGTGCACTTTCCCGAAAGATGTTGGGTGTTGTCAAACCTTCAAGTGACACGAGCTGGTGGCGGAGTCTCTGAAGTAATCGAGGGATTCTTATGAGGATGGGTATGCTAACCATTTCAGATGCCCGCTCGTGTAATGGAATTCCATCCTAGCAAAATAACAGCGTTCTACCTGTGTGGACGCCCGTTGATAACCTCATCCTCTACCAACCCATCATCCTCCTCGACATCGTCCTCATCATGGACAGCTATTTCAGGTAGCGAATCTGCAGCAAAGTCTGGAAATTCTAGCGATAATGGTGTAATGTATGGAAGTTGCGGCAATTCCTTATCCAGTCTGTCCAAACTGATCCTTGTCTCGTCGTCTCCGCCGTTTGGGCTTGTTATTGGATGTTCACGCCGCTTGGCACTTTTTGGCGGTGACTCAGACAGGTCCTTGGATTTTTCCTGGACAGGTATGTGCGTGGGAGGTCTGGGGAAGTGGGACAAGAGGGCAGTGACAGCTGGATTACTGCTACGTGTCATGGCGTCGATCTCTTGTATGAAGGTTGAGGGTTCAACTGACCGATCAAAAAGAAGAGTGATAGACTAAATATACCCGTGCTTTTATTTAGCATTGGCTTGCGCTGGATAGCAGAGTCCGCCAACCGACGTGTTTCAATTACGTAATATAATGTCACGTGCATAGTTGCTGGGATCAAGGTTCCAGCACTTTGTTGAACAAACTATTGGGCTTGTCACTCTCCGTGACCCAGTGCAACTGCATAGGGTTGTTGTTGCTGTATACGTAGTGATGCAGGATGAGTATATGGTCTTCAGCCTAGAACGAGACTAGACAGCCAGATTATTCCGTCTCCCGCGTAGTGCCTGAACGTTGGGCTGAACTCGCAAGCATTGCTTACAACCATAAGCGGGTTTAACTGCAGTGTAACTTTTGCAGACTAACACAACAACTTGCTACGCATGCTCGACAAGCCCTGGTGACTTGGAAGAACAGTCTAGCAAATACAAGCATAGCCGCAGTCACTAAAGCGGAACATTCAGCAAACCAATCGAACTGTAATCAAACTTTTTTACAGGCATTCAATTCGATAAAAAGTCCACATTCTCACATGCAATGGGCGCGAGAGCAGTTCCAGAATTGTGGTTATAAGCATCCACGAAGATGTCCTTATCCGATCTGCAGAGATAAGATGGAATAATTTTATATTATGATGTTGGCTTTCTCGCGGCCGCCCGGAATCTGTTCCATAACAATTTTCGCAGAATGTCTGCACCGTCCTTGCCAGCAAACGCCATTACCCAACGAACCCGCAGAGCAAATTGGTCCTTTTCGCCCGTTCCCGACATCTCCACCCCCTCCAAGTGGATCAATGTTGAAAATGTCTTGATGTGGCCAATTAAAGCCCCAACTCAAATTAATCCAACCAAACATTGCAACATTGTCCTGTCAGCATTTTTCATTCGTGTATTATCAGCGACCTCTACATCCCTTCATCATCAATATACAAAGGGCATCGTCCGGTGCCGTAAGTGATCAACCACGTATATCATACACTGTCATCTGAAAAAAAAAGAATTCACGGTCAGCAAAAGGGTACCCGAGCAGACAAATTGCAACTTTTAAATAACTCACCGTGGAAGGCCCATGTTGTACTCTTTGGACTCTTCTTCGCGGTCAATATATACATTGCATTATCTGGAGGTCGCTCCTGAACATCCGTGACCCAATTTTAATAGCTGATATGCAAACGATTACAATAACCGCCGCACCCACCTTTTTCGTTGCACTGCTCAACATGCTCAAAATTGATAGGCATACTGAGCTTATAGTAAGCGCAGGTGACCACTGGTCGTAAAGGATGGACAAGCAGATATGGCCATTGCTATATATCTGTCGTGCAATTGACTTTAGCACCGAATGGGCACGAGAATCCTCATGCCGCTAAAGACATACGTGTGGATGTATCGGCACGTTATCTACAAATACCACCTAAAGTACAAAGGAAGTGGAGTGTAAGTGAAGAGTTGCGCTGGTAAGCCTCCTAAGGACGTTGCATGTACCTCTGGCGACTCAAGTGGGTAATTGTTGTTGAACTTGAACTATACATAGCAATATATCCATTATTAGGTCGAGCATTGTCTCTTCACTCCAACGATCAACCATCCATTCCCAACCTACCTGTAAAACAAATGTCTCTCCTTCATATAGTGTCCCCTCTGCCCCTCGGACCGTTACCCGCCAGCTGACATCGAGCAAGTTCTTGCATAAGGTCTCTGATAAACAGTATCGAAAAAAACAATAGATCTCACGAACCATTTGAGATCATCCTCAGCCGTTTGAACAGTTATTCCCATTGGTGGGTTGGCTTGTAAATCCCGCAACTCTTTTGTCAGTCGTTTTGTGAAAATGCTTGACATGGCTAACCGATGCGAGACGTGACTGTGTGGGATGATTGTGCGAATGACGAACTCCAGGCTCTGTTATTCTCGATGAAAGGCGCTTATTACGCAGACCTCTCCTTTCCTCCACTGATGGCGGTTATCTGTTGGCAGTGGTTGCAGCTGTCCAAACAGAAGATTGGGCGTTTGGGTCCAAGTTAATTGAATGAGTCATGAGTAACCTGGTAGCGTAAGCAGGTTGTCTGCAAGGCAAAAGGTAGCAAGCAAAGCTCTTCGAAGTTGGATATTCATTTGAGGATCATCTTGTTTTTCTTGTTTTCCTAAAGAAATATGATCATTGATTCTGCCATGTACGTAACATATAAAACCGTACTGAGTTGGAGAGTACGATAGTAGTCCTATGGAAGGTATCCTACTCTGGATGTGCAGTCTAATGCAGGCGGGGTTTAAAATTTAAGTATGAAATTATGGATTATATAAATGATCGGAGATTTTCAAATTGGGGCAATCCTCTCCGGATTCATCTTGTCCAGCTTCGATCACGTCCTTTGATCAAGACTAGCAAGCTTTCCTTTACTCCTTGTGTGTCGTGCGAAAACCATGAGAGACCCGGTTTTGCACCAGCTGCAACACAAACTGCCATTTTTGCCGGGTTTTCAGTTTGATTTGGACAAGGTACAGTTCCAGTTGACTGTGCTTTTGGAGCGCATACGGTATTTTTCCTCTCGAGAGTGAAATGTGAGCAAAACCTTGTGCAATATTTATCTTAACTTTGCGTATTCTATTCCATCCACAGGACCTGCCAAATCAACGTAAATCTCACGCATTCGACTACAGCAATGGAGTAGCGGTCTTCAAGGAAGCCCCGGGGATTGGTAAAAACATTGATAATAACGCAGTTGGTCCTTTTGCGACCAAAGGTTGAATCGTTCCTTTTTTCATAGGCGGTATCCCCATTCACGGACAGGAACGAAGCAAGATTCACACATCTGTCGAGTTATATCCGCATAGCGATAATGCCGGGGAGGGAGTACCTGCTTGGGTTGCGTTTGATCGAAAGGTGGGTCGTGCGGTGTACTCACAGACAGCAGGGAATTACTGCTCAATCTTGGCGACATGATTGATGTGAGAAACGTACCAGTACAACATCTGGCTAACCCAAGTTATCTCTCATGTGGTCAGGTTCTCCGCTTCTATGCATACTTTCAAGAAGCGGTTCACGAAAGACGAGAGGAGCAGTACCGTGTGCGAAAGTACGTTCATATTCCCTCCTACCGTTTGCAGCATCGCTGATCTGAGCATGTTCGCTCCACGTCAGGGTGAACATTTATTTTTACCTTGAAGACGACTCCGTTCACGTTAGCGAGCCAAAAACCGTAAACAGCGGCATCCCACAAGGTTGGATATGGAAAATGTGTTTTCTTCTTCCTGCTTAACCATTAGATGACTGATTTGTCTCGGTCACTAGGTACATTAATTCGTCGACATCGGATTCCAAAACCCGAATCCGAAGTTGGACAGCACTACACTGTGGCAGATTTCAATGTTGGAAAGGAGGTTACATTCTATGCTAGGACGTTCAAGATTGTTGGTTGTGACAAGTTTACCGAGGTGAGTGACAAATTTCCCTTGGTTAAGTACGAACAAGATTCTCATCAAGACATCTTTTTGCAACAGGATTTCCTTCACTCACTCAACATAAACGTACCCGAAAATGGCACTTTTCCGGTGGATCCCTACACCGCACATCGTGACGAGCTCAAATCCCGTATGCGAGCAACTCGCCCCCGTCCACCTCAGACATCCCTCAAAAAGTTCCTTGAGAACGATCGTCGGGTCCTCCGCTTCTACTGCGTCTGGGATGACACCAACAGCGTGTTTGGCGATCTGCGTCAAATGGTGGTTCACTACTACCTGTCCGATGATACGATCGAGATTCGTGAACATATCCCTGCGAATGCCGGGCGAGATTCAAACACCCTTTTCTTACGTCGGAGTAAATTACCCAAAAGAATGCGACACTTTTTGTACGGACATAACAATGAATCGAGTGATGGCGAGTATTTTAACGAACGGGATTTCATGATTGGAGCCGTGTTGCATTTGTATGGCCGTCCATTTGTGGTTTGCGATTGTGATGATTTTACCAAGGACTATTACTATGAAAAGTATGGAGTGGAGACTTTTGACCCCGTTCGTATTGAAGACTATGAACAACATGACTCTGACGTGGCGGCTTCCGAAATCCCCCAAAATGTGGTGCAGGGCAATTACGAACTTTTGCTCCCACCCTCACCCTTGACACCAGCCGCGGTTGGTCAAGCCAATGCTCCAATGCCCACAACCGCTGTGCCCATGATCGGGGCCTCTGTACCGCCCAAAAAAGACTTCAGAAAACTCATGCTTTACGACGGTGTCGTTCTCCGGTTCTCGGCTGTTCTCCGCGCAACAAAACAGGTGGATCGTGATCGACGTTTTGTGGTGTCATTCTATGTTGCAGATGATACTGTCAGTGTCTTTGAGCCAAAGGCGCGAAATACTGGTATTGTAGGGGGCAAGTTCTTGGAAAAACAGAGAATTAGGAAGCCAGATGGCGTTGGATTCTACGCAGCAGAAGACTTTCATATTGGTACGTTTGAAGCATTTGTTTTTATCAATCTATTCAGCAGCAGAGAGCCCTAAAATGAACTTTCAGGTGCCGAACTTGTCTTCTTCCACCATCCCTTCATCTTGACGGATGCGGACGAATACGCGCTGAAATTCATGCAAAGCCACCCAGAATTATTCCCGAAGCAACGTCCGGCGGATCTGGGAACTATCGCACAACAGCCTTCGAACATCAAACCGCCTACACCTGCACCCACCTTACATAAATGGCAGGAAGACGTGCTGGCACAGGACAAACCTTTGCCTGCTCCTGTTACACCACCTCGCAGCGCCGAGGGGATTAAGAAGCGTGTGACAATTGTAGAATCGCATGACCCACCCACAGAAAAGCGCGAACCGGAAAGTTTGGTGCCAAGATCGGAAACAAATGTGCACTATGCACCTGCTGGTGCGAACAATTACAGTGCAACTCGGATGTTAGATAATGTACGAGCGTCAGCTGCTGCTACAGTGTCAGCCCAGTAAGTTGAATTCAGAAGCACTTCAAGGAGGTCGTAATCTCTGTCGGGTGCTACAGTCGAGGAAGCCACTCAAGGATTTCACGGAGGAAGAATTTAATATACCAACGGGAAAGTGGTACCTTTTTTGGATGTTGTAAAGACAGTCAACGTAACAGAGAAAGCCATTATATCGGAATCTAACGTGAAGCCACGCCGTTCATAAAATTCAAACACAGGAGATAGAGCGCTCCAAAATGCCTTCACCGAAATGTTCATAGATATTCATAATAAATCGCTACCAAATGGGCCGTGGTAGGTGGCGGAAGCTATCCATGATGGATGCGGTCTGATGGAATTTTTTCGCGTTAGCAAGTCCACTTGACTTTTGGACAACGATGCCAAACATTACATGTTCACAGTCCGACTCTTCTCTAATCATCTCTGCCTCGGGTAGCCATTCAGTAATCTTCTGTATCCGTTTCTCTAATATCCATCCCATCGTCAGATATGTCCTCGTAATTTAGTACCAATCCCAAGTCAACTCACCCGGGCTGGGATGTGTACTGACATACTCGAGCAACTTTGAGCTCCTCTGAGCCTCCTTCATGCGCTAGAAAGTTGACAGATTGTGAGATAGCGTCAATTAATGTGTTAATCATGATGCTTCATATGTACCTCCCATAAACCCACTGCCGCCACCGGGTCATAGCAGGCCTGCGCCATGAGCCTCAGTCCTACAATGGTGGGGCAATTAGTGAGGTTGTGTACAGCTTCATAGGACCGAATTGTCCGTACCAATGTAGTCTGCTTCCGACTCCATTTTGCGGGAGAAAGGCATCAAGATGCCAAGCTCTAGGAACAAACGACTAAAGAGCATCCCCGGGTCAAAAATGTACGCCATGAGCAGTTGCGCTACAATCAATATTTTAGCCCAAGAGAGCTTTTCAGCGGAATGGCGTGCAATTTGGTGTGCAATCTGAAAAGTCGGACAGAGTGATGAGCGATGGATATTGCCACTCTATTTCCAAAGATGAGACTCACTTCGTGCCCAAGTACTGCGGCCATGCCGTTTTCGTCCTCTACAATGGGAATCAGGCCGGTGAAGACAAAGATTTTTCCGCCTGCATCATACACATCTTAGACTTTGGATGTATAAAGAGTGTGACGATCTCAGAGAGATAACCTGGTAAAACAAAAGCGTTCTTCTGCGGGTCTTCAATGACGTACACTTCCCAGTGGAGATTACTCATTCCAGTCACTTGAAAGACAGATAGGTGCAGCTCTTAGTCGATTGCCGTTTGGTCACTTGCGTGGATGTGCGCCTACCCTTAATTAATCTCTCCGCTACCCGGCGCACAAAAAGGGAATACGGATGCCAAGATGGTAATATTTTCGGACCATACTGAGCCATCACTTGCTGAAATGCCTGGACAGCAGAACATTCATCGCTTTATTCAATACCAATACCAATCATAAATCGACCGATCTGCACGAGAGGGGTTCCTACCTGCTTGGCCATCATCTTTTCTTGTTGAGGAGTCACATCAATGAATCTTTTTCGGCCTGCCATATCGTGATGAGCCTACTCTATTATCTTTAAAATTGACATATTCTCGAGTCTCACCTGTTATGGGGACTGTTTCCAGATGGCTTCAATCGATAATCAGGACCATTCCCTTGCACGCACTCTGCAACGAAACTGGTGGTACCTGACATAATACGCTCCAAAAAGACCTCCACCTGCTGCAGTCCACATTAAAAATGTCTTATTTTGCCAAAAGGGTGGGGGCTCTGAATGTGAATGGTGATATATATCAAATGTCCATAAACTTGAAATATGCTGTTGCAGCTAGAACCTACGTTGTTTAAAGTACTCATATTCTTGATCTCGCCGGCCCCGCCACTCTGGACCGGGTTGAATTATTATGCGTTGCCCTCTAGAATGCGTTGCTGTGAATGCTCGAAGCTGTATGTTTTGCACATTGCGTTTGGGCGGGCAGGTGAAAGGGGAGGTTCTGAATGCTGGAGATAGTTGCGGCTGGCGCGCAAATGTCCGCGTGCTGCCTGGAAAACGCAACAGGAATGACCTGCACGACATGACAAGACAAGTGTTTCCTTGATGTAAAGCTGGGACGTACAGAGGAAGCATTCACAACGCGCGCGATCGTTGAACCATTTTGATGACTCAAGCGATCGGAAGTGACGTTCTATGATCTGCTTCCACCAACGGTCCCATTGATCTGCACTTGACGATCCTTAACGACAATGGCGTCTGGAATAATACACTGGATGTCTTCTCAAGGAGAGACGGGACGCTGGCAAGCCAGGGCATGACATTGCCCTGGAGACTTTTTCCAGTGAGCTGCACTGTCCAATAGCCGGACAACCTTTATGATATGCAATAATTATGGTATTTTGAGGTTCTGGTGGGCATCAAAACAAACCCAACGTTCTAAATGTTCGGGAGAATGACTGACGACACCTCCTGTCCCTCTTCTGGGTGGCAAGCTACACCCAGCGCGACATCACAAGCAAAACCGGTGTTTCCAAGTCCAGAATCTCCTCAGGGTGAAGAAGAAAGTCTCTACAGTAATGTATTCAGTCTGTTGAGCTTTGACAAATTGTTAAAGGCATCATCGGAGACTGGACTTTGGAACACCGCGCTTGTGCGGGCATTGGATGCCACAAACCTACGCACCACCCTAGCAATGCCAGTCGACTGCAGTGCCGTTTACTAGTGTGCAAACTGCAGTGCGTCGAAACTGGCCCTGTGGTCGCGTTCAAATGGTTACGAGGAGAAAGTAAAATGGGAAACATTTCAAAAAGAAATTCAACTTGGTTAAAAGGATGCTGTTGCTATGGCGATCATTGACCAATGGGAAAAGGCCTTCACGTGAATCATATCGAACCAATGTATCCGGTACACCAAGTTGATGAGTTGTGCATTCACAGTGGTAATAAAAAGGCCAGCATACATAGAAAATCATTTGAGCTGGTGAGGTGGAACAGCATTGTGTCTGCCGTTAATGCACATCCAGCAAAACATGTAGCGCATGAATCACATTGCCTGAAGGTGGACGGCAATGAGTAAGAAGCGATGGCAGAGACGAAAAGCAAGGACAGGGTTGCTTAGGGTTATGCAATGAGATTCTCGCTTTGTTTGACGTGGGGGTTGAACTGCCTTGTTATTGGCATCGTTTCATATTCGTGACACTCGTCGTTGACCGTTCAACACTTTCTCCTTTGAAGATTTCGTAGTCCTTATCTGATTTTCCTCAGCACGTAAAGATGCAGGCACAGTCAGCGTTGTAGCGGTACGGTGACTTGTCGTTGGTGACGTGTAATACGATCCGTGACGGCTGGGAAGGCGGGAGACACAAGACCCTTCTAAAATCTAGGAACATTCTACTCCAAGCCCTTATGGAACATTCTAAAAAGATGTAATGTTGGCGTTTTGGCCTTGAGACCAAAGTTATAAGGCTAGCGAGCAGGTCTTCAACGACCGCTTATCAACCGACAATGGGCTATTTTGAGAATCTTTTGGGGTTTGGTGATGCGCAACAGCGCAACCAGGAAGTATACAATACCGAGCGTGTTGAACACCATCACAAGAGTTCCTGGTCGCATGAGAGTATGCGACGTGCTTTCGATTTGTAAGCGAAAAAGTCACATATTCTAACATTATAAACCTTCAAGTCATTGCAGGCGCTGCCGGGTATGAAGCTATGAAATCGTACGAGCGCCACTGTGCGGCGAATGGACAGCCCCAGTCGCATAGCCAGATGAAGGAGATTCTTGCAGGGCTAGCAGCCGCAGAAGTGGACAAGTTGTTTGAAACCAAAGGACTGGATTGGCTTGATCGTGACAGAGCGAAACAGCAAGCGATTGCACAAGCCCATAGGGTAATGAAAAGTTAGGTCGCCGCACTCTCGTTCGTGTCGCTCACTTTTGACAATAGTTGGCGGATGAGCAATATGGGCAAGGAAACGTCGCCCCGACGGGTGCTTTTCAAGGCGGATATGGCGGTCAAGGTGGATATGGTGGCGGTCAAGGTGGATATGGTGGCGGTCAAGGTGGATATGGTGGCGGTCAAGGCGGATATGGCGGAGGTCAAGGCGGATATGGTGGCGGTCAAGGTGGATATGGTGGCGGTCAAGGCGGATATGGTGGCGGTCAAGGTGGATATGGTGGCGGTCAAGGCGGATATGGCGGAGGTCAAGGCGGATATGGCGGAGGTCAAGGCGGATATGGCGGAGGTCAAGGCGGATATGGCGGAGGTCAAGGTGAATATGGCGGTCAAGGCGGATATGGCGGTGGATATGTAAGTTCCTCGCATTTTATATGGTCAATACATGGTTAGCTAATGGACGGAACAGTGATAGGTGATAGGGAGCGCCGATTCACCACCATCGAGGTCAATAGTATAGGGACCTGACAAAAAGGGTGAAAAAGCTATTTCTAACATGAATTCAAACGGAATCGGCTGATGATGCTATAGCTAAACACATTCTTGCACGCTTAAGTGCAAATATAAATATTCTCCCTATCCGTCTCAGTAGCTTTGCTCATATTCTTAATTAAAATTGTCTACAAAGTTAGTTGTATCGAAGGTATACTCACTGTGCATCTTGTCTTTTGCCTGTACAGTGGGGAAATCGCCAAGAAACTCATATTACACGAGCGCCGTGGTGGTAAATCATGATCGCGTTTCAATGTGGGAGACAAAGGTACAGAGAAAGTCACGAACCATAACAAAGATCTCCGTTCACAAGACGAGTACAAAAGGTCTACACGTAGAGACAGGTATACATGAGGTCTATACAGCGGGATTAGATGAACCAGCCATTATCCCCGCGGCGTGAAGTCGTCTCAGGTGCTCAACAAATTATGTTCAGTACGAGACCGTCGCTGGGCAGCTGTCTGAACCCGAGAAAGAGGCACCCGCCACACCTCCAGTGGCGGTCGCGTACACGCCAATGTACACCTCCGTGAGGGTTTTACCCTTGCACTTGAAGTACATCTTCATGTTCGGGTAAGTCTTGGTAATCGCGCTACGCAATTGAGTCAAAGAGTAGCTGCCACCAGGGTTGATGCCGGCGTTGCTGAGGGCGGTACCAATGTTAAACTTGTTGCGCAAGTTCAAACCGTAACGGAAGTAGGTCGTAAGATCCTGCCCTTGCTTAAAGTTGGGGAAGCACTAGAAACACGGCTCAATATGGTATCCAATGACGGAATCCTCTGGGAATACTTACAGAGACATCCGCCGGCGAGTAGCAGGAACCGTGCTTTTCCCACTCGTGGGTCCAGAAATCATTGTTGTCACCAGTGTAACTAGGCCAGAATTGCTTCATTTGGTTATAAACCGAGCTGTCGTAGCTTTGAACCAAACCCGCAACATTGGAGTAGGAAACGTCGGAACACGACCCAGTCTGGATAGAGAGAAAGTTGAGACATGTATCTTCTACTAATCATCCGATATATAATGACAAGTGGGCCTACCTGTTGGCCACTGCAGGTGTCAGGCCATGCACCGTGGATGGTCCAGTAGTTCGGCGGAGTAATTCGGCAGCTTGAAGACGCACAATATCCTTTCAGCCACTGCTGGGCAAAAACGATGATACCGTTTTCGGGAATGCAGCAGCTATCGGGAGATGGAGATTGAGCGCTGCATGCGCGAGCATTAGCGTCGCAAACCGCCGCACGCGGGGCGAGCGGATTAAAAGGCAAGGCAGCCGCGTTAACGCTGGATGCGACCAGAAGCACAAGAGCGACAGCGCCTTGCATAGAGTGCATGATGAGGTTCAGAAAAGGATTTGCGAAGGTGCCAATGCGTGGATTATGACAGTAGCTATGCCATTTTATACTTGCGAATCATGATAAAATCGCTGTCACTGCGATTAGCGCCCAAAACGAACGATAATGCAAATCAATTTGTCCCAACATTCTCGACTCTGATCTCGTATCACCTTCGCATTGTACAGTCGTAGGTCAAGAAATTAAAGGTCATGGAAATTGTACGGTTGCGCATATATTCCTGCCCTTCCTTTCCTGGATGATTTAGAGAGCAGATCTTTTGTTTGCGCGTGCCAGCAGACTTGCACGTTGCCTTCCACTCGCGGCGCGCCTTCTCCGGAGTGCGTGCGGTGTGCCCTGAAATGTGGTCTCAAAAAGTGAGATCACTTTGCCCACGTTTCCTCGTCCGTCCTGCACACCAGCCATACGGCGCAAGAAAAGGTGATCGGACGGGCTTAGGAAATTAGATTCAAAAGGCATTAAAAGTTGTTCACCAACCTGGTGGATGACAAAATTGTACCAAGGTGCCGGCGGCTCCGTGAGATCGTGGGGTATCTCCAAAGTCACGTGTACTTGACCACACAGGCACCGTCAACTCGACGCCAGTAGCCGGAACTAGCTCTGAATATTTTTCTGGAAAATAGGAGGATGATGTCCACCAAAGCATGGACGGACAATCGATTACATAAACCTAGTGAACTACCTCGTGTGTAATCTATCTAGACTTCTGCCAAGACCGTCTCACGCACTCTCCTGGCTACATCTTGCCCAACGACCCCGTGAACTTGCTCGAGGGTCGCCCGTGCTTGGACCAACCCACTCATATTTTTCACACCTCCAATCAAGCCAACCAACACCTTTTGTCCCACTGCCTTTTCAGTTAAGACCACTTGCACAGCCTCGTCAACTTGACCGAGCCGCACCAATGCCTCGACCAAAGACGACACCTGGTTTTCGGTTATATCATACTTGAGTGCTTGTGCACGTGTTTGAATCTCTCGCCAGGCCTCTTGCAGGTCAGCATGTGTAGAGTGACGGCCGAGAGCGTCTAGGTAAACACATGCAGCTGCTTCCGGTATTTGCGCTCTGTGCAGAGGAAGGGGCTTTGCTGTCGGCTCGGCGGGTTTTTGGCTCTTTGCACGCTCAGAAGAACGTGGTTCCGGCAGCTTGGAGTTCGCGCCGTTGGGACTCTGCGCCATATTCCCATTTCGTCCTGGCCATGATCGATTCAGAATCCATGACCAACACTCCCGGACACCTTCCAAATTCTTGGCCCTTTCTCTCGCATCCATCAAAGCAACAACATGCTCTTCTCCGACAGCTACTCCCCTCGCCGTCATTTTCTGTATCCATTCTAGTCCTCCTCTTTCATGGCCCTTCTTCGCATAAGCATCCAACAAGGTCAGGTATGTTACTGCACTTGGTTCACAACCAACCTCTAACATACGCTCATAAGTCCTCTTTACCCCATCTAAATCTCCACTCTTTCCATACGCATCGGCAAGTGCTGTCCATGCTTTGACGTCGATCTCAGCACCTATACTTGTCAGCTTGGAGAACCATTCCTCAGCACTCTCAGGATCCCGCTTCTTAGCGAAAGCTTCCAAGGCAGCAACAACCGTCCGCGACCCCACATGTCCACTCTTGCGGATAATCTCAAACCACTCAGTAGCTTGTTCCGTCCTGCCCGTTCTACATAGCCACCCGAAAACAACATTTCGAATAGGCGGCGATGGAACTATCCCAGCGCGGTTCATGGCATCCAGCCAAAAAGCCACTCCGTCCGCATCGTTTGCATCGGCATGCGCTTTGATGAGGATAAAGAACGTGACGCTATCCGGGTGCAGAGATGTGTTGCCTTCCTGATGGTTATTTAAAAATGCCCGCTCAAACCATTCTTGTGCTCCCCGAAAGTCGCCTACCGCACAATATGCGCCAATCATTGCGTTATGAGTTTCCACCCCTGGCTTAATGTTCTTTGCTAGCATTTCCGTAAATCTTGCTAGCGCGCTCTCCATATCACCGATTTTGCCATATCCAGCAATCAGAGTGGTGTAAGGAATATGGTCAGAGGGCCTGACCCTTGGATCCCTATCCTTTTCCATGGCCTCCAACAATTTCACAGCGGTGTTCATCGCTTGCTTTGTTCCCTTTTGGCAATATCCATCAATCAACACTTGGAAGGTTACAGCGTTCGGCACGATCTTCCATTTTTTCATCATAACTCTCCTCCAATTCCTCGCTCCTACCAAATCGCCCGCACGGACTCGTGCATTCATCAGAGCATTCATCACTACCACATCTGGTGCCACGTTATGTTCCACCATGTGTTTCAGGACAAAATCTTCAGCAGTAACAAGGTCGCCCGCGCGAGAGAAGCCATTGATAAGGCTAGCGTATGTTTTTGGCAGGGGTACCACTCCTGCCGACTCCATGTCCCGGATGTATCGACGCATGTTGACGACATCACCCAGTTGGGAGAAGTGATGAATTAAGACGTGGAAGGTAACGGGTCGCGGTGCTGTAGCTGGATCATCCCTCATGCGTGCATAAAGTTGTTCAACTTCAGCAAGCTGACCATGATGAAGATGCTTGCCTACGAGAGTAGTGTATGTCACGACGTCAGGCTTCACACCTGGACGGTTCAGGATTTCGCCGAATTTGGTGGGGTCGTCTTCTTTGGAAAGCAACATATTGGCTTGGAATGTAGGATCGAATATAGATGTCGACCCTCCATTCGCCTCTTCTTGAGTACCTGGAGAACCCGCGCCGGTTCGAGCGACAAATGCTAGCGCGCTCTGCGTGGACGAATCCGCCATGATTCCGAACCGCTGTTCTGCCTCGATCACAAGGTCTCGGGCGGACGCTGTGTCGGCACTGTTCGCAACAAGAAGATTGATGGTTGCCCGCAGAGGCTGTACCTTAGTCTTCGCGATGAACTCCTCCATATAGCCCTTAGCTTCCTTAATGTTCCGGCTTTTGATGTGTGCATCTATGATCGCATGAAGGGTGAACTCATCCGGCAAGATGCCTTCTTCACTCATCTGCGCCACTTTCTTCAAAACCACTTTCAGGTCACCTGCACTGGCATGAGCTGAAAGAACCACATTCCACATTTCCACATTCGGCTTAACACCGTCCTCCACCATACTCATCCACTCTTCCTCTACTTTTGAGGCCTTAGTACGCAGGTCACCTGGCAGGGACTTCGAAATAGCGGCAAGGATCCGTGAACATATCCGCGCATTTGGGCGCTTTTCAGGATCCTCAGAGTTGACCATTTCGTCATAATACGTCCAAACTCTTGTCAGGTGACTATTCTTTAACGCAGAAGATATGAGAGCTCCATACGCAGTTCTGCTCGGTGTTTGACTCCATGACTTCATGGTATGATAGAACTCCAGTGCTTCATTCTTACGGTCAGCGCGCACATGGAACGTGATCAAATCGCTCATGGTTTCTGCACGAAGAACCCGGCCTTCCTCTCGTGCACGATAAAATTCTTGACAAGCAAGCTTAAGCTTTGGAGGGTCACTTCGCAAGGCAAAACGGATGTTGCTGTCACCAGTTCGTGCAGCACGTCGCTTCACTCGAACTCGCGCAGTTTCGATGATACTTCGAGTTTCAGTATCGAGAGATACTGCATCTTTGCGCATCATCTCATCAAGATCCAATATCTTCTGATCGTCATTTTCCGAAGTTACGGATGAAATTACAATCGCGCAATCCTCTGAGGAGGGTTGTGTAAAAGCTCGCAGCAGTGCAAAAACATCCATAGCTCTAGATGGATAACTCGAAAAAGTTCGAAGTAGATCTTTGAGCACAGCCGCTTGCGGTTTTCTGTTCTCTGGGTGGCGGGACCAGATGATATCTCCGATATCATTCATATCTAACAGATCGTGCCTTTTGAGAAAATCTGACAGATGCTCTTCCCCCATATCATGGACATGCAATTGAACAAAAGCTGATAACGCGTCCACATAACGCTTTGCAGATTTAGCAGAATGGCGTTGGAGGCGAGTGCCAGCTCGATGGAAAGGTGCTCCACTGCGTTGTATCGCCTGCCACACCCATCTAACGCCATCCCAGTGCCATCTCTTTGCCCGCTCGCTTGCCAATATCTGAAAGCATGCCAGTGGTAGTTTAACCCCAAAATCTAAACCCCATTTGACTGTCTCTTGCGCGCCATCCAATTCTCCAATTGCAGCCTGTGCAGTGATGAGAGTCTGATAGTCAAAGGGACCAGGTGATATGAGAAATTCTCTCAAAGCTCTACCCGCAATCAGCTCCCTAGCATATGCCATGGACTTTCGACCATTGTCACTTCGGGATGCTGAAATGCTTCCGTGACGCGAGTCGGATGGACCGTTTGTTATTGTGGTAATCAACGTCGAAAGTAACACCCTCCGAATCGCCAGTAAGGACGCTGAAAATGTGGCTTTTGTGGAATGCTCCTCTCCATCTTTCTGTTTCGTGATATTTGTCGCTCTTTGAGATAGAGATATTGTGACGGTTAAACGGAGGAGCCTCTCAATATCGTTTTGGGACAAACGTGCCAAATCAGACTGAAAAACAGGACTGTGTGCAACCTTCCGTGCTTTTCGAATTCTACCCTTTTGTAGCATGGTGGTGAAATGGCTAACGGACCTTGGCGATTTCAACATTCCTTGGTCCTCCGGATTCACCTCATGGATAGATTCGGGAAAACCTATCTTATCCCCGTCTTCTCCTACATGATCTTCCAGTGCAAATTCCGGCAACAACTGCTGTATCTCTTTGGCAATACCGTATGGTGCCGCTTGGTCATAGTGTTGCTGATCATGTTGACGTAGAGAGGTTGAGAATCTTCTCCGCAGTATGCTAGACGCCTGATCTGAGACTGGCCGGCATTTCGTACATTGGAAGCAGTTCAATTCCAAAGTTAATCGGGCTGACGAAAGTTGACGCAGCAGTTGTCCGCCCGGGCTCCTAGGAAAATGAACCATGCAGTTGGCGGCGGAGATCTGGTCAGGCAGGTTGTGAAGCTTATAGCACGTGCCGCGATGCACTGATCAGGGTGAACGGATATTAACTTAGATCCGGCTCGAACAGAGGATGACGAGCAAAGAGGGTGCTACGAAAAAACTAAAATAACGACCGGCGGCAGGGAAGGCCGTGTTGTGGGGTGTTGCGCAAAGGTCGACAGACTCAGGTAAGCTGTAGTAGGCCAGTTGTACTGTAAATGATGGGGGATGCATTGCAACGGTCTGAACGACTGATCTAGTTCGAGTTTGCCCGCGCGCTTTATTATGAAAGACTAGACGAATGTAGTTTTCTCAACCTATTTTGTTATTTATTTTGTTCAGCCAAAGGCGTCCATTTTGACTCTCGCAAGCATACCAGTCTTCCAGTTGGACGGGTTGGTCAAGATGCTCAACGATTATATAGAGAGCCTCGCCCGAACTGGGGTTCCTCCGGACCTTCTCAAGGCAGCCGTAATGCTTATTGCTGCGTTCCCAGCAGCAATCCTATATCGCCTCATTCCCGCGTCCTCACCTACTGCCCGACATCTTTTCTCAATTGGAGTGTCGGGCACGCTGTTTTGTTCGCTTTTCAATGTTAGCGGATTCATCCAGTTGGTCGGGGAAGCGCTGGCAATCTATGTGCTGACAGCAACTATGAGAAAAAGTAAATGGGGTCCTATATTGGCTTTTTTGGGTGCCATGGGCCAGCTATCGATAAAGTACGTCTTGATTTCTTATAGGGATGGTCGGTAATGCTAAGCACTAATTGTCATTTCAGTCACATCTTTGGTCAATTAATCAACAAAAGCACCGCGAATTTCGACCATACTGCCCCTATGATGGTTCTTGCAATCAAGCTGACCTCATTTGCGTGGGCGGCCCACGATGGCACAAAGCCTGACAAGGTGGGTCCTCCGTGCAACCAAGAGAAGATCGTATTTGATATCTGACAAAAAGAATGCCTGCTCCTTCAGGATCTGTCGGCGGATCAAAGATCACTAGCGATACGCAAGTTCCCTGGATTGATCGAATATTTTGGCTACGTCTTCTTTTTCGGCGGTTTTCTTGTTGGTCCAGCATTTGAATTCGCGGATTACCGGAAGTTCATAACTAATGAGGTGCGACACTTGAACTAAGACTGCTTTCGGAATCTTCGTCTTTAACGATGTCATCTCTTGATAGCCACCATTTGACCAAATGCCAAGTCCCGCCCTCCCAGCGTTGAAGACGGTGGCCTCCGCATTTGTCTCACTCGTCGTCTTCTTCAAGTTTGGAAATGTCTTCCCGTACCACTATGCCCTTACTCCGGAGTATGCAAAGTTGGCGTTCCCAAAACGGTACGTTTCCAGTAGTGATGAGTGCGTATGCTGCAGACGTGTGACTCTAGGATTCTGTTTAGCTTTTTATACTTGCAGTTAGCCGGACTGTTAGCGCGCACAAAGTATTATGTCGCCTGGAAGCTTTCGGAAGCGGCTTGCATCCTTTCAGGAGTGGGATATAACGGCATAGATCCCAAAACCGGCAAACATTTGTGGAACCGCGTACAAAACATTGCGATTCTGGGCTTCGAGCTGGCGCCCAACTCAAAGGTTGCCCTTGACAACTGGAACAAAAACACTGGTCTGTGGCTTCGGCGATATGTTTACCTTCGCATCACTCCGGCCGGTACAAAGCCTAGCGGCGCTGCTGCCGTGGCGACGTATCTTACTAGTGCATTCTGGCACGGCTTCCGTCCAGGGTTTTATTTGACGTTCATATCGGGCAGTCTTCTGAATGTCGTGGCGAGAACCATCCGGCGAAACGTCCGTCCCCTCTTTTTGGGTGCTAGTCGCTTGGCACCGTTAAAACCTATCTACGATGTGCTGGGATGGGCGGCCACTATTGGAAGCATCAACTACTTTGCAGCGCCCTTCGTTGTGCACTCCGTGGAGAGCTCGCTCACCATTTGGAAAGCCAATTACTATCTTGTCCACGTAGTGCTAATTGCTGTGGAAGTTGGATTTACATACTTGGGCTTCAACAGGATGTTAAAGAAATTTGGTCAGAGCATTGGCGCGCAATATGGAACCCAAGAAATAAGAAGTCGAGTTGTCAGTAAAGGAGGTCGCAGTAATGGGACCAATGTGCATAGCAAATCCAGCGACGACGAAGTGAAATTCATGGCCGATGTCGTCGATGGAACCGCGGTTCCTGCGATGGCAAAGGAAGCGAAAGAGGACTAATTCCTTCTTAATGGTTATTAATTATTATTATGAGAATTTATGTATTATGTGGGATTGCGTGCATTGTATTGGAGTTCATTTGTTTATTTCGAATGAAATGTGTGGTTATTTGGTTCTGCTGCGCCAGACGGACGCGGTCGCGCTTCTTGACCGTTCGTCCCAGAAACGGCAAGCTGCTCGCCGTCAAGATCCCAAACGCACAACGGGTCGATACGAGGCTGGGTCCTTGGATTCTTGAAGGAGCCAAAAAGCTTATTCTCTGGAATTCTTCCTTGCCCTTGCTTGTGACAGCTAAATCCATCGTGGTAGATGCCTCGTGTACCAAACAGGTCGTTCATATAGGCTTCATTCTATTAAGTCCATGTCAGACTCTCCGCCTCAGACAGCACCTACAGAGGCAGCCGAGCCCACGGCACCGACAGACACTCCGCATCCGGTGGTACTCGAGCTTCATCCAGTTGGGCCGCACGAGCGGCGCTCGTTTGATATAACAACCTTGAGCCAGCAGCAATCTGTGGTTGTATCTCCTACGACTTCCGAACCTCCTTCGCGCCCTCCAGGAGTCCGTCGTGCATCTTTATCTTCAGTGCTATCTTGGCTACCGAGACTGTCAACTGCCGGTCAAAGTGAGGAGAATAATACAAGTGAAGTTTCCGTTCTCAGTCCCGGAACAGACCCTGTTATTCGAACGCCAAAGTTCGTTTCACCTCATGAGCCGGAAGGATATTTTAATGGTCATCCATTGTCTCCGAGGGACAGCGAGAGCTCTCCAGTCATTCGATCCAATATTAATTCCACCCATCCCAAGAAGCGCGTTAGCGTGACTGGAATCCTTGGTAAAGGACGAAATGAGATCACTTCTCCGATGAAGGAAGATGCTCGATCGGCAAATCAGCGAAAGCAGGAATGGAGTAAAGGGATTCATCCGGACCACCTGAATGTGGGGTCGAATGTTGATACGGCTTTCATGGTACAATTCCGGCTCCTGGTTTAGTCACGCGAAGCGTAGAGAGTCTCATCTAATAAACTTACGCAGCGATCTCTGGAAGCCTGCCAAAAACTGTTTCTCGACCTTTTATCAAGTAGCAGGTATTGTTCCGATATGCCAGATCTGAGGTACCGGATCACGTGCTTATGGATGTCGCGCTGTTTCTGGTGCCTACAGCGATGTCTCCAAATGCTCACCTGTTTCTGCGGAGCTTGATCATCCTGATCCACTTATTATCATAGAAAAAGTTGGCGAGATTGTCCGAAAGCATTGCGTACTTTCTTCAGCGGGTGATGCGGATATGTAAGTGCAACCCGGATTCTCTGCTAAAAGCGTTGCATATTTATATAATGTCGAATGTAGGTCACAGCAAATATCCCAGCCTTTCTACGCAAAAATGCTTGTAAGGCAGGTAGCTGCAATCATCTCAGTCCCCGGGCTAGTACCGGTCCACAAACGTGTAGCCCTGGAAAAGGAGATCGAATCTACTGTGTGAGTGGTTTTCCTGGTATCTGGTTAGATGGATAGATCAATCAACTTAAACGCATCTGGCAGAATCGGTTGGATCCAAACCGCCCTCAATTTGAGCTCTACCGGTTACGTTCAGTTTACAGACCCAAACGCGGATGGCTTTTCTAGCGTAGCGTCCGGTAAGTGCGAGTGTTGAGTACGCATATTAGAGAAGCCTGTTAGGAGTTCTAAACAATTGGTTGGCAGCTATCCGAAATGCACTGTTGCGTTGCATACATCGCAACGGCAAAGAGAATTGGCTCAAAACACCAGAATTAATCGGCGCTAATCTCCCCGTACGTGTAATTTATCACGCGGATGACATTAATGCGAAAGCGTTCGAAGTGCATTTACTCCGCTCTTGGCCTGCATTGGGCACCGTACTTGGATTTTCCAAAGCTCGTCTGCGGAGGGGTGAGCATTTACTACGGCGCAGATATTCCTCTATCGTCCATCATGATCTCACATGCGGCAGTTCCAAGTGTGCAAGATGGGGAAACTATTGACCTCATAGCACTAGATAGAATGGTGGATGAGGACATCCAGGAAGGGAAGAAACCCTGTATGGTCATTGCACGAGCAGGTAAGGTTTTGGTTCGACAGTCAGCTGCCTTGCATAATGTAAACATAGTCCTCTTCTACTGTCCCGTAGGAACACCGGTGACTGGGCAATTTGACAGTTTGATGGGATTGAGAGCAATTTGCGATAAATGCAATATGTGGCTGCATGTGGACGGGTAAGTATTCCCACATTCCATCTCAGGGCTTGGCGCTTTCTCACAGTCCCACTTTCATAGCATGGGTCTCGCATTCTTAGTTGCTACGAACGTTAAGACGGACGAGAGCCAAAAGACTACTCTTGCACATCTCGAATTTGCCAAGAAAGCAGATTCATTTGTGATCGATTTTGAAGGCTGGTTTGGCATTAGCGGCCTGCCACCACTGGTAGTTAAAATTAACGTGTTCTTTCATATTGGACAATGATCATTGAACTTCATGCCCAATAGACGCTCTTTCGCGCAAATCGGGCCAATGAAGTATTAGCTGAAAATGACGGCGCGCTCTTCCGCACTCTGGATGAAACCGAGCAGAAAATCAAGCATACTGCTCAACCACTGCGCAGTAGTATGGTGAACGGGAGGTTAATTCTGGAGTACGTGCCGCCAGCGGCATCTCGTCCAACAGAGCGAAAGGGAAGGGAGACTTCGGAAATGCCAACCCCGATCGGATTCACATTACCGTTCTGGATAATAATGAAGACGATTGATGAGGGACGGTTGCAAAGGCATGTCCTAAAGGGCCAGGAGCTGGTAGGTTGAACAACTTGGCTGCCTTTAAAATTAGGTAGGCGTCTCATGAATATGGCTGGATGCTTTCAGGCGCGAGTATTTTTCAACAGAGTAACCGCCCTGCCGTTCTTACGAGGGCATTCCCAAGCCGAAGCGCCTCTTCATGTAGTACTCGTACGGTTTGACGCTAGGGCTGCTCGGCAAACTGCCCAGGACTCGCTAGCGGATCAGCAAAACCCGCCCATCTTTGACGACCTCGCGGAAAGCCAACTGGGAACCAAATATGTACGAAATGGAAAGTTTCTGGATGTTAATATAACACTCACTCCGACCTTTGTGTAGATCTACGCTCACTTGCAGGATGAGTTGAGATCTGATCTTGACATAGACCTAGTCTCTGTTGCCGGTATACTATACATTCGTTATCGGCCCTTCTCATCTGGTACGTGTCAGAGGCCATGTGCGGATTAGGCGGTCCCTAGCAATAATACTGGCTTAACTGATTTTAGCCTCGGCATTCGAAATACAAACCCGCATTATGCCACATGCGGCAGGAAATATTGTGCGAGACGCTGAAAGAATATTCTCAGCTATTGCTTTTCGAAAAGCTTTTCGTGACACCGTGGAAAAGAGGCGAGAGTTGATATTTGTGGATGAAGCGTCGCTGGCCCCTCAAGTGAACGAGAACGGCGAAACAGAACCAGGGGACGATCTGTGGTTCGGCTTGGGTGCAGTTCGGTATGAATCGCAGCAGAGAGAGTTTGCAAACCTTTTAGAATAAGTCTCATCAGAACATCACTTTTGACAGATACACTCCACTCTATATTGACGTGACCGCAGACTCCGTCGCCCCCGAAGTCATCAACAACCTGGATGGGCTTAATGTGCAGATGGCGGACCAACTATCCGAGCTGCGTCCTGCAGATAAGTCTCTTTTTCAGAGCTGTAGGGCCGCCAAAGGCACGCTTCCCACTGCACTACGAGATGGTGCTGGCTCCTGCGTGCGAATCGGCTTGGTAAGTGTGGCTTGCTATCTAGCATCTTAACCTAATGTTTTAACTTGCAAAAAAATTAGGCGTCTCAACCATTCACTTTGGAGAGCATTCGAGAACTCGTCAATGATATTACTAAAACAGGCATGAAGTTGGAGCGAAATAGTGACGTACGTATATGTATTGCTGAGTACACAAAATTGCATGTTGACACATCCCTCCAATCAATAGTTTGTTGCTCGAATAGCTGACGTGATACGTAAAGGAATAGAGGAGGCTGAGAGGCAACTACAGAATGAGTCAGCCGAAGAGGTGCGCCGTGATATCTGCCTATCGTGATGAGCAGGCTGTATTCATTACCATCTAGCAACCTAGCATATTGCGCATGTTACCAATTGTGGGATCAGTTCTGAGTTGGTGGCGACCAGAAATGCCGAAAAATCGCGTCCCTGTGGCGAAGACCTTCTCGATTGCTACAGGTGAGATACGTATGCGCAAATTTCCCCGAATAAATCGAGGCTAACATAAAGTCCAGGCTTTACAACTATCCCCTTGGGTCCAAACAGCCCACGAGGTTCAATAAGTCTACCTTCCAGACAAAACTCGGTCATACATGATGCTTCGCGTCGCAGCAGCGAAGTCGACAGACCTGTGTCACAGTTGTCCTCAGTATTCAACGATGGGAAGGACGATTTTGAGAAAATCTCGCCGGTTGAGGAAGAAGCACAAGGGACTGTTGGGGGGACTGAGACGCAGGAAGAGACTCCGGCGGAGGAAAACGACAAGCATGACGATCTTCATAGTCCTGCAGCAGAGGAGAAAGAGCACGTAAACAATCCTGTACCAGATAGTTCTGACCTGGCGAATCCGAAACATGATCAAAAGTTGGACAGAGATTCATATGGTGAGGCAAACCAGGAACCTTCAGAATCACAACCGGTGGTTGAGGAGATCGAAAACGCTGTGCGACGGCTGATCGGCGAGCATGGTTAGTACTAACTAGTTTTGCTACTCACTCGTCCCGTAACTAACCCTCCGAGAACAACGTCGATATTTACACAGAAGGCCAACCCGATCACTTCAATCTCGACCAAATACGAGCGAGCCTTGACACGCAATTTGGTCGGGAGTTGACGGACGACGCTGTGAGCTCAGCCATAAATAAGATACTGGACGAGCGCGGGGTTACGGGCCCAACGGATGGGCAAATCGAGGCGGGGGTGCGTGAAATTCTGCAAGAATATCGTATGTGATCTCCATCGTTTGTATAGGTTCCGTGCACGTGCATCTAGCTCATCATGGCTTTCATTCTGTTGGCATACAGGAAATCGGCTTGGAGAACTGAACAACCGGAAAGTTCGAATGATATTGCAGGACCGATTTCGTCGAGATTTGAGAGATAGGACTGGATTTATTAGGGAAGTTATTGATAAGGTTTTGGAGGAACGTGGATAGATGTTTCTTTTGGATTCGACGCTGAATTGTACCTAGGGTGCAGCTTGCCAGATAATTGTATTTGAAATAATGACGTCTTATGTTTGTGCCCAGTAGCGCTTTCTGATGTGACAGCTGCCAATTGGCGGTGTATGCAATATTGATGCAACGAGGACGCAATTTTAATGAACTCAATGAAAATTGGGAAATATGATTAAGCCGTAAATTCTTTCAAAGTTATTTACACAGAGTTCCTCCCCGAGTTTGTCTAAATCGTCACTGTAACTTCCTAACACACCTATAGTCGTCCTGCATCTGGCGCCTTCCCTTGCCTTTTTGGCATTTTTCGCGACGATTCATCCTCTAGCTCCTTGGCTTTGTAGTAGTGTGGAGCAACTACGTGAAATAAGGCCGTTAGTATGCAAATTTCCAGATGTTTTATCAAACGGAAAACTTACCCTCCAACAGCCACTCCGACTGGATCTCAATGACTTGTCTCATGTATTCCTTGCTTGTCATCACCAGCTCGAAGTACAGCACCCATTTCGGATTCTCCTGGAATAAACTACTGCTCGGATGTATAAGAACGGTTTGGTTGTGCTTGATTGTTCGGTAGCTATCCCCACTCTTTTGGAGTCGGGCCGTGTTGTAGAAAAATCCGGCGGTAAGAGCTTTCCGGATGGGAACTGTATTGCCAGGATCTGGATTTGTTACTAGAGGCACCTCTGTTCGTTCCATCAAACCAGTTAACTGGTCTCGAAGATCCCGGGCTCGTTTCATTGATCGATGTTGAATGTAATTTTCGTAACACCAGTTGATGGAATAATTTGTCTCTACATACGTATTCCATACTGCCAGCAGCATGAGGTGATCACCACCTGGTCGGAAAAAGTTCTTCCGCGCTTGGTCTGCGTGAACGTGCTCATTTTTTGGACGGTAGAAAATGGAATTTCCGACGGAAAGCATCGATATGATCGACACGATTTCATCCGTACAGCCGTATTTTTCTGCCGCAATGATGGTTTTGCTGAGCATTGGGTCCAAGGGAAACTCTGCCATTCTCCGTCCCAGTTTTGTAAGCTCCCCTCGATCGTTTAAAGCACCTAAAGCATACAATTGCTCTAATGCGCGGATGAGCGTCTCAGCTGGCGGGGCATCCATGAAGTCAAAGTTCATCAAATCATTGATTCCCAGGGATTTCAGGAGGAGTACTGTGTTTCCCATATTTGTTCGCTGGATTTCTGGAACGGTATTCTCTTCCAGCTCGTTCTGGTATGCCCAAGCTGTGTACAGTCGGAAGCACTTTCCGGGTCCCACACGACCCGCACGACCTTTCCGTTGGTTCGCCGATGCTCTTGAACAGGGAACTACGACCAATGACTCCATCCCTGTTCTTGGGTTGTAGTTGTTTTGTTTCTCAAAACCGGGATCGATCACATAAACCACGCCGTCAATCGTAATTGAGGTTTCCGCAATGTTTGTCGCTAGTACCACTTTCCGCGCTCCCTCTGGGGTCGGCTCAAAGATCTTGGCTTGCAAATCCGACGGTAGATTTGCGTAACAAGGTACGATGATGAGCTCCGCTATTTTACTACCTAGCTGTCGACAAATTGCTCGGAGGCCTTCATCAGCTTGTTCAATTTCCTCCTGGCCCGTCAAAAATAACAGGATGTCTCCCTTGGGTTGAGTGATGTGTATTGTCATGATGGTGGTTATAGCGGCCGCGAGATAGTTGGCCTCAGGTGCTGCTGTGTGGTATGTTTCGACAGGGAAACGACGTCCAGGGATATTGAAGATGGGGGCGTCATCAAAATATTGTGAAAACTTCTCGGCATCCATCGTGGCGCTGGATATCAGAAGCTTCAAGTCTGGCCGAAAGCGGGATATATCCTTGACCAAGCCAAACAAAATATCTGTGTGTAGCGTACGCTCGTGCGCTTCATCGATTATCAGACAGCTGTAACTAGCCAAGTCCGGCTCGGTTAAGAACTCGCGGAGAAGCATGCCATCTGTCATGTACTTCAAAATAGTCTTGTCGGAGGTGCAGTCCTCAAACCGGATGGAATATCCAACCTCTGACCCCAACTTGGTCCCCATCTCGTCTGCAACACGCGCCGCGACACTCATGGCTGCAACACGTCGTGGTTGTGTGCATCCAATCTTGCCCTTTTTGGTGTAACCAGCCTCATGCAAGTACTGCGGTATTTGGGTCGTTTTGCCGGATCCCGTCTCCCCAACTATGATCAGCACCTGGAACTGTTCCACGGCAGACAATAATTCTTCACGATAAGTGAAAACCGGCAAAGACTCTCGAACCTCTTTCATAGACATGGCTTTTCGCTCGGCTTCGGTAACTTGCGGGCCAGTCTCCGCGGCCAGCTCCTCTTTCTCTGCCACAGCTTCGAGAATAAAGTCAACGCGTTGCTCATCATCAAAAACATACTCGAAGTCCTCCTCGTCTTTCTTTGCTTTGTCCTTGGTCCCGACTTTCGCAAGCGACTTAACAATCTGATTCTGTTCCCATTGCTCTTGCTCCGTAACGAAACTCTCAATATCTCCGTTGTCTTCATACCGCGCATACAAAACAGACTCCTGTTTTTTCTTATCCAATTTTCCTTTTTCCGTGATGTAGTCCTGCGGCATTTGATACCCCTCCACCTTGTCACTTAATCGTAGCCTCTCCCGGGTGATCTCAAGTACCTGCTTATTCAATTCATGCTCTTTACGCTCACGTTTTGTCAATTTTTCGTTATGGAACAGGAACTCCTCATCCTCGATCCTCTTCTGCAATAGCTGGAGTCGCTGATCTTCACGCTTCTTAAGATACTCTTGCCGAGATCGCTCACGTATGTCTGGCATGGCTTGATTACGAGCCTCCTTGTCCTCCGCTATTGAGCGTCTCTTCTTAGCTTCCGCCTCCTGCTTGGATGACCTGTCCTCCACTAGCTTCTTAGTCTTCTCCTTATCTCTCTCACGCAGCCTCGCCGCAAACTCATCTCGCTCTTTCAAGTCCTGTTCTCTTGCCTTCTCGTCCCTGGTATATTCGTCATCCGACTCTTCCTTGGGTATGGAATCTCGTCTCGTTCGCTTCAGTGGCGGCTCATCGTCTGAGTCCTTCTCCCAACCTTTTGCTGTCTCCTCTTCATTTCTCTTCCTTAGTTTCTTCTTTTCTTTCTTTTCTTTTCGGTCCCTCTTCCTCGACTGCTCGCCATCTATATCCATGCCATCCACCACTTCGTCATCATCCAACAACAAGCCGAATTGTTGATTCTTTTGTATGAGGCGAACCGTTTCTTTCTCAGCAGCTCGTCGTTGTGACTTTTTGGAGGACAATAACGGGCGATCCATGCGTGTATAGAGCTCTGATACAAACCGTCTGGCGTCCGCTGTTGCAGGTAGGTCGGCTGCTTCCAGCGATCTAGACAGAGCAGCTTCGGACTTTGCCGACTTTGCCGAGGCAATAATGTAATCCACAACAGTTTTCTCGGACATGCCGAGAAGCTTCATAACGTTATCGGAAACCCATGTTCGGAATTGTGCGTCGCTCATGTTGTCGAGGAGGACCGACGAAGCGAAGTCCACCTGCAAGTAACCCAAGCAACTTTGAACCAGATCGGAGTCACGTGCATAAATTTCACCTTATCCGATTTTAGTGAAGCTTCCAACCATGTTTAACCATGATCATGTTTATTACGGAAAGCACCAGTTCTCGCATGATGGGCAAAACGTATCTGAACAGTAAGCGTGGAGAGTCCACCAACTACTAGAATAGTGCGGCATTTAATTACACATTTTGAAGGAGTTTTACACTTGGCAAGACGCAGTTATCTGTACTCTATTCGGGCCTTCTCAAAGAGCAGCTACAAGCCGCTTATAGTCTACCTGACGTTGTGAATCTTCAAACTGACGCGCGAGCGTAATAATTTCCTGCAGCAGAATGTTGTTAGAAGTCCCAGTGAAATTAACTTTCTGCCCATCAATAACATATTTGCTTACATGGTCACTCAAGTCGATACCCCAGATTTCTCGACCCGCTGCGACGAGAGTTTGCCGTGCACATCTTCCCGAGCCGGTAGCGTCTTCACGGGCACATACATCTTCAACTTGCTTTTTTGCGGCATCCCCACCACACTGTTTGATTAAAGAACGCGCTCTTGTAAGAATCCGTCCACAGTCGCTCTGGGGAAACGATGCCGGGTCTTTTTCCATATAGTTGAAGACATATCTGGGAGAAATGAGCAGTCAGTATTTTGGCAAGAAAAACGTCCTCACACTTGACTAACTCATCGGCATCCAGCAGAATAAAGCGATGAGCGAAGACTGTAACAGTAGCACCAACATAGAGATCTTTTGCAGTGTAATATCGCGGACCGCGCGGATCTGACAAGGACGAGCCAGGAAGAAGAACACGAGTGCGCTCCATGAACTTTCCGCCAATAACTCCCGCATTTCTATATTGGAGAGATGCCAGACTTAGCTAAAAAGTAAATGTTCAACTCGCAAGTGAACTGTCACCCTACCTTTGAGGGGGCTCGTAGATAGTCATCATATCATCGGCGAGACGATAAGTAATAACAAAACGACGATCACGGTCTTCTTTATGCTTGGAGCCCTAACACGAAAATGAGGCGACCAGTAATTGGCCGGTCATGCTTGCTCAACAACATACCATTTTGGCAACAAAGCGTAGCACCTTGTGCTCGTTTTCGAGCATTTTTATGAAGTCTTTCTTCGGAGGCTTTAGTACAAGATACTTGACGGATCCAAGAGAGTCTTCCACAGAACCAAAACCGTTGTATGGAGGTATTTCCTGATTGAGAAAAACTAATTAGCAACTCATTTTCATGCAAATGCTGACGTTAATGTTAACAATATAACCTCCACGTCTTTGTCGGTTTTGTCTAGCTTGAGATCCAAAGGTTTCATGTCGTTGGGAGCAAGATTCAGGTGCTCTGCATAGAATTTACGTGTGTAGTCATCGCAGTCTCGACTGAAAGACAGAATTGAGCTTCTTGTGAGTCATTGATGTGTCCTGAATATATCTCACATGAGGAAGGGTCGTCCCAGTACGTTGATGACATTGCCTACGCGGAAGTCTTTCCAGGTGTATTTGGCTGTATCGCTGACATCTTGTAAGGAGGTTGGCATATTCATGTCAGCGTCCGGTTAGCTCCCAAAGGGTTACCTTATACTTTACCAGACAGATCTTTGAAGGCCTTGGGTAATTGTTGTCGCCTCAACAGAATAGGAAATGGATCACGACCATTGTTAGGCTTTTGCACCTCACGGACCTCTACGCTGTCGTCGACGAGGTAATAGTGGAGGACCTTGATTGAGGTTTTTTTGAGCATTATCTGCAGCGGGAGCGTACAGCAGTGGACCTCTTGCACTTACAAATTCTCGCAGCTCCCCAAACATGCTATCCCGGTCGTCCCATATGCAGTAAAATCGCAATACTTTCCGGTCATTCTCGAGAAACCTCTTCAACTTATCAGGGCCCTTTGATCCTGCGGTATATATTCGAGTTGGACGAGAGCGGATCACTTCGTGAGGGTCTACAGGCATAGGCTCCGGAGGGTTTAGGGCTATGTGTTCGGTCTCTTGCATGTACGACTTATAGAGGGAAGGGTTAGATTTAGATACGTCTTATCGGCGATGTTGTTGGGCTTGACGGTTCCGGAACGCCCACCTCAGTAAACTTGTCACATCCAACTATTCTAAACGTTTTCCCATAGAAGGTCACATTCAAACCCCTATTGAAATCACGGATAGTGTAGAAACGAGGTAGTATCTTTGGGCATGCGTTGCCTCTTAATTAAAACTCCTTGTGGTATACCGCTATTTTCGACAGGCGGTTCGACAACAGCGATCGAATCGTCTTCGACATAGTACAGAATACGAACACGACGAAGATGATATTGTTCAATGGATTCATGTACGGTTTGTTTAAAGTATGCGTCGAAACGAAGAACCTGGAGTATGTAATGAGCATCTTTACAAAACTTTTCGCTTCCAGCAAACAAATCTACGCACCACTTTGTCAAATGCAACGTGCGCTGGAACAAAGCGTTCTTCTTCAGCTGCTGACGCTCCTCTGCTCTCACTTCTAGAAAGACGACCATGTCCCGTCTGCTCTGCATAAGTTATCCATGGGTCTGCCCCAGCAGCGTTCAATAGCTGTTCTGGTGATTGGAGGTCAGGAGGAAGCTCCACGCGACGAATAGGATAGCCGTTTTTGTAGTCCAAGGTTTGACAAAGACGGAAGTCGGATCTCTGTCAAGTCCCGCAGTACTTGATATGTTAGATTTGTGATCCTTTCCGTTGATCACGAAACAGGCCTTACAGCTGTATCTCTAATGGAGTTTCCTGGGAGGAAGGGGATCTTATCCCGGGAAGCTGTACGTATCTCGGTCATATCTTGCCGCTGTTTCCAGATAATCAGTATACCCAACATTTAGATTGACGGAAGCTGAACCTACTGTTTGCGATGAACCCTTCACCCACTCTCAGTCAGCAGGCGACCAGAACTGGCTTAGAAAAGCAAAGATCTGGCTATATGTGAAAATACTTCAGTTGCGTTCCAAGTTATTTTCGAGATAATATATTGTCGACCTCGGAGAATTTGGTTCAGTCCGACTTTACGTAACCCGGATCACGTGGCTATAACCCCCAAATGCAAAAGATGACTCAAGCTAAAAACTACATTGCCCTTGAACGTCCTGTCCTACCACAGCCAATGAGAGGAAGGCGAACTTTGTGGGCCTTGAAGTTTACAGTGAAGATACTCACACCCCATGCCCGTTTATCTTGCTCGCAAAGAGGACCTGTATTGCAGCAAGCAGGATGGGGACCCGCCATTTCGAGCTCTCATGAGCGGTTCGTGAAGGGGAATACGACCCTTATTCGTCCAAAACTAACACCAGAGTTGCAACTAAACCTCATAACTCCAAAGTCATCAATGTGGACCTGGGGTGAATACGAGCTGGATAACAGTGGGATTGGCATTCCTTATTGGGCTGTCTACTGGCCAGGTGAGTATGATTGAGATAGTGTGCCGTTTACAATGTAGAACACCTATTGAAGCCCCACACATTATGTAACAGGTGGACAAGCCCTTACAAAGCATATCCTCGCAACACCTTCTCTGGTTAGGAACAAAGTCATTCTCGACCTGGGTTCTGGCTGTGGCTCAGTTTGTGCTGCAGCCCTCCTTAACGGTGCAAAACTGGCTATTGCGAATGACGTTGATCCTTACGCATTAGCAGCGTCAAAAGTGAATGTAATTTCCAATCTTGGTTCTGCTAAAAGCCTTATATTGGATTCCAGAAATTGCTTGACCCCATCACCCGCTGTATTTGAAGGTGTAGACATAGCTTGGATAGGAGACATGTTTTATGACTCAGATATGTCATTGTCTGTCCGTCGTTGGATCAAAGAGGCACGGAACATGGGCATGGAAGTCTTCGTTGGAGATCCAGGACGTCATGCGTTTTCAGACGAAATGTTGGACACTGGCAGCAAAACTGTGGAAATCGGGGACCTCGTATTGGATAAGGTTGGAGAGTACGAGATGGTTAAGGAGACAACGGAGTATCTTGAGGAAAATGCATTTACCACTGGTGTGGTTTGGAGGGTAGCCTGATTCTTAAAACCTATTTACTCTTCTTTGGCATTTCAGAAGATTTGTTAATGCCATGTAGAAGAAGGGACGTGATGTTGGTGGTCCACCTATGGACAACAAATAGAGCACAAAGCGAGGATATACATATTGGCAAATAACCGTGTCAATAGAAACGGGGCCATTTTATTTTAATGGACTGAATAATACCCTAATATCCCTAACCCACCATATATTATGTCCATAATGTCCGTTCCGATTTATTACGAGAAATCACGCTTCATGAAGAACCATATCGAAATGTTCAGAATCTCGGCCGCCCAGGACGGGAACCTGCCTTTCAGAATAGAAGCCACAGCGCAATTCACGCTGTATAATGCCACTGCCAACGACTGGTCGACCCAAGCCCAGATGAAGTTGACCAGAATCAGGATTCCGAATGCCTGGTGGAACTTCAAATGTCGCAATAACATTCCTGCTGCTACCACCGGCAATGCACGTTTCTCCTGGTACTGAACGTGAAAAACAAGACAAAGGCGGATAGTGACCAAAACTCTAAAAAAAAGATTATTTTGTCAGCATCAACAGGAGTATCGTCGAGCAAAGTTAAATACAAGCTGAACCGAACCCTGTGTTGACGGCGATCAGATTGTGCAGATACACATTGCCGTGTTCGTGATACAAGAATCCCTTTTTACCACGGGAGCCATTGTTGATGAACCCAGAAAGCGAGAGCAATGCTTGGACTGGGAATTGAACACATTGCATCAAATGCTATCCCAGCTCTTTTGTGACGCGAAATTTACAAACCTGCAGCTTCGGCGTAGAATAAGAGACGAATCCAAGGGCTAGAGATATCCTGTGCCCATAATGCAAAGAGCACACTAAAAGAATACGTTAGTATCTCAATTCCCCCATTAATGGACAAAAATGGTACCCACGAGGAGACAGCAACGATTATACTCTGGAACAGGTTCCTACTTAACATTGCCATAGCACAGCGCGAGCCAAGAGACCAAAAGGAACCCTGTGTCCGTGGCCGCGTTTTGTGCGGGTAGGGAGTGCGCAGCAGCACAAACAAAGGGGTCGGGTAACTTAAAGTTGGGCGATCTGGTGGATCTGGTGTTTCCATGGCAACAAAACTGACCTGACCAGAATGGCGATGTGGGGCCTTTGAATAGCAGTTCCAGATCGTATTTCACCTGCAATTACGCACAGCACACACTATGGAACTCGACCCAACTGTAGTCCCTAGAGAAGAGGATATGGAACTGTCGAATATTATCCCGTCCACGGAGCCCTCTCTTACGCAAAAGCGAAAACGCTCTCGTTCGGACGGTGTGTCCGCTCCTGTCGCAAAACGTCCAGAGCTCGACCATTCCACCTCAAACGGAGCGCTGGTGGAGCCTTCGTTGGGATACCCTGCTGCTCACCAGCCTCAATGGCAGGGTACCATTGAACGGGCCATAACATCCATAGTTAGTATTAGATTTTCTCAAGTTGCGGCATTCGATACCGACGGGCCCGATACGTCAGAAGGTACATATCAATTCAACCATTTGGCATTATATGTAGTCAGATTATTTGGTTGATATTTGCGACCCGGGAAAATTAGCGTCGGGCTTCGTAGTAGACGCCGCAGCGGGACTTATCTTGACAAACCGACATGTGGCATGCGCAGGTCCCTTCGTTGGAGAAGCAGTATTTCATGATCATGAGGAGGTGGATGTGTTTCCAGTATATCGGGATCCGGTAGGCCGCTTGCACTTATCATGTACAAATCCTTGCTGACTCAGTGTATAACTGCAAATTTAAGGTGCATGATTTCGGGTGAGCTTCATGATCGTATTTTGCAACTCAAGATCTTGCTAATGGATGTGATTAGCGTACTCAAATTTGATCCGAAAAAGATACGCTATATGCCAGTTACTGAAATTCAGCTTGCGCCAGACCTAGCCCAGGTTGGATTGGATATTCGAGTTGTAGGGTAAGGAACATGTCCCTTCCCCTCCGTCGGATGGGGCTAATTCGTGCTACGTAGTAACGATGCGGGAGAGAAATTGAGTATCTTGGCGGGATCCATTTCCCGGCTGGATAGAAATGCTCCAGAGTATGGAGAGATGACGGTAGGGCGGAACTGATTCGTCTTTTATTGCTTTTCTTTCTCGCTGAACCCGCACTCGTCATGTTACCGCAAACAGTACAACGATTTCAACACGTAAGACTGTCTTGTACAGGTTTTAGTATATCCTGCTGGGTACATATTAAGAGCTTTTCGAATGCAGATTTTACCTCCAAGCGGCGTCAAGTACAAGTGGTGGGTCATCAGGATCACCGGTATTGAACATTGAAGGAAAAGCGGTTGCTCTTCAAGCGGGAGGGCATATGAGAGCGGCTACGGATTTCTTCTTTCCTCTGGATCGTAAGTAACTTTTTAATGTTGTTATGGATGAAATTGAGATAGAGCGGACATTCCAATGTAGGGGTGGCAAGAGCGTTGAAGTATATTCAAGAGGGCAAAGTGGTGCCCCGCGGCACAATACAAGTGCAGTTCCTGTGAGTTCATCTCATATTTGCCGGTAGCAATGTTGATAATTGTGATGACCAACGATTATATATTAGTCACCGGCCGTTTGATGAAGTTCGCCGTCTCGGCCTTACAGACTCCACTGAGGCGCACATTCGAAATCTATTCCCTACTGAAGTTGGCATGCTCGTTGCGGAGGTTGTCGTACCCAAAGGTCCAGCGTCAGCGTTTCTCGAGGAAGGAGATATATTGTTGAGTGTCAACGATAATTACCTGACAAAATTTGTCCCGTTGGAGGAGGTGCTTGACAGCAGGTGCGTTGCTAATGGAGACACTGATTTCTGCCTGCCAAGTCTCAAATCTCTGATTGGGTCACGCTAGCGTTGGAAAGGAGATCAAAATAAAAATCCAACGTGGTGGTGCTGACATGGAGTTCACTCTCACTGTGCAAGATTTGCATAGCATGTGAGTATCGCCTTCTGTTTTCTCTCCGACTAGCTTTGCATGAAACCTCATATTTGCGAGGTCCACAGATCCCCGGATCGATATCTTGAGGTTGGCGGGGCAAAGCTCAACAACGTCTCATATCAGCTGGCACGCCAGTTTTGTGTGCCTGTTGAGGGTATTTATGTCTCAGAGCCTGCCGGGATGTTTCGTTTAGACGGTTCGGATCATGGCTGGATTATCAGCAGCATCGATACAAAGCCAACACCGAATTTGGATGAATTTATTGCGGCATTCAAAGAAATCCCGGACCGCGAGAGAATCCCAGTCGAATATTATTCTATTTTGGATGTCCACACGAAATCCGTGGCGGTTGTGACTGCAGAGCGACATTGGTCTGGGTTCAGATTGGCAGTCAGAAACGGTACAGTGATACATTGTGGTCTTATCTTAACAGGTCTTTGTATATTAACAATGGCGATGCTTTGAACTGCAGATAAGACAGGACTTTGGGACTTCACCGATCTCGGCAGCCCTCCTCCCCCAAGGCCATTGAAGCCGATGACCGCTACATTTGCAACACTAGATCAAAGTCTTGGAGCTGCAGCTAGCCTATTCCATTCACTGGTAGCTACTTTGTCTGTTTGGCTGCTTCATTCGGAAGTGAATAGTGACATTTTGCAAAGGTCAAAGTCAGTATGTACATTCCCTGCCGAATAGAAGGCTTTCCAAAGTCAAGGGTAAGAGAAATTCAGGTGAAGTCGGCCTGAGAGTTGCCTTTTTCCGGCTTTGAAACGAGTTTCACATCATTCCCTCTGTCTAGAAAATGGGCGCAGGACTTGTAATCGACGCAGAGAAGGGTTTGGTCGTAGTTGGTCGTAACATTGTCCCTTTCACCATGGGAGATATTCTTTTGACTTTTGCCGATTCGATTATTGTTCCGGGAAAAGCGGTGTTCCTACATCCTACGCACAATTTTGCAATCGTTTCGTATGATCCCCAGTTGGTCGGCGAGACTCCCGTCAAGAGTGCACCAGTCAGTCCAATAAAGCTTGGACAAGGACATCGCGTGTCACTGGTAGCATTGAATCACAACCAGCGTCCAGTTGCCATTGAAACAACAGTTACTGATATAACCACGGTAACAATTCCGTATTCGGGAACACCTAGATTCCGTGCGATCAATTTTGGTAAGAGCTCACCTAAAGATCATTAACCAAAATTAGTATGGAAGACAGTTAACTTTTGTCAATATCCTTACTGTAGATGCTATCACATTAGACACCCCTCTCGCTCAGCAGTGTTCTGCGGGGGTACTGGTGGATGCGGACGGTCGAGCGCAAGGCTTGTGGTTGAGCTATCTGGGAGAGCGAACGAATTCGGGTCATGATACAGAGTACCACCTTGGCATCGGAATCGATACCCTACTACCAATTCTAAGCCGATTGAGACTAGACGCGACCCCAAAATTGAGGGGTTTGGCTGTTGAGGTGACGCCTGTGCAGATGTCTCAAGCTCGGCATATGGTACTTTGATTGGTGTTTTTTTTTTTACATTGACGTGACACTTGCTCAGAATGCCTTCCTTAGGGTCTATCCGAAGACTGGGTACGAAAGGTAGAGGCAGCAAACAAGGAGCGGCGCCAATTGTTTTTGATCCGAAGAACAGAAAATGGGTCGGAGACCGCTAAGGTTCTACAGGATCTGGATTTGATCTTAGCTGTCAATGGAAAAACCATCACACGAGTTCAAGAGTTGGAACTTCATGAGGAATGGGGTAGTGATGTGGAAGTGACGATCTTGAGAGCCAAGAAGGAAATTACTGTTAAGGTACCGACGACTGAGTTTGACAATGAAGGAACAAAACGGATAGTTTTCTGGGCGGGTGCTGTCCTGCATGGTAGGTCATTGGAGGATTTGATGTCCACGCGCTCGTAACGGTTGGTAACGATTGGGATTCCAATTACAGAACCGCACCGCGCAGCTCTCCAACAGTCCAAAAAGCTTCCCTCGAGAATCTACGTCTCAGGCCGTGCCAAAGGGTCACCATCGTATATGTACGGAATTGTTCCAACACAGTGGATCACCGCGGTCAACGGCCGGAAAGTAACCACATTGGATGATTTCGTTGATGCTGTAAAGGGCTTGCCCGATAATGAATACGTACGGATTAAGACAATCAGTTTTGATCTAGTGCCATGCGTATTGAGCATAAAGCTCGGTCTGCATTATTGGCCTACCTCTGAGGTGAGAACCAGTTTTGTCAGAATGAATCTGCTATGACCTGCTGAACGTGTATTTTAAGTTGATAAGAGATCCTGATAGCGACTGTGGATGGACTCGGAGAAACATCCAATAGTCTGCTAAGTGGTGGTAAGGGGCTGCACAGGATCGCAGCATTGCATTACTACAGACAACCAGCATCATGAACGCGCATGTCACATCACTGTACTTATAATATCCACAAAAAACTTCTAGTGTTCTTGTGAATGCAAAGTTCACTTAAGCACAAAGATTATACCGTAATCTGGCGACATTTGTTATAGCTGAATATTTTGAATATATCTGTAACAAATTGGTGAAGATGTGGCTACACAGATTTGGCGAAAAGTAACGTTTTTTTTTGTATGATTTCGTTCTCCCAATCCATTTTGTCGACTGCAGCAAGAGATGGGAGGCTTGATATTACTACTCATATTGCGAAAAGCTACAGCAGTATGATGATTATTCTACGCCAGAACTCCACAGCATTTGTCAGTAAGTTAATTGTAAGCAGGGGCAAGTGTTATATTAGAAAGCTCACGTAGCTCGTCGGCATATCTAGGGGCTACGCGAGTACAGAAGAACTTTGTAGAACTTGCTGGAGGATGAGATCACGTAGGTGGCACAGTCATCTAGTTAGTAATGGGATGGTGAGCCTTGGGGTCTATAAAAACCCCCGTCAAATACTGCATACGTTTTCCAAACTACATACCTGGAAAGTTAAACCAAAATACAAGGCGACAAACATGTACTATATATATCCTAACGAACCACGCTATACCGTTGCAAACCCTGGGGACTTTTTCCGTCAACAACTACTTGACGCCCAACGGCAACGGGCGTTCGAGGAAACCCAGCGTCGCAGAGCTTACGAAGATGCGTTGCGTCGACGAGCCCTCGAAGAAGAGATCCAGCGACGAGCAATTGAAGAGGAGCTGGAGAGGCGTCGGGCGATAGAAATGGAGGTGCGGCGTCGTCAAGCGATTGAAGCGGAACTCGCACGTCAACGAGAACTCGAAAAAGAAATGTTACTAAGAGATTATGAGCGGGAACTACTTCGTCGGCGTCGTGAAGAGGACCAGCGACAGGCGTTCTATGACGCCTTGCTGGAAGAGCAGGAAAGGAGAGAACAGGAACGGCGTCTGTGGAGAAAACGGCTTCAGCAACAGCAGCATCCTTACGGACCCAGGCGGAAGGTTCCGACTGGTAGTGACTCAGAGGAAGAATTGACTATCAAGCCTTCTGCACCTGCACGCCAGATTCCAATCCTCTTTTTGAATCAGGCCGCGCATCCTGCTGCCACGATGACGCCTCCCGAACCTCAGGAACCTCGAGTGGTTCCAAGGGCCCAGTCACCCGCAAGAGAGGCTATCAGATCTCTAGTTACATCGCCTTCAGTCACACCTACAATTCGAGCGGGCGCAAGGGCGCAATCGCCGGTTAATGAAAATACTACGCAGCCAACTACACCAGCTCCAATCACATCCGCGGCTACATCAACTCCAGTCGATGATCGAATCCTCACATTCAAACAAACTCGTGCCGCGCGAATCCTTCAAAAGCATTTCCGTCAAACACGCCCCAAACTTATAACCCTCGCGCGCATTGTCGAGGACCTGCGAACCGCTCAGCGTGATCTTGAACCAACTGTGCTATCAACACCTCTCGTTGTAACCAACGGCAAGCTTCTACCTCAAAACAACAAAGCGTTTGTGATGTTGGAAGAAACCCTTACAAAGTTGCTTGTACGAGCGGATGCAGTTCAAAGTGACGGTGTTGCTCTTGTTCGGGATGCACGCAAGAAAGTTGTTGGGGCTGTGAACACAGTCTTGGGGCATTTGGATGCTATCAGACGGGATGCATTGCGAAGAGCTGCAGAAGAGGAGGCGTCGCGAGTGACAAGTGAACAGGTGGTCAACAAGGATTCTATGGATGTTGATCAAGATCCTTCGACAACAGTAGATTCGTTACCACCAAGTGAACTTGAAGTCGTTCAGAACACGGATGCGATGCAAGTCGATGATGAGAGCACTACGACTTGCGCAACAGCGACCAACAGTGCGGGAGCCGTCGCCATGGAAGATGAAGGGGATCAAGTGCCAGAGCAACCTCTAGACACGATCAACGAGATCATATGTCAAGCGGCAGACGCAGAGCTGCAAGTCGAGAGTGATCATGACGATGGAATGCAGGTGGAATCTGACGATCAAGGCGCACAATCTGACAAGCAAGATGCTCTCTCGGCCGACACTGGGTCAGATGTGCAGTCGGTCGAGACGCCAAACCCCGAAAATTCTAGTGATGTTCAAGCGGTCGACTCTGGCGCGGCCACTGAGACGCAACCAACACCGGCACTCTCATCACCTGGAGAAGTTGAGCCCGCTCATCAAGATATGACATCCTCGCCGGTCACAAAGGGTTCCGAGCCATTCATTCTCGTGCAGAGTCCGGCAAAATCACCATCTTGCAGTGTGGTAGTCGACCCCTTTCTTCAAAGAGATAACTGTGTGGCAGTTACCGCAGAGGGATAGCGAAACGTAACTACTAAAGCAATTATCTGCATGTACAAATAAATGTGAATAGTAATAGGATTTTGAGGCTTTTGAATGTGGGGATTTGGGATTATGTATTAGTGATATTTGTCATATGCACATTCTTCGAAATAGTTTGATTATACGCATGAACGTGTTAACACCAAAAAATAACATTTGTTTAAAACAACTGAATTGACGCTATTCCATATACTGAAGCATTCTTGCGTGTTGTGTACAGTACATGAAACCACTTATCAGAGTGCTGTGCTACGGTGTGGCCAGATCATTTTTTCGTCGCTACCCATGTATATAGGGTGATGGAGATCCTTCGGAATCCGACGGCGGGTGGTGATGTCCGGTGGCGAGAACGAAGCCGGCGGGGTAGGGGGCGAAGCTGGGATATACTGCGGTGTAAGGTGGATGAATGAGGTGTGACTAATTTGAATTGAAGGGCTTTTTATTAGAAAAGATTTTAAGACGAATAAAACATGACGATTGACATAGGTACCATGTGGAATGAGCCGGAAGGCGGTGGGTGTCTCATATCGTGTGTCGGTGTGCCAGGTTGGGGCGAGAGATATTCACGTCCTTGATCGCCGTGATTGCTTTCAACGTCATCGCCGCCTTCTCCGCCGCCTCCTTTACCACTGCTATTGTTTTTCTTGCTGGTGTCCTTGTCTGATTTACGTCGCGCCAAACGCAGGCTGCGTGGGGATGGGATGTGCTCGTCCATGGATCGGTCATCTCGAGGTGTCGACTCGATTAATCCATTGTCGTCGCGTTCTGCGCTGTCGTCCGAATCATCTCCACCGTCACCTCCTCCTGAACCGTGTTTCTGAATTGTCTTTTTGAATTAGTTAGTGCTCTCATATTGATTGAGAACACAGGTCAACAGTGGATGTGGTTAGTTTACCTTGATGATGTCGTCGTTGGTCCGGCTCTCATGGGGTTCCGTTTCGGTATACCTCAACAAGATTTTATCCATATCCGTGCTTGCGAATTGAAAAAGCTTTCCGTTGGATGCGAACATGATTAACCCGATCTCGCAACCGCAGAGAACGGAAAGCTCGTATGCTTTTTTCATGAGACCGAATTTGCGCTTGGAGAAAGTGACCTATAGCGGTTCCATAATATGTGTTGCAAACATATTTACGGCGCGTACGGAGGTAGTCGGAGGGAAAGAGGGCGGGAAAATAGGACCAGGTTATGTCGTAGGACGTGGGGGGTGACAACGATGGAGTGCGGATGGTAACAAAAAGCGAAAATGTAATATATTAGCATCATATATGGAAACATGATGTGGACGACCAGAAATAGCCGTCTCCGATGCAGAAAATAGCACCAACGCTATATAAAACCCATTCCGGGCCTGCTCCTTTTTGCAGGCTCCGTCAATTTGCACCAAAGACCAACGAATATATCACGCACACAAGATTGAGTCTCTCCGCTTCCTCCCTGCTCACGCTACACCTACAGTGCACGCGTTGAACGTACCTGTCGATTCCGTTCGTCCTGGATCCGTTTGATGGCAATCTTCTTGCGTCCCATGTTTGGATTCGATTCGCAAGTAAACGGGAAAAAATAAGATATGAGAGAAAATTGATGGCAGTGACAAAGATCTTGGGTTGAAATAAAAAGATTGGAAGGAGAGATCGGATGAACAAACGGCTCTCTCTAGTCGGCCTTGTCTGTGTGTCTAGTCTTGTCAACAAAGTCGAGCCTCAAAGTGTTTGTCCCTTTCGTAATCAACGCGTAATCAAACCAGACGCGCTCCACCGCGACACGGTCTTGACTTCTGGAAGAGCCGATCCGAATGGATGTAAGGGGCATCCTGTATCTTTTATTTGTCTATCCCCCATGGACACTGTTTTGACCAAGTAGAAAGCCAGAGGTGCCAAAGTTGGGCAGAATCATCGAGAAAGGATCAGTCTGTGGGTTCGTCTCCTCCGTATTTTCCATGGTAAAGCAAAGAGGGTGAATTGCGAAAGAGTTGCGATAATGTAAGGGGTCCGTGTGTCGAGACATCCATCTGTTCTAAAATTAACCTCCAACCAAATGCTCCTAACAAGAGATTAAGTTAGGAATTATACGAGGTGGGAGATACGTAACTGCCTCACCTGGATACCTATTGGGTCACAGTTCACAGAATTCTGGGGGGCAAAATAATACGCCTCTACGATCTGAAGGCGTGTATGGTACTGGTACTTTTTGATTAGATTAGCACACAGCATCCATGTGTCGGGACATCCATCTTGTTCTATAATTAAACTCCAACAAATTTTCCGAATATGCAAGTAAGTTAGGAGGCATACGAGGTAGGGGATACGTACTGCCTCACCTGGATACCTATTGGGTCATCATCCGAAGAATTCTGGGGGTAAAATATTACGTCTCTAGGCCTCTGGAGATGATGTCCCTTGTACGGGTAATGGGTACGTAGTGATTAGTTAGCACACGTCCCCCATATATACGATTCAGTGTGCCATGGATGATGACCTGAGCGCCCTGCAAATGGTTCAAAGTTAATCATGCTTGGCAACTTGAGAAAAATACTTCACATATATTTTGTGGATATGTATTTACAAATTTCGTACACGTCCAAATGCTCGAAGAAACTTGCCCCTAACCTGCTACACCCATTGCCTCCTTGCACATTGCATCAACATTAGGTCCCGTGTATATGCCTGTATTCTTTATCGCTTTCAAGAATGCCGTGAACACTTGTTGGTGCAGTCGTGTAATTGACATAGGGGAACGTGCCAAAGAGTGTTGTAGAGTTGATAACGGTGTACATGCCAGAATTCGGAAATGGACAGACGGAGATGATATCATGAGGAGATGGAATAGGTGATAAATTTGTGGATAACAGTGAGCTATAGTCAGAGGAAGTTTGCATTGGAGGCCATTCGGTCGTTTTATCGCCTTCCATGAGTAGAGAGGTCGACACGGGAGATGTGTTGTAGGTGCTTAATCCTTGCTCAATTGGGGCGACACACTCTGATGAACCTTCATGGGGATGCGATTTTAATGGCGCAATATCCTCCCAGAAGATGGTGCTGCTCGGTTCAACTGGTGCAGTAAAGCTGTCCAAAGATGAAGGCTGTGATGATGTTGAACCGTTGCACGAAACAGAGCCGGATGCGAGCCCCCTTTTACGTTTCTTGTTGGCCTTTTGATGAACCTTTTGATGACGAGCCAATTCGTCACTGCGACCAAAGCGCCTACCGCATGAATGCTCAAGACATGGATACGGTTTTTCGCCTGTATGAATGCGATTATGGCGAACGAGGTGCTCTTGACGGTAAAAACCTACACCAGAACTCTATCTTAGACACCACCGCGATTGACAGGTTACGAACAAAAATAATACAGATAAGCAAAAACATTTACCTTGATAGCATGTACTGCAGACAAACGATCTGGTATCTGGTTCACGACGCCTTCTGGGTGGTTTACCGGTAGATCGACGCGAGCTGGGTCTTTCATCAGTTCGGACAGGTGCCGATGGACCTTGACAGATGTCGGTCTGCAATGTCCGTGTATACTTGAACAGATCATTGGAAGTAGAAGATGAAGTCCGCATCGTGGAATCGTGGAAGGGTAATCCTGAATGCAAAAAAGTAAATTGTCGGGGGGTAAGGCTGTGTGCGTGCTGTGTGATGACCAATTCGATGGATATTCGAAAGTATTTTTTTTTTTGGCGTGAAGTGTTTTTCTTTTGGTACCTTGTGGCAAAGAAGGCAGAAAATCATTCGATGGCTACGAAATTCTACTTGCTTGATGTCGGACGTTCGAGGTCAATACAATGTTTACGCAAAAAAAAAGGTGGCGGTCTCGGAGCGGTGGGGTGGTGTCCTCTTTGTGATGCTTTTGACGGATTTTTATTTTTTTTTGGTTTGTTCTGTGGTTGACATATTCTAACTGACGTCCCTGAGACAGTAGTAAAAAAAATAAAAAAAGCGTTTGAATAATACAAAAGTGTGGAGGTCATTTGGATCAACACTGCCATTGCAAGGGATATCTGTAAAATTGGCATCTGGTCAGCTTACATGGGAGATTTGGGAAGGAAGACATCAACAAGTTCATGCAATTGCCCTTCAGGATCGGTGGTGTTACCTGTGGATCCTAACGTCCCCGTATGTTTACGAAATTGAACAGTTGACAGCCTCAATGTCAAATGCCCTTAGCCCACATTTCTCAACCCATCTTTGGTTGCAAATAGGATTTATCATCACTGAATTGCATCAGGTAAGTGTATGACCGCATGGGCGCAGTCCGCGCCCGCATGGTTTGGGCTGTTCGCATCAGTTGAAATTGGAGAGATGTACGAATGTCGGGGCTAGCTAGTCTTTGACACATGCGATATTGAAAATGTTTTACGCTGCTCTGTCATGCTACGGCTCTGATCGCTTCTGGTGTGTAGAGGAAGATGACCATTTCTCTCCAACAACTTGCTTGAACTCGCGACTGTGCCGTAACCTCCTCCGAAAATAAACAAAAACCTCCAACGATGCGAACTTTGAGAATTTCTATTCGTTACTGTGATCATGTCACGTCGGGGAAGCATCCAACGAGCATTCAAACTTTGTAGATTCGTGGGCTGTTATTTGGGGAGGGATGGGAAGAGGTGGGATAGAACCAGCTGTCACACTTTTCGCCGAGCCCACATTGTACATGAAGATCTTTGCGTAGTTTCATACAACGACGTCCCGTGCTGGCTTCACTGTTATCGTGGTCTAGATTCTATAGCATGGATTAACTTATTCGCAAATGTTATCTTTCCCAACCCATGTTTCGCATCATTTTTGGCATGAAGGGGATCGTCGCTTTTCATGCACATCAAAATTAAATGCGCCATTCTTGTCCAATGGGTGCATCAGAAAGAAAGAAAGATGGAGCATTCCTTTCATACCTTTTTGGAAAGAGCGATATGAATAGGAAGAAAAAGCAAAAGCTAGATAGTACATCAGGAAAACGTCAAATTCTTAATAGTAAATGTGTCGCCGGCAAGTACACATGCTGATTACGTATACATAGGATGAGGCTTAGCATGTGTTTCCGATCACAGTCGGCGATTTCGCAGCCTCTATTGCAGGGCGACCATTTCGAACATGTCTGACACATTTGGGAGCAGCAGCACCACATGCTCACCGTCCACCATCACCGAAACAGCACTCACAAGTCTACTTGAGCACCCTTGCCTATTCGTCATTCAAGAACATGCCGCAACACGACATCACTGGGACTTGCGACTGCGAGTGCATTCCCGCACAAACACGCCGACAGACGTTCTCCGCAGCTGGGCCGTCCCTAAAGGCCCCAGTTTCAATCCCACCGAAAAGCGATTAGCGCAGGAAACGACTGACCATGATATCGGGTATGCAGGGTTTGAGGGGGTCATTCCGCGGGAGTCTTATGGGGCGGGTACGACCATGGTATGGGATATTGGGACATACTGTGTACCGAGAAAAAAGGGCGAGGAAAAAGATACGACGAGTGAGGAGGAGGGGGGACGTAAAGAGCAGGAGAGGTTGGAGAGAGGGTTGGCGAAGGGGCATGCTAGGATCCGGTTTTTTGGGCAGAAGATGAGAGGTGATTTTGTGTTGTTTCGAATGATGGGGACGAGGGTTACTGGTGGGTCGAAACGGTTACGTGCCTTAACGACCATGTCGCCCTCACCGTCTGGCAAGAGTCCTCCTACGGTAACTCCCCGCGGCACAGGCGCATGGCTATTGATAAAGAAAAAAGATGGATACGCTATCCAAGGCGGTCTACCTGATATTACTCTGACGGCACCACTATCCGTTCTTACTGGGCGCACCATGTTCCAAATTGGGTGTGACGCTGGTGCGGAGGTTGATAATATGGGACATTGGATAAAGTTGCCTCGTGTGAAGCGGGAAAGACGGGCGGTGTCTACTCGTGTGAAGAGGCTTAAACAGGAAGAAGGGAAAGTTGAAATCAAGTGGACAGATATTAAGGAAGAGAACGAGGACAGGAATACGAATGGATCAAAATGCAATGGGTCAATCTTGGACGTCACAGATCGGTCGGACATCAAAAGGGAATTTCCTTACGCTATAAAAGTGGAAGACAAACCCGCCCTCATTCGCCAAGAACATGCAAAAACCAAAAGACAATTTCCTGTATTAGCCACATCCCTCAAACGACGATACTCATCACCCATTCTCGTTGATTCGGATTCAGATGCGACTGTTATTGATGGATAACTTTGAAGAAGGAAACTTCGTAAATTAGTGGGCAGAGATCAAAGAAGAGAACGAGGACAGTAATACGAATGGAGCGAAAGGCCATGGTACAAGACTGGATATTCCAGATGGGACGGACATTAAAAAGGAGTTTTCTTACGCTGTGAAAGTAACAGACAAACTTTTTCGTCTTCATTCACCAAGAACATGCAAAAAGCATGGGACAATCAACTGTATTACCCACAAACCTCAAACGACGTTACTCATCGCCCGTTGTCGTCGACTCCGATTCAGCGACTGTTATTGATGGATAAACGGAAGAAAGGTCGTGAAGGAGTGGACAGAGATGAAAGGAGAGAACGATGGCAATGATATGAATGGAGCGACATGCAGTGGTACAATACTGGGATGTTACGGACATCAAAATGGAATTGTCTTGCGCTATAAAAGTAAAAGACAAACTTTTCGTCCTCATTCACCAAGAACATGCAAAAACCACTAAACAATCGCGCGTATTACCCACACCCCTCAAACGACGGCTTATTCTCGTCAACTCGGATTCAGACGCGACTGTTATTGATGGTTAACGAATTGAAAAACAAAGGATTACTAGTGCTATGAGGTTCACAGTTTTGAATTGGTTTGTGGATTGTGAGAACGAATGTATTTAGGTTTCTCGGTCTACATTAACGCACTTGTTGGACTACTACGGTCTCCACGTGATGACTTGTACGGCTTTTTTGGCAGCTTCCGCCAGTTCTTGTCTCGGAGATTCGAAAAGCGCTTGTAACTAGGCACACCCCAAATCAAAGCAAAATAAATACACAAACAAAAAAAACATTGTTAAAAGACGAGACAAAATGCAAAAAACGACATAATCTCACCTGCTTGATACACCCATGCAACTGAAACCTCCCCCGATAATCCTCCGCACAATTCGTAATCGTCTTTACAGCATTCAAAACAAGTAACTGGTTCTTGTCTTTAAGGAGGTCCATGAGGACTGGAAGGGCGTTTTCGCGGACCACAATTCGTTTTGCTTCCACGTCTATTGTGATGCTAATTGTTGGATAATGATTTTTTTAGAATTTAGTGGTTTTTGGAGTGTTATGAAAGTGGTTTTTTTTCTTTTTTTACCTCATTAAGGCTCCAGCGGCTGCTGCACGAACGGTAGAGTGTTTGTTGTGTAAGAGGTCGATTAGAACGGGAATGGTATTTAATTGGCATGCAAGTTTTTTGCCTTCATGGTAGTGACTAGTTTATAAAATAAAAGTGAGTAAATGAAACGCTCATCCAACATTGGCATCAAGATACGCCTCCCAATAAAACAACATACCTCAAAACCATAACACAATCCGCAACACGAACCGCAACATCCCTCACACACCCCACTTTAAGCATCTTTGTAAACACCTCCATAGCACCTGCCTCCAACGCATCCCTAGGCATAAACGGCGCCTTCCCCAATCGAATACAATTATAACATGTATCGAGAATAACGAGTTGGATATCCAGTGCTTCGTGCGGGAGTTTTTGGATGAGGGGGTCAAAGAGGATTGAGTGGAGGAGGGAAGTAACACCGGATGTGTGTAGGGTGATGAGTGAAAATGTTGTGTGAATTGTTTTGCGGACTAGTGGGTCTGGGTCGTCGAACTGGTGTGTGTAGATGTTGGTTAATGATATTGTTGTTTGGGTGTGTGTGAAAGAATTGTGAGAATGTTTTTTGGTACGTACGAGTTTAGATAATGGGACTAGGGTACTACATTCCACCATGGACGCCCGTCCAATAGCATGTCCTAAAAACCCCACCAAAAAAAAAAAAAAAAAAAAACAACATCCAATTAAAAAAACAATCCCTTCCAAAAAAAAAGAACCAAACACAAAAAGAAACATACCACCCAACACCTTTAAACATTCCGTAGCCTTTTGTCGAACCGTCACATCCGAATGACCCACCCATTTCCCAAGAATCTCCACAATACGACAGTCAAGTCCCTGTGCGACGTTTTCGGGGGCGTGAAAAAGGTCTGAGAGGGATGTGAGAGCGGATTGGAGGTGGTGGAGGGGGGTTGTCGGTGTTAGGTCCGATATCTGTAAAATAAAAGGTTAAGAAGGTTTGTAGGAATTGGTTTAACTGTGAAGAGATGGGTTTTTTTTACGAGTTTGGGGACGGCGCGACGACCGTAGGCGAGTTGTTGTTTTGTTGGGTCGATGCCGGGTGGGATGGTGGGGGATCGGAGGTTGCTAATGTCTTGGGGAGTCAAGTCGGAACCGGAATGCTCAAGGTCTTGGGAATCAAAAGAGTGGAATGGGGTGAAATGGGGTTGAGCAGTCGTCGTCATGGTTTATTTTTTTGTGTGTGTTATTGAGATCACAAGCTCGTTTTAATACACACAGGTAGGAAAATATACATTCACGAAAGGGTTGCCTTTTTTTAAAACTCCGACCTCGGTCATGTGATCCGTTTATTTATTTTCATGACATAGGTTTGAATGTATAAATCTAAAGTGTATACAGAAAACGCGAGTCTATCAACAGAGAAATATAAATACATACATGCGAAAAAAAAATTACAAGATTTTATAAATTGTCGGGATCCATCTAGGATTGCTTCTTTCTACCCAAGGCTTGCCCAGCAAGCGCACCCAAAGGCTGATCCTGCAAGGCAGTCAACAACGCCTTGGTTAAATCCCCTATAGGAACTTGCCCACTCTTGACACCAGCCAAAACCGCTTGAATCCGTTCAAGCAGCGGTCCAGAGAACGGGCACCCGAAATCAAAACTCCCTTCTAATTTCGGTCGTAGATTAAATGTTGAGAGCGGGACGACGGATACGGCGGCGGTGTAGTCGATTTTAACGGGTTTGCCTGCTGGGCTGTTTGTAAAGTTTTCTATATTACAGGATGCGAGGAGTTGGTTAAAGGCTGGATCGGCGATGATGCCTGCGATGCCCGTGGGAGAAGTGTAGGTTAAAGTAAAGTTGAGCGTAAATTGGGTGGTGGAGCGGGATGGAAATCGGACATTGGTGCGAGTGCCCTTGCCGATGGGTTGGCGGGTGGGTTTGACGGAAGAGGTCGGTAACGAGGTATCAACAAAGGCCTTTATAACAAGAGATTGTTAGAGTCGCAAAAGAACAATAGTGTCAATACATGACCACTCAACAAAACACCTTACCGTAACATCCAACTGCTTCAAATAAATCGCATAATAATTCTCACTCTTTAACGATATTGTCATTGTGAGCATCAAGGACGCTGAAAAGGTACTATTCGTCGCATCCGGGAGCTTAAATTGCATTAATTCGTTTGGGGGGAGATTTGCGAGCGCCAGGTTCTCAAACTTTATATCCGGTATCCTATCAAGTAAAAAAACGACATGAGAAAACCCAAAAAACGCTCAACAAAACAATACTCGAGAGCAGTTATCATCCTTTACCTAGGAAAAAAGAAATATCCCAAAAGACCCAACCCAACCAACAACAAAACCACAATAGCCGCACACCCCTTTTTACCCCGCCGACTCCGCGGGATGCAACAACAACAGTTTTGACGACAGCAATTCACATCCTTGTATGTCTCCTGTTGCATTTCACCCCGTTTGATACCGTATGCAGTAGGCACTTTACTCCCCTGTGGGAATAACACGTTTTTCTCAACCGGTGTAGGTGCTTTGGTGCGCGGGTACGCTACAGGCATTGGAGTTCCCATTGGTGATCCCATGGGTGAAAAGATTCTGGCGTAAGGGGGTGGTGGGAGTGAAGGTGATGGAGGTCCTGGGCCATACGCAGGTCCTTGTGGTGGTGGAAATGGGCGATATGGATATTGTGGTGATGGTGGTGGTGGTTGTTGTTGTGCATATCGTTGCTCGTAGTCCCATCGTGGGTCCATGTCAAAGTAGGTGAAATGGTTGAAATTCTATGAAATTCTATAAAATCATGTAAACAGCATTTCCTGCAATCTATCTCCCCTTGTCTTTTTCCCACACAGTCGGTGCCTGTGGCAGCCTGTCCCATATTCAACTTTCTTGTCCAACTCCAAATGCAAAAAGAACTAAAAAAAATAAGAAACTCTGTCACACCACAAAAAGAGCCTCTTGGTACCAAAGACAAGTGGATTACGTGAACTACTTTCCTATTTAGACCATGTGGCTATGTTTCAATATTAAAAAATGACTTTTTGACCGCTTTTACCGCAATACATGGTCCCACTTGCATACATTCAATCGGTAGAGGGGGATATATTCTTCTCTGCTCTGTGGGTGGCCAGCAATAACAAAAGTCCCCTCTCTTTTAGGCTGTTTCAAACACCTTGTGCTGAGGACTGCAAGATCACGAATAGACGTGCAACGCTACCTTTGATCTCAAAACGATGAATGGACACAGTATACAAAATTACCTTTTGGATGAGTTTGACACAGCATAGCAAGGGCTAGGTATAAAACACGTATCAGAATCATATACCGTATAGTATCTTAGCTACTTGACTTGGCCGGGTTAACTTGTACAGATGGGCAATAGGTCTTGGATAACGTCGTAAACAATAAAAGCATGTGCATCGATGTTCCGCTACGAAAGGCTAATCCGCTCGCCAGCATCGCGAATGCAACATTTTCGGCATTGTTCGTTTGGCCACGATGAAACCTCCAGTCATTGAATTCCTGCCGTTTTGTTCATTCTTGTATGAATGGGTAACAGACGTTAGAAAGTATCTGCAAGTCAATCTATGAACAATACACGGATCGGTCTTCAAAACAAGCCAGTAGGATTAGACGAGATACATCAAAAGAAACGCCAATTGTTGAGCACTGTCGCCAATGTGTTTGCCATTTTCTTTCGGACAACAGTGTGACAGATCAAAAGAGTTTAAACCTTTCTGGATTTAGCTGGAGAAAGCGTTTCCTTCCTTGTTTCTTGATAACGATTCGTGTCATTTTGCACAATTACTGGTGAAATCGTACGGAAAAATACTCTTTGGTCTAACCCTAACCTTTGTAAATCCAGGATGAATGGACACACGATACAAATTTAACTTTTGGATGAGTTTGACACAGTATAGCATATTCAAGATATAAAACACGTATCATCAGTTTTGAATCATATACCATATAGTATCTTAGCTACTTGACTTTGTCGGCTTAACAATCAACAACATTATCGTTGAATAGGTTGGGATCGTCTTGTATCATAATGATTCGCTTGCAACAATATGTCTAGCTTCAAAAGTCGCAAGAAAATGCCATTCGTTTAACCGTGCATTTGGCTTGCCCTGCCCATTGTGAAACTGGCTAGGGAAACGGTGAGGTTGGCCATTGCTTGGTGTAGAGGGGTTGCCGCATGGAAATTTTTACAAGGTTTGAGTGTTCAATGTTCAAAAAGTGTCTGCCCCTGTAATCTGCAAAGACAACAATCCTGTAGTTCTGTTCTTGTATGAATGGGCAAATGGTATTAGAAAGGGGTAATAGGTGTTGGAAAGTATCTGCAAGTCAAATCTATGTATTTTCACTCTTGTGTGGATGGGTAATAGGTGTTGGCAAGGCAATCTACTGTATATATCTGCAAGGCATCTATGTGTGTATGGGTAATAGGTGTTTCTACAAGGCAATCTACACTGCAGTTCAATCGATTCGTCCTCCAAGCACATTGCGCAGCAATCACTCCCTTGGAAAGTAAAGTCGGTTTGGCGGAGTGGTTAACGCGGTGGCCTGCTAAGCCATTTCCTTCTGGGAGCACAGGTTCGAATCCTGTAGCCGACGCTAAATCAGTCTTTGTGTTCCTTTTTTTTCCAATCTTGTTTGCATTTTTGAATGTCGTGTTATTTCATACCTACCTGGTTATCGTAAACTCATGCTGTCTTTTAGCTACGATACTAGTTATGATAAATCTTGCTACGTCAAGCATTACAGGTTACCGTGTAATTGCATATTTACTAGACCAGCAATCCACTTTACGGTCATGTCTTTGTAGAATTTTTGTATGGGGAACTGTAAATCCAATTCTATTTTCCATGTAAGAACATGTTTCGATAAAGGAAAAGATCAGCTACGATACTAGACCCTGTTGCCGTTTCTCTACGGCTGTATTGTTTTTCATTATATGGTGAACGTTGATACGTATGCATTACAGGTTCATTGTTTAATTGCATATTTACTATGACCGACAATTATAAAGATATTGCACAACGATGTGTTCTTAATGTAGCAAGAGAACGATTGTTTTTCATTTGATAAACCTTGGTACATAAGCATTACAGGTTCATTGTTTAATTGCATATTTACTATGAGCGACAATTATTCGCTGTATTGCACAATGATCTGTTCTTGACGTAATGTCAATTTACGTTCATGTTTTTGTAGAATTTTTGTATGGGGGACTGTACATCCAACGTATTTTCCATAAAAGAACACGTTTGGATAAATGAAGAAACTAGAGATGTAAAATGTGGTGTATACGCATTGTTTTCCCCCTCCGAAACTTGATCTAGTTATTTTGTTTTTGCTTTTTTTTAAAGCTAGGTATTTTTCATATCATGTATGTTTTTTGTAAGGGTATGGAAAAAACGTAAATATGTGTATTTGAAAAACAAATGATAATCCTTTTTGAAGCTTTTCGTAGATACCCACTTATTCGAATCTACGAATCTACGAAATGCATTTTTTTGACGATAGGGTGGTTAGCAGCTCTGGATTGCTTTTTGTTTGGTTAGTTATGCATTACATGTCTTTTTTGGATGGAAGCATTTTCTGAAAATTGTTGTACCAAAAAAAAAAAAAGTGTGTTAGTTTATCATTGCATGAGCCGTTAACCAAGCGTTTAACACATTGTTTGCATTTCAAAACTGAGAAAGCAATTTCGATATAGAGTTGTACTAAAAAAGTTTATTTCACGACTATATATGAGAGTGGAACAATTGCATTTGAAAAACGAGATAGCAAGGTATATATTGAATTGCAAGATATGTTTATTTAAAAGATATACAAAAGGCATTTACGCAAAAACACACAAGCAAAAACAACACATTCCTTCAACGTCTTTTTTTTATATATTTTTTTGTTTTATCGGAAAAAGAAAAATCATAATCACACCATCACACACACACACAACGACAACAACAACAACAACAACGACAACACCAGCAAAAAAAAAAAGCCTCGCCAAAACAAAAAGCAAAAAAAAAAAAGAAATACACCCACCAGTATAAAAAAAATGCATCAGAAAAAGTCTCTCTCTCACTCACCAAACCCTTAAAGTCACACCCCGAACCCACACAAAAAAAAACAAAACACCCCCAAACCACCGTCCCAAACCCACTCAAATATATTTTCAGGTCCCAACAACACAAACCAACACCCCATCCACCCTCGGACACACGTCCGAAACCGCGATCCACCAACACTGAAGCGACGTGACAGCCCCACGCAACAAATCCTGAGCCTGTTTAGAGGCGCTCACGAGGTCTTTACGAAGGACCGGCGTCGAGGGCGGGACAGTCGGGATCGATTCAGCGTGCACGGGAGGAATAGTAGCGTGAGTCTCTTGATTCGGCGAGGAAGAAAGCGCAATGGCGGAATCGGATGGCCGAGATTTGGGTTCGTCAAATACGGGTACGGTTTCGAAATCCATTTCTTCCATATCCATAGACCAAGATGTAGACTCTTCTTGAACAGACTCGAAAAACTCGATTCCTTGCATCCATTCCCGGACTTGAGCCAACGACGCACGTTCAAAAGGGTCCAAACAAAACATGCGCTCCAAGATCCATCCCAATGATTCCGAGAAGCCAAATTGGCGACGGACGGGGTCGAATCCGCTGTTTAGCATTGTCTCAAACAGTGGGTCCGTTGCGGTCGGTTCGATCCACGGGTTTTGGCCAGTGAGGAGGTTGATGAGCATGATGCCGAGGCCCCAAACGTCGTTGGCGGGAGTCGAGTAGCCGGGTCCAGAGGCATCGAGGCATTCGGGGGCCATGTACCGGACACTACCGCATCCAAATTCCGTAGACCATTCTTGAGTGGTTGCGAGTCCAAAGTCGGTGAGTTTCAGTGAAATAGTGTCATCACCCGTAAACGTAACGAGCACGTTTTCGGGTTTCAAGTCGCGATGGTAAATGCCTTTGGAATGGCAGTACTCTGATGCGTCGAGGAGCTGGTGAAAAAGGGTGCGAGCCAAAGTGGGATCAAGTCCATTGCGCTTCTCAATCAAGTCAAACAGGTCTGTATCGCAGTATTCGAGGACAAGGTACAAGCAGTCGTCCGTGTCGATTGTTTTAAAGAGTTTGACAATGTGATCGTGGCCAGAGAGGAGGGACATGACGGTTGCTTCATTGTGCTGGAGGGCGAGTTGAGTGGGCGTGAGGTTGGATTTAAAGAGGCATTTGACGGCGAATTGGTCCGAGGGGTTCGTGGTGGATTCTGCGAGGTAGACGACGGCAAAGGAGCCCATGCCGAGGACGGAAACGAGCCGGAGACGGCCGTCGTCTAGGAGCTGACCGATTTTATCGTGCGGGTTAAAGTCGTCGTTGTCGCTCATGGTTTATGGTATCCTTTAAAAAAAAACCAAACAAAATGTGTCGAGGAGCAGAGAGGATATCTTTTGTGTAAAAATGCCGATAGGTTCGTTTTCGCGAACGAGATGGGTTATTGTGCGTTGTTGTGTTGAAATAATGCTACAAGGGGTCTCAATCGTGTGGTGGATCGTTTGCAAAAGGAGTGAGATGGGTAGAACCCACTAGAAAAAAGAAAACGGGAATGAGATATACCATATTCGAACCTTTAGTAAATATCAAGAATATGTACATACCAGACACCAAAAGAATGAATCTTTTGACGCTCGATTACATTTCTTGATGATGGTACGAGTGCTCTCCCGAAAGGAAGGGCTGACATTACAAGTGACGAGACATATTGAAAGTTCTAGCCCGAGTGGGTCTTGTGTAGTTGTAGTAGTAGTGGTGGTGGGGGAGGGGGTATGTAAAAAAAAAAAGAAAAGGTCTACAGGAATGTAAATCTCTTATATACAAACGAGGAGGGCCGAGTTTAAAATTCTGCATAGAAAGCAATGGAAAAAAGATGTGAGTTATCTGCGCGTTTGCTGAAACGCGCTTCACATTTTCTCACCTCGTCCAATACTCGCTTTCTTTTGTCAGCTGCTCACACCAATGTGTAAAAAGGATAATAGATAGTTTTCTACGAGTGGGTATTGGTGGTGGAGCGATGGTCAATGCAGCAGACAAGGCTGCGTTTGTGTGTAGCTCGCGCCCGATTCCCCCCCTTTTTTTTCGATAGTGTCCAGTTATCGAAAGACACGAAAAAAGGGAGAAAAAACTCTATAGTGTGTGCGAGTACAGAACCACTAAACACACACACACACGCTCTCTCTCTCTTGTGTAAGTAGTAGGAAGAGGAGAGTAGTAGGAAGAGGAGAGTAGTAGGAAGAGGAGGAGAGTAGAATGGAGAGTAAGGAATAAAATGACTTGGCAGCGAGAGAGAATAAAAGACTATGAGAAGAGAATAACAAGTTTTCCTATAGAGAGAGAGAAGAGAGAGACAAGAACGAGTGAATAGAGAGTATAAAAGAGAGAAAGAGAAACAAGAAGAACTTACAATATATTCCCACACACACACACACACACAAAGTAAGAGAGAGAGTAGGGAACAATACGTGGGAGTGTGTGTAATAAACAAGAGAGAGGAGAGAGAGATAAAAAAAGAGGTCAATATAAGAGAGAGAGAGAGAGAGAGAGAGAGGGAATAACAAATCAACAGTCAGATAGAGAGAGAGAAACGGAACAAGAAGAGAGAGAGAATTTTTAAACACGGAGAGGTCATCTGGTCACTCACTCACTCATCTCTCTCTCTCTCTCTTCTTCCCTTATCAGGTTGTATATCAATTTTGACTGATGCGTGTTCTTGTCCTTATTCGTCTCTCTCTCGCCATTTCACATGACTCGTTACTAAATAGTCACATACCTTTTTATTCTTACTCGCTTCTTTGTCTTTTCTCGTTTTGCTTTTTATATAATATATTTGAACCTTCTCTCTCTCTCGACGTGTTGCACTATACGAGTGCGTGCGAGTGCTAATGCGTGCTAATGCGTCTTTAAAAATGTTGCTAACAGAGTGTTCCGCCCTTGTCATAAATGACAAGCACACAGTCACTAGAATACCCCAAATAGCCAAACACACGCGTGCTGGCAAGTCAGGTGGCGATTAAAATGGGCGTTGCTTGTTTCAAGATGTTTTTTTCAAAACTTTCCAGAATGTGTGTTTGGTTGTCTGTTGGTGATGGTGGACAAGTGGGACTGTAGTTTATGGCGTGCTTTTCTTTCTGCTATCATCATCATCATCATCATCAGAGGGCGCCTCCGACTGGATGATGACACACATATACACAGACAAGCCCTCTTTCTCTTCTTTGTGTGTGGATTGGTTCCGTTTTCCGTTCGTCCCTAAATGTGATGAACAAGCCCTTTTTTAGGTAAGCCCCGCCGTAAACAAAAGACCGTTTTGCTGAGCCCCCCCTCCTCCCCTGATTTCCACCCGCCCGCTGAAAATTGCACAACTCCCTTTGGAGAAGAAAAAAACGCCTTTTTGTGTGTGTGCATGTGTGTGTGCTTTCAAGAGTTATGGCGCAACTCTCCCCCCAATGAAAGAGAGTTGAATGACAAGCCACTATCCCAATCCCTATCGTTCAAGCCTGGTTATCGGAATGATTGGGGCGATTGGGGGCTTGTGTTTGCCAAGTCCCCCCAATTGGCTGACTAATAAATCCAGATTGTGTGTGGTCGGGGATCTGCCACTTTGTCGGCTTGTCTGTTTGACTCGGGATCTTGTGTGTTTCCTACATTGTGGGCGTGTGTGTGCAAGGTTCCCCCCATCTTTGTGTGTGTGTGTTGTGTGTGTGTTGTTTTTGTTTAAAGGTGGCGTTTATTTAGGGGTTCAACTTGTACCCTTGCTTGGTTGAGTTTTTGTTGGGGGCTTTGATTTAACCAGTCCTTCACGGGGCAGCCTTTCATGGGCACAGCACACACCACACACAAAAAGATTGCGCGGTTCAATGGCGACATGCTCTTGTTATCGATGCATGGTTACAAAATGTGTGTGTGTTGCGTTGGATAAGCAACATATTCCATCTGATAAATCCCCATTCCCGCGTGATATGCCAGCCACTGGAGATGATGGACATATTGCAACAAAGAGATAGCAACTGTGTGATGACACTTAATCTTTATCGCACTGCATCACGAACACAACAGGGTGCCAAATGTACGTGGATACAAGGTCTTTTTCCAATCGAAACATTCTTGGGAACAAACCATTCTTGAATAATCTGGACATACAACAGCTCAGGTGACTATCAAAATGACCTCACATGAACCTTCCTTCCATGAGGATTTAACGCCAAGAATGTTTCCAACCTTTTGATCCGTTTCACCCAAAATGGGCTTTATATGATACATAATATGTCATATTGCTTATCAAATGTACGTACGCGACACGTTTGAGAAAGTGCGATATTTTACACTCCCCACTTGGAGTAAAACGATTAGCGTTCATGTGCCATTAGAGTTCCGCTTGTGTGCATATGGATATAAATGTGTATCATCCAACCCCAACAACGTGAGATGGGAGTGGGTGTGCTGTACAACATAATCGGGGTAGACAAGGTCACATTGGACCAGAACAACCCTGTTGGTACCCCAGAATATCTTCTTGGAGCGGAGGGGGATTATACAAGCAAAAGTGGATTATGACAAGATGAAACTTTGCCGTGGTGACAAGTCTGAGTCCGTGCTGCCCAACCAACCCAAATCTTACAAAAAAAGTTGAAGGGGATTTATCTTGTGTATGTGTGTTATGTGTAGTGTGCACACGTCCAGTTTAGCGCGCCAAAGTGAGAGTCAGAGAGAGAGCGCGAGAGATACAGAAGCGGGGGAGAAAAAGGCGGAACAAGAAAAAAAAAAAACCTTTTCAAAAAACGCTGTTGGGTGTTTTTTTGGCAGTTTTGGGCCATCGTTGTGTGTGCGGTTGCAGTAGAGCAGATTTCCCGTTGGTGTGTTGAAGGGCTTTGAAAATTGGGGCGTTGCGCCAAAGACTGGGAGGGCTTTCGAGAGTGTACAAAAACAAGGTTCAAAGGGGAAAGAACAGCTCTCTCTGCCAAGGGGGATCCACTCATTGAACCCAAAAACGAAAAAGCCGCACGCATCTACAACGACAACGAAAAAGAACGCTTTGCGGCTTTCTACTTTGCCATACCCCCCTTTTTATTGCGGCTTTGACATTTTACGAGAATAGGTTGAATGTCCTGGTGGATTTTGGCCGAGTGTATTTTTTTTTTAAGCTCTGCCTTCAAACCGCCGACATTACAGCTAAAAAGAACGGGCCCCCCGGCTGTTGTCTTTAAAGAAGAGCGAGAAAAACCTCCTTTTGTTGACCTACCCTTTCCAACCCTTCCCCCACGTTCTCCTTTTTTTTTCCTTTGTGGAGTTTTGTCATTATCATCATCGGCGGCTCCGATTGTTGGCAAAACCCGAACAAAAAGAAGCGGAAATCAAAAAAACGCCTCTCCCCTCCCCTATCAAAAACAAGTACTCTCTCTTCTTCCGTATCTCTTCAAATAGTGAGAGAAAGGGCTTGTCGATTTGTGCGATACGCGTGACAGTTTAGCGATATCGCCCAAACAACCCTTCAAAGCAAATCGCGTCTAAACCCACCCTCCTCGAAATACGCAACATTCCCCCCCGCCATACACGCCATACACAACAACAACAACAAAAGGGCAAGGTGTCCACCCGATTGCTTGAACTAGCAGGAAAACATCATCTGCCCCCCCGAACGCGTTGGTTGTTGAGGCGCGCGCGTATCTTTGGTTTTCTTTTTGAACTTTTGCTGGGCCTCTCTGTTGGTTTTATTTCTTGCTTGCCTCTCCGCTTTTTTTTTTTTTTATTTTGCCCTCGGCTTTTGTGGGCCGTTTGACCTGTGACAAAAAAGGGTCCCGTTTTTTCAACATTTGTTCGTCATCACCGATTTTTTTCGCCTCCGGTCAACTCTTCCCCCTGCGCGCAAACCACAACTTTAGAGCGATATCACTCTAGGTTTTCCTTTTGGCGCCTCCCAATATCCCTCCCACCAAGGCAAAAATAACTGTGCATACGACCCGTTTCCCCCCCAATACGAAATACAAAGGAAATCACACGCGCTACAAAAGGTCGTTTTATTCGCCTCCCAACACACACGACAACCGATTTGTTTACCCTTGCATCAACGATTTGTTGAATAAAGCGATACCCACAACGCCCTTTTTTGTGTGTTGAACATTCGAGAAAGAAGAGCTCGTGTCAAAACCTTTTCCGCTGATATCGGTCCTTTGTGTTGCCAGCGATATAGTAGATATTCTCTCTCTCTCATTATATATTCTACGCGCGCCAACGACAGAAGAAAACAAAAACGACGTGCATACCACACGAACAGAATTGCTCGAAATCAAATATCGAATTCAAAACGAGAACAAATACAAAAAAGAGAAAGGGGTTTCAGTGTTGTCATCAACTGTGTCTTTAACGGTTCAAGTCTTGTTCATGTCGTATCGATTCTGACTCGACCGATATCATCTACGGGCCCGTTTTCCAACTACGGGAGGCGCGACCAACACGGACACATCACAAGAAGAAGAGTGTTTTTTTTTATTATTATTTCCTTGCAAACGAGGACGTACATTAGAACAAAAGAAACAACCACAGGGCAAACCACTTGCTTTTTCCACGCATCGCTTGCACAGCGTTTCTCGCGTTCACTCTAGAACAGAAAAGAATCCGACACCATGCCTACCTCTACTACATCCCTCCTTCACACAACCCTCCCAACAACGCACCTCACCCTCACCTCCATCATCGGTTCCGGCTCCTTTGCAACCGTCTACGCCGCAACCGACCTCCTAACATCACACCCCTACGCCGTCAAAGCCCTCGATAAAACCGGTTTAACACCGGACCAACTCGAGAACCAGAAAAAGGAAGTGAAATTAACGCAACGTGTTCAAGGACATCCCAACATTGTCCGTTTGGAACGGGTTGTTGAGACTTCTCGATGGTTGTTTTTGGTTTTGGAGTGGTGTGAGATGGATCTTTATGATGTATGTTTTTTTTACTCTTTTTTTTTCAATTCATGTTTTTCATTGTCACTAAATACTTTGGGTGTAAATAGGCCATTACACAAACCTCTGGATTCCCTCCCTCGATTGTCAAACAAGTCTTTTCTCAACTCTGTTCCGCCCTTGCTCACTGCCACACCCTCGGCATCTCCCACCGAGACATCAAACCCGAAAACGCCCTCATTTCTTCCTCATATACCGTCAAACTCGCCGACTTTGGACTCGCGACATGTTGTCCGTGGTCTAAAGAAATGGGATGCGGGAGTGTACGATACATGGCGCCTGAATGTATTGATTCGCCTTGTACCCGATCGGTTGGGTACGACCCTTTTTGTACCGATGTGTGGAGTTTGGGGATTATTCTTGTCAATTTGTTGTTTGGCAAGAATCCTTGGCATGAAGCTACGGCTTCTGATCCCATTTACGCTGCATACCGAGGCTCCAACCCCGATATCCTTATCGAACAATTTGGCATCACAATGGAATTTAACACGGTTCTGGCCCGTGTATTTGATCCAAACCCCCTTTCCCGTCCCTCAGTCTCTGAACTCGCTCTCCTAATCGACTCTCTAGACCGATTCATTATGGATGACCCCGAATCTTGTTCCACTGATTCCCCCGTCACATCCTTTTGGGCCGACTCCCTCTTTGACCCTCCCTACGATGCACCCCCCACACCTCAACTCGTATCCACATCTTATACCAAACTCTGTGACTCTGGGTTTGATGATGGGGCTGGGTTATTGGAACAACATGCCCGTGGACGGAGTGATTGGATTTTTACGTTACCCGTCTTTCCGCCCCCCGAGGGTCCGAAACGACCTGACAAGGATGATGAGGATGAGGATGAAGGGTTTTCGTTCGTCAAGAGTGCTGTTGAGGTCCTGAGGGTTTTTGTTGGAGAGTAGGTTTTTCTTGTTTGTGGAGAGGTTTTATTTGGGACTAGTTTGTAGGGAAAAACTAGCTTTGTAGATGACACAACACACCTTTTTTTTTTTTTTGTTTTGCGGTTGCTTGGGTTTGTATATATTGTTGGATTTCTTTTTGTTTTTTTGTATATCCGACTCCCTTATTGAGGGGGGGTTCATTTGTTGGGACAGTTTTATGTGTGAGTTGGATTCATGAGCAGATTTGAGAAAAAACTCTTTTGTAGAGATTTTTTGTTTGACATGGTTGTTTGTTTTGCGTGTGAATATAGTTTTCTGGTGCATCTCAGTTTTTGATTCTTTTGTGAGCATTGTATCGTTTATTTGCATACTTTTAGCATTGTTGATCCGACTGGAAACTTGACATGTGAATATACTTTTTTTTTTTTTGGTTTGCTATTCGTGTATCCCCTCGTTCTGCTTGTTCCTTTTGTAGATGGTTCATACCTATGATACGCACTATCCCACATATCGTATTGATACAAGTACAACCGAACCATTTCACTTAAAGAGAAGGAAGTTTGAACCTGGGATATTTGTGATAACGTTGTCTTGTCCCATTTTTTGTCGCAAGTTGCATGTACAAAAAGACGAAATCAAAATCCCAATTCGTTTCGGTCTTTCGGATCCAAATCTGATAGAGTATTTTTCGGTATTTTTATCTGTAGGAAATAGTATACTGTGTCGAACAAAAATGTGACATGCCAGGTATCTGGGTAAATGATTTGTATCATTTGTTTTTAGTTTAACCAAATGGTTTTTCGTTCTTTTAGGTATTTGAAAATGTCTTTGTTTAATAGGTATTGACTTGTGGGTTTCAAACTATTGTTCGAGATTGGGTTATGGAGTGCTCTCTTTTTGTTGCAGTTGGTTGAACTCAATACGCAAATGGTAATGAGAAGCATAAAGTGCACTAACGAGTGCTTTTGGAGGTATGAAAGGTAAAAGGTACAAAAATTGGGTTTGATCAAAGATTTTTTGCCGGACACCAACTACACACTTTAAGTATCAAAGTTCTAAAGTATTGTAAAAATTCTTTTTTATTCAAACAATTAGAGTTATCTTTCTTATGGCTTTTTACACGCAGAATGATACCATGTCCCATCAAAACAACTTTCAATCGCATAGATGCACCAACCCACCTTCATTAACATCTAACCCAACAAACCTACAAATTGATTCCTGCAGAGAAAAACACCTAATACAAAAGGAACGGACTAGAAAAAACCACCATATTTCCAATTCTACTCTTTTTTGTTCACTCTTGTCACCAGCTGTCATGGGTTACGATATAACATTACCTAGTATCCATCTCTCATGTACAACCAGCCAGGTACATACAAACAAGAAAATACCAAACGTTTGAAAATACACACCCCAACACCCAAAAACACAAAACCAATATTCTGCCCATAGCTAATCAACTGGCCCATCAACAATGCCTCCGAACGGGCAACCACACACCCTTTAGTTTCGTACACACAATTCGCATCATTCGTCATTCTACGCTATCATTTCGCCTTTCAAGGACTCCCCATACCGGAAACCTAAAACACAAGCTACGTTTTTGTAACTATAACCTTGAGCATGAAACAAACATAATATCGGCACCTCACACGACACAAAACACTTTAAGGAAAAACTCGTATGGAATGTGTCATAAAAACCCATCTGTCGTCATTTGTTTATCATTCAGTTTCAACAACATTATCCAACAATGACTCGCTGATAATATTTCACATAATAATAACAAACAAAAAACCCATGTCCCATGTCCTACCACCTCCTAAACATAAATGATTTACTTCCACTTCCACAACCCCCCACCCCGCTCCCTCTCCCTCCTCCCCAACGTCCCCAAACCACCCGGCCCAAAGAAATCTACACGTCGCTCATGATCTTCAGATACAACACTACTCTCTCCAAATGAGAAACTCGTTGAAGAGCGGGCGTCCAATGTATCCTCCGGTGGTGGGGTATCAGGAATTATATCGAATGAAAAGGATGGGAGGAGGGTTGAATACGAGTTTGTGAGTTCAGAGGATTGCCGGGGGATTAAGTCCTTGGCTCTTGTTTTCTCAATGGAGAGAGTGAGGAGGGGTGGATCTTTTGGAAGGCTTGTGCGGATGGAGGGGGATGGTGGGGAGGGTTTGGTTGGGAGACGGGGTGGTGTGTTTTGTTTGGTAGTAGTAGGTCGAGTCGTGCGTGGTTTCGTGGAACGTGATGGGGATGTCGAGTCTTGGTCGTCTCCGTTACCAAATGATTCCCAGAACCGTCGGACAGTGGACGCGATGCCAGGGACCGCAGCAATGTCCGTGTCAGTGACGATCTGGGGGAGAGTCGATTTGGCGCGTACGCCTGGTCCTTTTGGTTTAGGTTTCGGTGGAGACGACTTGGTCTCTGCTTGTTGTTGTTGTTGTAGCGGGAACGGCAAAGGTCGTCTCGGCTCATTCTCATCTACCGCAGTGTTGCTTTCCATTTGCTGCCCGTCATCAAGCTCCTCATCCTCCTCCTCGCCAGGAACTGGAAAGTGAAAAGGAGTCGACCGATCTGATGTAGGCGTGGGGGCAACAATCTCTACAACCGGAACAGCCAAATTACTAGCATTCCCCATAACATGACTCGAATTTCCCACAATATGATTCGAATTCCCCTCGGATTCGCTCACTCGTTCCTCTGTATGCGTAACCCGCTCCTCTGGTGGAATCCAGCCCTTTAATTGAATCGCTCCAGGAGGCATGCTCGACAATTTACGGTTCCGATGCTTGTCCAAATACCAGCTTCTTCGATCTTCCACAGGCGCCGCGCCCAACTTGTTCAAAATGGGTGGTACCTCTTCAATCTGGTACGTGGATGAAGCAAGGTGGGGTGAACTTGGAGGATCGTAGCTTGCGTACCCGTACGAATACGGATCTGTCGACCATCTTGGATCCGCTGCGGTAGCATAAGGGGCTCCACCGTACACTGGGTCACCATACGGGGCTCCACCATACGTCGGGTCACCGTACATGGGATCACCGTACTCTGGTCCAGAATGGGGGTCCGGGTACATCTCGGGTCCTTGCGCATAACTAGCACCGGGTTGCACGTAATCCACGGGATAAATAACAGGAGATCCGGGATAGTACGATCCACGGGGCAATGATGCGGGGGATGCGGGATAGTACGACCCACGGGGTAATGATCCGCCGGACGGTGGAGCGTAAGGATTCAGCACAGGTGAACCCGGAAAAGACGCCTCGGGTTCGACGGGAATTTGAGGTAGAGGCTTGCGTGCTCCTGGTACGTAACTACGTCCCAGTCGCTCTTGTTCCCATTCAGAAAACCTAAAAAGTACATTCACCGTTAGATATTGCACCACAAAACATAGAGTAACAGCCAGGATATTCTATCCTCACCTTCGTAATTGCACAGACCCAATCTCGTATTCCCCTTCTCGTCCCCCGTGAGCCCGCTGCGAACCCTCCCCCTCCACTTTTCTAGTTTGGCCCCATGAAAAATCATCAAAATGCCAAAAAGCGTATACCGGCAACACAAAGTTCCAAATCGGCAATGCAAGGATATAGATCAACATCCACCCTACGTAAATAAACTTTCTGGTGGTGATTGCTATTAGGACTCCTGGTAGGGCCAACGAGAATAACAGCATGATTAGGGGGAGGGTATTGGCGTTGCCTGCTATGGCACTGAAGAGGAGAATGTAGAGGAAAACAATGGCTGCAGGGAGAACAACGGTTCCGAGGAGTTCCAACTGAGAGGAACAATGGCCGGTCAGCGTTTAGAACCAAATCAAGGAATAAACGGCCAGCACGAAAAAACTCACCGCGATCACAAACTGCATACTAAAGCAAAATATGCCACAAAGATCCCGCAACTTTACCAACTCCAACAAATTATGTATCGTCGAATTAATCCACCGTCTTCTCTGGGACAAGAGTACCTTGAACTCTTCAGGCACAACCGTATGACATATGGCTTGCGGGACAAACACCATCTTCCGCTTCGGAAACGATCGAAGCATCAAGGTCGTCAGGAACCGATCTTCACCCAACAGTAACAGATTCTTTTTATGGAGGGTATCGACAATGTTCTCCGAGTACTCTTCAACAATGTCTGGGTTGACTAGTAACGGTACAGTTGAAGGGCCTTTTTGCGCTTTAATACGATACATGCAGAAACACCCCGGAAGACACGTTACACCTCCAAAGACGGATTCAAACGCTTTCCCCAAGTGATGGGAGATGTAGTACTCGAACACTTGAATCCTCGACACCCACGACGCCCGCTTATTCGCAATGCGAGTCTCGCCACACAGCCCCATGATTCGCTCATCATTTTTCATGGCATCGACCATATGTCGGAGCGAGGTGGGGGCTACCTTGGTATCAGCGTCCACCATGAGGATGACTTCGTACCTGTCGGCAGTGACCCCACCAGTGACTTGTTGAATGCGTAGATACAGTTCATGGTCTAAAGGTGTCATCCTGTCATCAAACATGACCCGGGAGAGAAAATTCATCAGAACGAGTTGGGAGTCGCGTTTGCCGCGGTTTCCTGGTTTGGCATTCGAGGCGGTGTTTTCAGTCGGGGGACCGCACTTGACGACGACTACAATCGGGACGTATCGGCCCTCATGTGCAAAATGACCAGCATACTGCAAAAGTTTTAGGTTCCCTGCAGTCAGAAACAGCACTTTAACAACATAACGAAATCGAGCTGTACTCACCACTTTTGCCATGTTGTGCTGCTTTGCACCATCTGCGATCGCCAAATAACTTCGCGGTTCCGGCTCCGGTAACGTCGGATCTTGCATAATCATGTCAACAATAACCTCTGGCGTCGTCTTGTTCCTCGTTTTCCAGTCGTCTCCTTTGATCAGTCCATCAGCAATCACAAACAGCAGTTTATTCTCATCCGGATAGTCGGTTGCAGCTAGCGATTCCAGGGTATTACGTATCCCTTGTTCCCCTTCAGAATAGCACGTCACGAGGAGAATGGTGAACATATCCTGAGGTACAGTAGATCTCGAGATGCGCGGATGCGACCTCATAGCGCTACCATAACTCGTACGTCCAACGTGTGGCATCCCATGAAATGAATCCAAAGACCCACGCATGGTTCCGACTGCTCCTGTGCCATATGGATTCCATTGCTGTCTCATGGCTGCGGTACGATGATGGGGGGTATATTTGCTGACTCTCACTGGATTCGAAAACAAATAATGAAAGGCAATGGCCATAAAGAAGCGGCAGAGTACCACACCCAAGACGACAATTAGCATAATTATCATGATTGTCTGATAAGCGGCACACCCATTGCTCTGTCGGTCGACGAATCCCACTTGGTAACGTTGAGCGAGACATTGGATGGCACGTTTGCCTTCGTCGGTGATCGTGAAAGGATAGGTAACGTCTTTTCCTACCCCATTTTCCAGCCTCCTTCCCGACGAGGAATTATTCAAAAACGGTGTCCGTCCAAAATAGTCTGTGACATTCAAGACCCCCCCGTTATACACCACTAGTGTGTGGGGAGCAGCTTTGTTGGCTTTAACTTCATCCCATAGGAAAAATAATCGTCCTTTTGATTTGAGGCTACTTAGCGCGTTCCAATCTGGACACGCCTGACCCGGTCCAGGTTCTAACGGGGCCCCATTCACATACCGACTTGGGACAGAGCACGGTTGAGATGCCGCCCTCCCAAATCCTGCACACGCATCCGGGATGGAAACAAAGAGTTGGGTCAAGTCCATCCCATGCCAATCCGCCGACATTTCAATTCCATTCTTTTGCGCCAGGAGGTTTCGCACGTCTTGAAAGTCGTAGAGAAATCCGCGGACGATGACATCGTCACGATATGGAATACTCGTATGATCTGTTTGATTGAGGAACGCATCCGTAGCACTGGATCCGTCATCTGGGCAGAGAGCAGGCTTCAACCCTAGAGAGAAGAATCCAACAAAGAAGCATAATATGACAATTATCATGCACAGAGCGACCTTTGAACGCCGAGACTGTTTTAATGACTGTGCTCATCTCTCTTTCGCGACACATTGCGCTCACCTTTTCGCGCCAAGCCTGCTGAACGTCCCTATCCGTCATGTTTATATAGTTCAAACATCGTGGCCATATGCAGCACGTCATACATTGGGATGTGTAGGTCCACCAATTTGATTCCTCGGGAGAGGGTGGAGGGGGAGTAGTGTAAGCAGTGAGTGCCTCGGTAGATGGTAGCTGCCTTCCTATCCTGTATGTGGTAGCTCCTATGAAGGGAATGCTATCATATCAGCATTTGATCAAATACATTGCGCAGCAGCTTCCGACTATAGCGCAAGATTCAATAACAACGCACCCGCCCTCGCCGCAGGAGGAGCAGCAGTCGCCTTTCGCAAGATGGGTGCCCTCTGTGATCGCTGTCGTTCAGGTCTCACCAGCGTCTTTTGCCTTCGCACGCCCACTCCTGACGTCCCTTTACGTGTGGCATCAACACCTCGCGCAAACGTCGTGCGTCTGCGGGGTAAGGCAGACTCGACAGTAACCGGGATAGAATTCATGATGGAAACTAGTATGCAAGGTTCTTGGGTTCAGCAAATGATGGCATGGCGAGCATGAATTGGCAGGTTGATAGTTGCATGGAAAGTGCTTACGTTTTCGACAGTGCTGACATGGATATCACACACCTATCAGATCGACATGACCAATGGATAAACAAAAACACTAGTAATGACGCTAATTCAACGCTCTTCCGTCTTGCTTTTGCAATTCTAAACCGCATGCGCAATGACCCTCGCATGCCCCAAATGGACCTGTTAACCAATACAAATTTCAATGACGGATTCATTTTCTCCAAGTCCCCCTTCCTTCATTTTCGTGCACCAAAGGAGGGCCAACAGGAGCGAAATTTGGGAAAATCTTTCCTCTCAGCACACGTCATTCTTCAAAGATTTGCTTCACGTGACTATTCGGACATTCGGACATTGCTTACACTTTCAACCGAGCAACCAGCAAACTTATTATCCGTTGATCATTCATCTTTTTTTCTTCTTTGTCACAGTTTCAGTTCTGCTTTTTAATGCTCTTTCAATGGGAGACACCTTTAGCGTAATTCTTTCCAGGATGATCACACTCTCTTTTTGTTTTCGATGATGTGGCCGACAAGATGTCGTTTGCAGTGTATCGTTTCAACAGTGGGAGCCAGCCACCGACAACAAGCAGCAGAGGCAATTTCAAAAAACACATGCGCACACATGGCTGTTGATTGAACTGCATACCCAATCGTTTCATACCAACTGAGAGCAATTGAGAGTTCTCTCTAGAGATGGTTTCAATGACTTTTATGAGTAAACAACCTCCCATTGCCAAAAGGCAGTAAAAGCAAGGAGAGGGTTGTGCCTATCACCAACAATTGTGCCGAACTCGTTTGTTTATCTCCCGCGTCTTTGTTACCATAGAAACAAGTATAAACACGCAAAAATGCACACTTACGAATTGGAACACCTTTTTTTGCAGAGTGTGCTTTGGGGAAATGCATGGACAACTCGCCTTGCTTGTCGACGTGGCTTTTCCTTTTTTCCCCTCCCTCCTACTCCTACAAAGCTGCTCTCACCTTCGTAACAGCCCCCCCCCCCCCCCCACATGGCGTTTTCCTTGCACTCGTAATTTTTACTTGTCAAATTTCCTCTCTGTTTTTTTCTTTTGCGTTCAACGCCGACCCGTTCCGACTAAACCCTCGGTTCGCTCTAACCCGCCCCCCCAAGGCAGAAAAAACTATATGTCAAGCTCTCAGTCTCTGTGCACCCTGCGACATTTTTCACTGTAAAAAATAAAAAAAATGATTCAACAGGCAGAACTGTCTTCGTCGTCGTCCTCGTCGCCGTCGTCGACGTCGTCTCCTTTGTCTGAATTGCGAGACACAAACAACACAAAAGACGCTGCTGCTGGCGGTTTGCGCCACTTCGTTTTCGAAAACGACTTTGAGACACGGCATATGGCCGAGTTGGAAAGTGGAGAGAGGCCCGTCTACTCGGGTCTTGAGGCGAGCCAAGGAGACCACCAGCAGCGGTCGTCACCAAGTGCATTGGCCGGTCGACCTGGATCGTCGCTCCCCGCGCATCAATACCCTCACCTCCCCCTTCCGACGCATGCATCGTTCCAATCGCTCAGCCACCACTCGTATCAGCATGTGTCGCACGCACAGCGGCAAAGCGCATTACCTAGGATGCAGGCTGAAGAGGCCTCAGATGACAGCTCCAGCGAACAAGTCTCTGAAACTTCACCTGACGTGCATCGGTCACCGGTGACGACATCCCAACAGCCTGTGGATTTTGGTGGCAATTCAGGTCCAGGGGCGTACGCAAACAGTCCCCACCTCCCACGAGAGCTGGAGCATCAGGAACCCATGAAACAACCTTCGCTGGAATACGGTGGCGCCCAGCAGGACGAAAATCAACGCCCCGATCCCTCTTACCAACAGTCGCTGCAAGGTGCTGCTGTCAACCAAATTTCTTTTCCGGCCGGTTTCAATCCCACAGCTCGCCGGAGGTCTCTGTCGGCACCTCCAGGAGGACTAGCAATGCATCAGTTGACGGGTGAGTCCCAGCCGCCTTTCCCAGAGTTTACTGTCAATAGCATTGGGATCCCCGTCGGAATGCACCATGCTGGAGACCCAAGCCGTGGAATGCACCAAGGACGCTCGTACACGATACATCCTGGAGCACAATTCCAGCAGAACCGTGTCCAGCGTTCGGCAGCTGGCCTCTCGATTATACCGCCAATGATGGACCCTCACGGCAGCATACCTTCTCCCCCGCAAACACCCGTTATTAGTCGTTCGCCGGGTCCACAGCATGTTCGGTATCACCCTGGAATGCAGAATACGGGCCCTCTCCCGTCAGTCAACATGATCCATCCGACGCCCATGTACATGGCCCACCAGCCCAATCTGTCATATCATCACCAAATGCACCCGTCCATGGCCAACCAAATGCACCCTGTGCCATCATCATCTCAAGTGCATCCAAGAGTCCACCATCTCATTTACGACCACAGCAACGGAACAACTCACCCATCGCTCCGTTCGCCAATGGAGATGGATACGTCACCACGATATCCTACCCCGCCGCCCCGCTCTTCCTCTGCACCGGTTCTGCACGGAACGGACATGGCTGGACCATACCAACCGAACACCTATCACCAAGTAGAGAATGTACCTCACCAAGCCCAAAATCCCATGCATGGGGCTCCCGCTGCGGTCTTTGCGGATCACCCCCACCACCAAATGCAACCGCATTCTGCCTTTGCACCTACCGATCCACGATCCCCTCACCAACAGCAATCATCACCTACGACACCCAGAAGACTGTACAAATGCCCTAAGCCCTTTTGCACAAAGACTTACAAGAATGCCAACGGTTTGAAATACCACCTTGACCGCGGCATGTGTGAATATGACACTGCGTCTCCCCCTTTCCATCCACCACCTCCCCAACCACACCATCATCAACCAGTGGAAATGGATGTGGCCGCGGCTGGACACGTCAAGATTGCGCACCGACCGTATTGGTGTAAAGTCCCTGGATGTGGAAAAAAGTACAAGAATCTGAATGGGCTAAAGTATCATGCTAAGGCTGTTCATCCCGAGTTGGATTTTAGGTCTGAGGTGAAGGGTGCCTTGTTGGGAGCTTAGCGGGTTGGGTATCAACTGTTGTACTGAGAAACATTTTTTTTTTTTCGTTATCTGGAGGGCCTTTATAGGATAGTATTAGGCTAGGAGTTCCTCTACTTGGGGTGGACGGAACAGATTCTCTTTTTTTTTTTTCTTTTGATAATTACTGCTTTTTCTTAGATTACAAATGTATACTACATACAGCCCTTTTGTTTACAGCTTATACCTCTACTATAAGAAATATAGCGTATAGACTGTCGTATATCTTCTACCAACTTGAGCCGTGGTCACAACACTGAAATGGATATCTTGCATGCATGCCCAAGAGAATGCAACCTGCTATGCAATACAAACGATTGCACCAAACGCCATGGAATTCGTCTTAATCAGATATTAAATTTATTGTTTTCGGACATTGGACTCGGACTTCCGAATTCGTAAATGTGATGAGTCAGCTTCCATAGTGTTCGATCTGGCAGTGTGTCGCGGGATATAAAACGAGGTCGACGATACTTTTGAAATTTCTTTACACCCAACAAAGCAGCAAAACACATCCCTCACATCAATCATGGCATTCACAGTCACACTTGGGCCTGAACATGGCTACGTACGTCGTCCATCTACTCAGTTTCTATAATGCAGATACTCACAGATTCCCTTTCCTCCAGGTCCTCGGCGTTGCGGCTAGCACTGTCATCCTCCTACAATACCTAGGCTTCAAAGCCGGGAGCATGCGGAAAAAGGCTGGTGTGCCTTATCCCTCCCGTACGTTACCCTAATCTCATTGCAAAAAAGCAATAGTACCCAAACCTGACACCTTTCTTTTTAACAGTCTACGCCGACCGAGCCGAAGCAGAGGCCCAACCCATCAAAAAGCTATACAACTGTTACCAAAGAGCCCATCAAAACACATTAGAAAACTACCCATCCTTCCTTCTCCTCCTCGGTACAGCTGGTATCAGCTACCCCCTCTTTGCGACTGCTTGTGGTGCGACTTGGGTTATTGGACGTCTGTTGTATGCTCATGGGTATTACTCTGGGCGTCCCGAAAGGCGTCTGCAGGGTTCTATTCACATCTTGGGCTTGCTTGGTTTGTTTGGTGCGAGTGTAAAGACGATTTGGGACATTGTGGCGGTTTAGGTGGGTTCCGGCGCTTCAAGACCATGGGCCCTGCCTGAGTCTATAAACTTTAAATGTCAAGCGATTTGCTGTGCAAATAATAAATCAAAAGTTACATGGGACTGCGGTATTTGTTTTTGATTGTTTGACAAAAGTGGTTCTGGGTTCTGGTGATTGTTGTAAAGCAATTGGATACGAAGCAAATGCAGTGATGTAATTGGTTTTCGAACCGTACTTGACAAGACTAGGTACAGCGAGGTCATGAACAGTCACCATACTGCAAGTCAAGAGCCGTTTTTGATTGTGCAGCTGCAACGCTAGCTTGCCAATTCCACCATATTTTGCAACACAGCTGCAGTAACATAAATTGCAGAAGCTGACTACACACTGTGCAAGTCAAACTTGCGCATGTTCATTCCCTGACAGATCTAACACAGCGTCTTCTCCCGAAAACGGAGATATGCTGGACTGTCCTATTGAACATCTATAATCACATTTGAATAACAATCGCGAATGTAAACTTTTCCCGCGCGCTCGAACAAAATTTGAGAATATTCATATTTGTTTTGTGTGATGATTACAGTCAACTGTCCGCTATGGGACGCTCTACAAATGCCAAGAAAAAAAGGGGAAATGAGATACTTTTACTTTAACGGTAGTGGCGAACGCGAGATTCATAGTCATGCGTAGAATTCATTTGCTTGGCAAACACTGGTGAAGGGTTGGAACCGCTAGCATCGTGTGAGAGATTTTGGCTGATTTTGAGAAACATGTTCTGGACGATGAAATTTAAAACGCCCAGTTCTGTAAAAGCCTGGAAAGGTATCACCCGCGAGGAGAGCTTTAACGAACGCAAATACTGAATATGATCATTTACAATACAGAATATCCTTTACCCAAACAAAAACATGAACAAACGAAAAATGCAAAGATAAATGTTCCAAACTTTGAAAAATTATGCAACATAATATGATTTCACCATGAAACCCAAACCCTACCCTCCTTGTCTACAAAATAGGATAAACCAAAGTTGAGCTCCTCATATGTTCATCCGCCTCCTCCTCATCCATTTCCTCATGCTCATCAATCAGAATAAAATCGTCCGACTCGTCCGTTGTGAGTGGGTACATTGTCAAGACCTCGGTAGAATCGGATGGAGACTGTGTGGTGGGTGGGACGAGATCGGATGGCGATGGTGGGGTGGTTGGTGATTGGATGGAAGGTGGGAAAGGAATTGGGGAAGTTAGTATACGGTCTTCGATGATACGGGGCTCTTCGATGACTGTTTCCACGGATTCTTCATGAATAGTCGGCTGAGGTGTTGCTTCATTGCGTGCTAATTCAGGTTCGTTTGACTCCTCAACGGGTTTCTCATCGGCCGACATTCCTTCCGTCACATTCTCATTCGCAGTTTCCTCTTGTCCTGTTCCAATCGACTCTTCATCTGCGGCACACTCTCTCCGAACTTCCAGCCCGGTAAAAGGATCCTCCACCATGCTTTCCCCGACTTTAACCAAGAAAGCCCCGACACTCCTCAAAACCGTTTTGGCAGCGTTACGCACCGCATCCCTCTTCCTCTTCATCCCTTCATTTTCGCGCTGTTCACGAACGGCTTCCTGGATTCTTTGAGCAAGAATCCAGGATTGTCTGTGTAAATGGTCGATCAAAGCTTCGGCGGCGGTCGCAGTCGACGAAAGAAGTGGAGTGACTGTGGCGCGAATTGAATCGAGAGGGGTGTTACTGGCTTGCGACGTGGATGAAGATGCGCCTTGTGATTGAGATCCAGATGTCTCAGAAAACAAGTTATGCAGAGCGGATGCCACAGCAGTTTGAATGACTATCCGCCGGTATTGAAATTCGTTGACTGCCGCATCCAGACCATTGGGCATATTGGGATCCGGGCTGTTGAACAGGGAGCGGAGAGACTGGGAGATTGTTGTTTGGATGATAAGGCGATCTAATCAAACAGTGTTATAAGCGTCAACATGCGCATCATTATCATCGGGGTGTACTCACAGAAATGGAATTCGTTGACATAATCAGAGACTGTCATATTGGCTGTATCTGCATAGGTAGCGCTCTTTTCTGTACGAGATGACCGCCCAGGAGACCGATTCCCAGATGAGGTAAAGTCTGGGTGGAATGTATCAAAAAAGGGATGTGGAACTGGCTGAGGGTAGACTGGTTGTGGGGTTTCGCTCGTTGTACTGCTTTGGTTCGTTGAAGGCTCATCAACGACATCTTCTTTGGTCTGTGAATGAAATAAGAATAGGTAAAACGACCATATTAACGAATACCCTTGCATGCTCCATATTTATATCACTGACCTGATCTAGAGTTTGCACAGTCTCTTGATCTTTTCCTTGATCCCCTCCCTGATCCACACTGTCCACAGAGTGTGACGAAGCTTCCACAGGTAAAGTAACTAAGAACCAAAAAAGTTAACACTGACAGCAACAGTGCCTCAAATGTAGAGCCGGCCATACCTAGTTCAACCCTGACTCTCAAAGTACCCACATTGCTTCCCTCTCCTCCCGCAAAAAGCTTGCAAGCGTCAACAAGCTCGTCGTCAGACGACATTGTAATCCAATCACCTGTGACGTTGCGAATGTTAAGATTAAATCATGGCTTGGACAACCAGTAAGCACTCACCTTCGTCGTCAAGGTACGCTACCCGGATATCTGCATTTCCGGGCACACTGAATGCATTTTTCGCAGTTTTGACTAGTAAAACGTAGCAGCCTTTGTCACCCGCTTCAAGAGTGAATCGTCGAAAGTGGTTTGCCAGGTGTGCCTTGACGGTTACGCTTGACAGTGTACTCATTTGCAGAGTTCAATAAACGAGTTGAGTGCACTTTCGGTGTTCAAAAATGACAGTAGAAAAGAGAAACCAATGCTGATCATTGCTTGGACTGCTCCCTACAAGCATTGACTTCCGAAACGTAATCCTTGGCACGCGGCTGTGCCGGCCCGTGCCACCTGTGCCACCAAAAGGATGTTGGCAGTGACTGTGCGCATTTAATTGAATGAATCCATTGCAACCTACTTCTTGGGTGCCCATTGAGCAACGGTGGTGGAGTGGAAGATCGAGCATCACGTGAATCATGTGGTGGTCTAGCATTCTAGTCTATGCTAATACCCGCGTCCAGCACCACATGATTCACGTGATGCTCGATCTTTATCTGCACATGCTGTAACAGTATTGTGTTGTGACATTTGTCATTGCCGATACACTGCGGTAGATACAGAGAGGATAATTAAGAAATACAGTGAGAGCATTTAAAGGATATGGATATTATACATTTAATTTTTTACACAGAGGCTGTGGACAACAGCCCAGAGCATGCAAAGTCATCAACCTTCCAGCATGACAGTACAGCTGAGGTCGGTACAACAAGGCAACAGGGAGGGTCGTACCTTGATCATGTCACAAATATAATGCAGTCCGCGTGACGCTGCTTAATTACTAGTGCATAGTATCCGGACGAGTGGACAATTAAGCGAATTTCTGGTAAATGGTAGCTCTAGAAGACTGTGCCGATGGCAACTTTACTAGAGCTTCACAGTTATTGCGTTTCATAGGTTTCACTTGCATTCGACCAACTGACTGTCACTAGTAACAGTGCGGCTATAAAACCAGTACAATAAGGTGCAGCAAGAGAAGCCGGTAGCAGAACGCCTCTCATTGCGACCCGGGGACCACCGCGTGGATCACCTAATTACATTCTACAAAGAACGGCACTAGTAGAAAATGGTGCTTAAACCCGATGCATGAAATGAAGAGCGCTCTGATCGCACGGTACCGTCATGCGGTTGTCCTGTTGTCTTAAGGGGGGAAACCGCTTGCCGATTCTGTCGTCCGCGCGGAACTTACCGGTATTTTCCAAAATTCGAAAACGTACTTGATCGGCATCGGAACTTGGAATTATCGAAAAATGGGGGGGTTTTCTGACGTTTCTTTTCCTTTTTGAGAACATGGTATGACTTGTTCTTCCATGATCGCTGCTCTCATGCTGTGCACAGAGCCTCTATATCCATATATGGTAATGTGTATCAACACAAATGATATAAAATTCTATCTCCATGTGATACGGGTGAATTTTGGAACTAGATTTATTCCGTGTTCTTGGAATCAGAAAGGAGGGGTGTTATCTCTTGAAAGTGTTCTTTCCTTCCTTGTAGAAATTTACTTTGGTTTCGCAGAACTTTGAGCGCAAAATAGAAATCGCGGGTGGATAGTCGGGAATAAACTGCCCAATTTGTTTGGTTTTTCCTGTTGTTCTTGCGCTCAAGTGATCTGTTGGCGACGTTTTCTCTGTCCGCGATTACACACATAGCGTCAAATGGATAGGCAATCACAAAACAACAGAGATTGGGTGATAGGAAAGGTCACAATGGGCGGAGGAGGAAAAAATGAGCGTGTTACAATTCCCATCTCTCTGGGGGGGTTGCCTGCCGGTATTATAAAGGGCATCCGTTAGAGGTCCTCCCCTCTTGTCGTTAGTGACTATCTAGCCTCATTTCCGCCCCCGCCCAACTTTTCTAACGACCGCCAAAAGTTGTTTCCCCTATGGCCGACGACGCGGGTCTTACTCACCGGCGTTCCGGCGAGAACGTTCAAGTTACTACCGAAAGTAAAGTCGCCGACGAACCTGTCACCAAGCCACGAGATGATCCTAGTAAGCACGATCCCACCTACGTTCCTAACGAGAAGGGCGGGATTGAAAGTGGCAACATCGAGTTCGATGAAGAGGATCCGGATGATGCCATCGCCAAAGCCATCAACTCTGTGGTACCGCAAACAGACAACCCAGAAGACCCTGTTACCTCGTAAGTACTCACATTTTTACATGGCTGTTGCCGTCAGGGATTTCGGTTGTCTTTGGTACTCAAGCCTTCTACGCTTTCTTGTATAGTTTCCGCGCTGTGCTGCTTGGCACATTCTTTGGTCTGTTGCTCTGTATCGCCAACAACATCATGGCTTTCCGGCCAGTAGCCGTTATCATTCCTCCCACCATTGCCACGGTAAGGACCTAGGTCATCTAATGTCCCAGTTCCCCATCCTTTTGTTTCTCCATATCCTTACCTCATGTGTGTTTTGTCGTACCTATGCAGCTCTTGTCCTACCCCATGGGTTTATTCCTGGCTCGCACGCTCCCCACCACCAAATACAAGCTGTTTGGCCGTTACGATTTCACTTTTAACCCTGGTCCCTTCAACATGAAGGAGCACGTCATCATCACCATGATTGCCAGTGCCGCCGGCGGTGGTACAAGCGGTATCCCGTATGGAATGGACAACGTCGTCTCTCAAAAATGGATCGCGAGGCAGCCGGTTAAATACATCGACGCATTCGCCTGGGTAGTCTGCACGCAGATGATGGGTTTCGGGTTCGCTGGTCTGCTCCGTCGTTTTATCGTGTGGCCACGAGAGATGATATGGCCCGGAAATTTTGCCCAGCTCGCTCTGTTCGCCAGTTACCACAAGAAAGATGACGAGCTCCTCAAAAACACCAGCGCCGCCTCAAAGTACAAGCTGTCCCGTTACACCTTCTTCTGGATAGTCGCTGCCTGCGTCTTTGCCTACCAGTGGCTCCCGCTCTACATGTTCACCGCCCTACAATCGGTTAGTTTACTCTGCTTCTTCAGCAAGAATATGTTGGTAAAGCAGTTGGGATCGGCCAACCGAGGATTGGGTTTCTTGACTTTCACCTTTGACTGGGAATACATCACCAGTACCTGGTTGACTACTCCTTTCTGGGTCGCTGCTACAATGGTTTTGTCACAAGTATTCTGGAACTGGATTGTCACTCCTGCGGTGCACTTCTCCGGTATCCTCACCGGATCACGACAAAATGTTGTTCCTTTTGGCGCCTTACCCGGGGAATTCGAAGCCATCAACAGCTCTGGAATGTTTGACAAGGACGGCCAGCTTATTCCAAAGTCGAAACTTTACAACCCCGATTTCACGACCAACCAGACCTTTGTCGAAGCTCATGGTCCATTCCGTATTACACCGTACTTTTACATGGGCTACGTGATGAGCTTCTTCAACCTCAGCGCTGTTCTGGTCCATATTTGGCTGTGGTACGGTCCTCAAATAAAGCGCCAACTTCGCCAAATGATCAAAAGCGAAGGCCGCGAGGGCAACGATCTCCATAACCGTCTTATGCGCTCATACCCTGAGGTCCCGGAGTTGGTGTACGTCGGCATTGCGGTCCTGTTCTTTGTCGGTATGCTCTGTGTCGGACAGTTCACTGTGTTTGACATGCCTTGGTGGTCCGTGATCCTGGCCACCTTTATCACCATGATCTTCATTGTCCCTATCGGAATCGTGCAATCGGTAACTGGCATCCAGATCGGATTGAACGTTGTCACCGAGTTCATCATCGGTCTTATTCTCCCGGGCCACACCATCACTGTGATGTGCTTCAAATCATTCGGCTACAACATCATGATCCAAGCTATGCAACTGACGAGCGACTTGAAGCTGGGTCACTACCTTCACATCCCACCATGGCACATGCTGTTCACTCAGCTGTACGGCACTTTACTGCAGGGCGTCTTCGCCACGTTGATGAGTTTGTGGATTATCGACAACTGGGGTCCGGACGGAAGCGACCGCCTTGGAAAGGGTGATTGGGCTGCGCAAAGTTACAAGCTTTTCTTCAATGCGGGAGCCATTTGGGGTGTCATCGGTCCCAAGGACTTCTTCAGCGGCGCTTACTCTGGCATCTACTGGGCTTTCCTAGCTGGCGCCATCTGCCCCGTTCTGCCGTGGCTCGGTAACAAGTATTACCCATCCCGCTGGTGGATTTTCATGAACTTCCCCATCTTCTCTGCCTCCTACGGAAGTTGGGGAGCCGGTCTGCCTTCCAACTTCGTGTGGACGACCTTCATTGTCTCCTTTACATTCCAATTCTATCTGTACCGGCGCAAGTATGACTGGTGGGCAAAGTACAACTACGTTTTCGGCGCAGCGGCGGACGTTGGTATGACTGTCGCTCTTATCATTATTGCCTTCTTCTCTGCGTCTGTTGCATTCCCGATTTGGAAGGGTAACCCAGACCTCAATGCTGGCTACGACAATGACTGGTATTGTACGGATACCACGGAGTACGGTCAAACTCCACAGGAAATTATCAACCCGTAAAGGAGGAACTTTACCCCACTGCTTTTTCGGGCGCCGGGCGGGCCCGTTTAGTCTCGAGTCTAGCATTTTCCTCCATTTAATGACCTTGTCGTCTCTATGAAGTAGTGTAGCTCAATGTGCCTCAAAGTGTATATAGCGGCTTGCGTCGTGCAATATAATTGATTGCCTCACCCTACCCTAATGGTTGCGCTCTTTTGTGGATAAAATAACCATTAGCTGCATCGTCTGTATTTTTCTGGGTCTTTTGTCAAGTGCGTTGTGCGCACGCATTCCCCTAGTACAGCAATTGTAAGTACAGCCAATTCATCGATAAACGCGTTAGCAGACACCCGTATCCAGGCAACGACAGGGTTATAAAAGGGGTTCCATCTCCCTCCAAGACGCGTTTCTTCCCCCTCATCTCATCTCACCGACTGGCCTGCGCTCAACCTACCTCTACCTCAACCGCAACGAACTCAACCCTGCTCTTACCCAAGTCTCTTTCCACGTCGAGCAGTCGCTCAGAAAGTACGTCGTGCTGCGCTCCATATATACCTGTCCCGTTAACGGTTTAGTTTGGTTGACCTTTCATCTTTAGCGTACTCTCCTGTCTTGGTGTCTGACGTCGCTGTTGATGCCGACCGCGGTGTAGCTTTCCTGAGCCTTCACTGTCTTGGTGTCTGACGTCGCTGTTGATGCCGACCGCGGTGTAGCTTTCCTGAGCCTTCACTGTCTTGGTGTCGTGAATCTTCGTACCTGGCACCTCCTCAGTAAGCATCGAGACTTTTGGTAAGCCTCGCGTCCCTTGGTGTCGGATGTACTTGTTCCTCTCTCCTCTCCTCCCTTGAGTTTTTACGAGAGGGAGCGATGTGAAGGACGGGTGTCGGAAGATCTTGGGAGGGGGACCTTATCCGAACTCTCTTGCTATCTGTGCGTAAAGGGTTGTTGTGCAGCGATCTTGACGGGGTCGGTCGATGGAATTCTTATGGCGTGTTAGGGGCCGCAAGGTTTATATCCAGCGACGGAGGATCTTGACGGGGTCGGTCGATGGAATTCTTATGGCGTGTTAGGGGCCGCAAGGTTTATATCCAGCGATGGAGGATAATCATGCCGCAGTCGTCAACTTGCGCATCTCTGGACTTCAAACTCAACATCAACAAATATGGTTCCTGATTTCGTTTTCAAGGTGACTATAAACGCCATTCAACTGTCTCTCCTATCGTCAATATTTCTCTAATATTTTTATGGTAGCATTTCCACCATCTACCATCTGAAATATGGTCAAGGTCGCCACAACCCCAACACATCTACGATACAAGCCCTTTTGTTCCTCGTTTCGTTTTCAAGGTGACTATAGACGCCATTCAACTGTCTCCTATCGTCGATATTTCTCTAATATTTTTATAGTGGCGCTAACTCGGACCGAAGCACACTCTGCCATCTCAAAATGGGATCGAACTTGATCCCAGACATGTGTGACATGTCTGGCCCTGAGATGGTGGGCGCGAGCGAAGGGCTAATGCAGCTCTGTGAGTCCCAAGCCTCACGGCTCGCTGTTCTCAGCGAGTGATGCAGAGGGGCCTTTCGCATGGTTGGTGTAAGTTGCTTTGTAGCTAGGTCTAGTTGGCGTATTGAATACAAATTGGCGTATTGTATTCGTCACAGTGTTTTTTTGGGTTGAATTAGTTGGTCCGTGACAGGTCCTCACGCGCATAAGACAGACAGTATTACCAGGTTTACATGTAAAGCTCCATACGTCGAACCTCAACGAGCTCCGCAATTTTCAACAGTCTTTCAAATTTCACAATAGAAATGCACAATATATTCATGCAATGAGATTTCCTTAAAACTGTTTCCAACATGTTCATCTAATTACCTGTGCATCCACCTTCTGCGTAGCATTATCAAGGCATTGTCTTGGGATTGGAAGATTTATCAGTGTGCAACAAGCGCTTCCCTCTTTAGTGAACAAGAGATTGCGGACAAGGGATAATGTTCAAATGGAGGTGATCCAGCAACATATTTGCGAACATAGACAAAACTCCCATTATATTGACAAAAGGCTGCTCCAAACACAGTATCTGGAAATTCCCATTATATTGACAAAAATGGGAGGCCATTACAATGCACGTCCAGAAGACGGCCATCCAATCGTAGAACAAACACCGCAAAGTATGGAATGAATTTTGACATACGAACTCTTGCTCTATTGTCATGCGAAATTTCTACACAAAGCTACACACCTCGTAAGCTTTTGCTCACTCTGTCATCACTAAATAAAACAAAGAAACAAGTAATTACGAACCATTTTACCTTTAAGAAGGAGCCACACTACGTGTTTTGCCACCTCTCTGCTAGAATTCTTGGCAGCGAGATACAAAAATTTGCAGCTGGGACACCTGGCATGGCGTTCCGTCCATTGCTGTCAATAAAATCGTATCCCTAACATCAATTAATACTATAGTGTAGAGGTGACAGAAACTGGCACTAGCTACTACACCAGGGAATAAACCGGCGACAACCGGCTCGGAAAAGCTAAGCTACTACTAGGCAATTATACACGCAATACGTAACGGTTGGTTCTAACCGGATAATTGCCCACCACCACACACGGTCCCTACTAGGCCTTGATCTGGAACTCTTGATGGCATTGAAGCCAGACTCTTGCATCCAGGAGCGAATCGACTGGGCAGCGTCACAAGCCAGAGGATGTTCAGTGACAAGGCTTGGAGACTACAAAAAAATGCATGTCAGCGAGATGAATGACAGAATGACAAGAGATGCCATCAGTACATACCAACCAAGCTCAACATATGTGGCAGCATAATAACAGCTTTGTTGGTTCCGAGGCTGCGCTGGTTCCAGTTGGTTGTAATCAGGTGGGCGAGGTCCTCGGCACCACCACATCTGCATTCTCATGGTTGGACTTGAGAGTCGCGATGAGGGTTGCGCAGATGCTTTCGAGTCGAGGATGGGTAAAGAGGAAAGAGGGAAGAGGGAGCAGGTCCCCTTTTATAGACCTTCGGCATGCGCCTCACCGCAGTTTAAAAAAAAAAAACATTACATGCATGCCACACCAATCTGAGCGATAGAGGGGGTTCTGATTATGCGATATGACTAACCGGATTATCCGGATAATAATGGGTCCTAGTGCCATTTTCAATCACCTCCACACTATGTACTTGTATAACGCGATCAGAGGGCAGCAGCCAAGCCAAAACTACTGGTGCAACTCAGGACATGGCAGCCGAAAGCAGTGGCAAAGGATCTTTACCGGTAGCAAGTTGGAGAGGGACGATTGAATATGATTCATAGAATCCGCTACGGCTACGTTGTTTTGCCAGGCACCCATTCATATTCGCCAACAGCTGAACCCACCAAGCTAACTGTCAACTTGTGATGTCAAAAGCCAAAAGTGATGTCCCATCTGCATTTTTTTTGCGACTTCTTGCACCAAATTTCAATTAGGCAGGGAAAACATTTCTGTCATACGGCTCACTTGAGCCTGCGAAAGCTCTCTCTTTCCTGGGTGGAGAACGTGACCTTTTCAGCTCAGGAAGCAGATCAATTGCGCGAAAGTGCCGAAGATTTCGGGCGCCTTGCCTCTTGGACAGCGTTCTGCAAGTAGGATTGGCCAGGCTATCTTTCCGCCGTAATAAATTGATATCATCTATGCTATAGACCGATGAAATGAGATGAAAGGTGTGTCAAACTGGCACGATTCATGAGACAAGAGAGTTGAGTCCTAATGCACCTTTGTCCCTGGCAACCGACGCTGCACACGAAATGTTTTTAGCTCTCACCCGGACAAAAGTCCGCACTTATAAGGCCGTAAACACTCGCCCACTTAGCTTCCCGTGCACATTTGCAAGGTTGTAATTAATATTTTTGGTGCACCTCACAAAGCTGCTTACAAAAATAATGTATCAATTTTAGAAACTGCACCACCTCTGCTCACCACTACCTGGTGCGCGCAGTACGAAATCCAGTAAACACCCTTCCACAGTGGACCTTCCAAAGTATGACCCCTGTCATTATCCATCTATCTCGTTTCCTGCCCAGTTTTTCACGGGGCGCATTGATGGACATGTTCCGTCGAGTACTAGATACATCTTGGAGCACCCTGAGCGGAATATACAGGAAATAACTATTTGAGTGAACTGAAATAGACCAGTTGAAATAGTAATTCTAGAGATTATGATACATCTTCGTCAGTAATTATCTCGGATCTCGAGTGATTACTGCTTGCTATTTTGCCTCAGATCTTCCTGGTAGGGTACGTAGGTCAGGTAATGCTGCAATTTGCCCCGAACTCTGCTGGTCAAGTTCCCGAGTTTTACGGGCCTCGATGACTTTTTCGTATCCATATAAATAAATGCCTGGACAGATTATCAGATAGCATGCAGCGACAGACAGTATGAAGCCACCTTTCACCTGGCACAATAGACCCTGCGACAGCCATTGATCGAATCGCATATACGTACACAACGCCATTCATCCCGCCGGGAGAGCGAGCAACGATCGCCCACACCAAAATGATCAGCTGAGTGATTGCCACTAATGCAGCGGATGTAATTGTTATTTTGATGCTCTTCGTTAGCTACGAGACACACCAAGGTGATGAGAACAGACTCGGTTTCAGTCAGAGCAGTCGTCGGAACACATGTCCTACCAAGATAATCAGGTTTTGCAAATGGAGCTTATGCTGCGGCAACGATCCTCCACCTAAATATTGCGTATCGTCCAAGTTTTTCTGTAGCACCGTTCGTAGGCGTTTGCACGAAAAAACAAATAATGAGGCAAAGGCTATGACAACTCCCAGAGCTCCAGCATTGAAAATGGTATGGGTTACGAAAACCATTCTTGCATTGCCAGCATTGTAGTAAGATACATGAAAGGAAACGACGATAATGTTGAAGACGATGGAGCTGGCGAAAATGAGAAATCGTACGTATTGGAGGCTTAAAAGAAAACGGTTGACAAAGTTTTGGTCCTCCGAGTCGAAGTACTTGCAGGACCGAATCGGTACGATCCAAACATATGCAATGGACAATTGAAAAGCATTTCCGATGTTGAAGGCAAGCCACCTACACGGATCAATTTATGTGAATACTTATAACCCTAACCCTAATACTCAAAGTAGCGTAGCTTGTCCTCACCAGCATATTATACTAATGCTAGCTGGAAGCTGAAGTAGCACAGCCAGGTACGTAAGGGTGTACGCTTCATGATAGTGACCGGTGAGTTTTCTCAAGAGCAGTAACTCATCGTAGAACCGACTCACCTATGGAGATGGCAAGGCTGGTCAGCAACACCCGTGCGATATCTGTCCTAAACCAATTCCTATTTTCTCGTAAATTGAACGGGATCAGAGCAATGGCGACTACTGTTGACCCGCCGAATATGATTAGATTCACACTGTATAGGGCGACACGAGCGTAGGAATTGCCACATTCGTTGGTGATGTACCAATCATTGACGATTGAGGTGGGAGCAATATGAAAGAGATCTAGTGGTTCGCAGGACATTGTAGAGTGCGAGTCGAGAAACCAACAACCTGGACTTCACTCCCGAAATGCTGGGGTTGCCCTTTAAACGCGAGCAGAATTACATGACCCTCATTCTCCTGGGGCACATTGCCTTGGTAAATAACAAGTGCTCCACAATGTTGACAGATCGCGACGTTAAGGCGCCGGACCCAGTGATGTCTTGCTGCTAGGGAAAAGTAAAATGGGCAAAATTGCAGAATCGGAAGCTATATATCATTTGATTCGCGTGGACGATGCAGAGCATAAGTGTACGGTCAAGCGACCAAGAAGGGTCTAACCGGAAGCAGCCTAATATGAATGACAGCTCCATACGCGCCGCCTGCACAAATACTAAAAATACGCATTGGGACTTCAAGTTCAACTGCTGTTTTTAATCAACATATGTTGAGGGCCACATTCAGCCCATCTGTTTTGTTTTGTGTTGCAAAGGGCAACATTTAATATTGCTGGGCAAAATGACCAGAAACGATTCCAGAACCCGTTCCAGTCGAGGCAATGCTGCAAACACCCCCGGCGGTCATTAAGGACATACGATCACCGTTTGCTATAGCGGTTGCTTCACTTGCTGATCCCATTGAACGCTTGGTCACAGAGATCAGATCGCTTATCACTGATCCGCAATGGGATACAATAAAATATTGAATACACCATTAACCCTCACCTTCACTCAAGCCCGGTAGTTTGAATAAACAATCTTCCAACTTAGGACTGCTGGATATCGGGTATGAGTCCTCATACTCCAACTCATCTGCTTTGGGTTCGTTGCAACATTTATAGATCCCCAGCTTCAGCAACTCCTTGTGAACCTCCCACGCGGTTGGCCGATTCGAAGGGTTTGTAGACAACATCCGGACGACAATATCAGCAAGCTCCTTGATGTCAGGACGTCGCCGCTTGAGGTCTTCGATGCATCGTTGAACCTTTCTCAACGCCATGCAATATGGCTTTTTCCGCATTAAGACATGTAAACCGTGTTCAACTTGGCAACCCGCCATCATCACTAAAATCTCCGCAAAAACTGCCCCCAAGGAGAACATTTCGGCCCTTTTGGTGTGTGGACCTTTTGCGTAAGTTTCTGGTGCCATGTAGGTTTCCGTGCCGACATAACTCTCCCGTATAGCCTGGAGCGTGCATAGGCGGCCGACACCGAAATCTACAAACATGATGTCGCCACTGGGGGTAATGCAAATGTTTTCTGGTTTGATGTCGTGATGCTCTATTTGTGGTTTGACAGCGTGAAGGTTATGCAAAGTGGATGCCAAGCATACCATGAACTGGGCGCCGGTTTTTCGTAGTTCTTCCCGTGTGAAGGGGTTCGTAATGCTTTTTGGTTGATTGATCCAGTCTCGCAGAGTGTGAGAATACCACGGCTCGTAATACACATATAGCTTGCGCTTCTTTTGCGCCGATCCAAGATATTTAGGCATGTGTTTCATCCCCGACACAGCCTGAAAAAGGTTCATCTCGCTTCGGCAGTAGTTTGTGGATGTATAAGGATCCACAATGGCGCCTGCAAACCCCGCGTGCAAGGATCTTCTTGTAGCCTCATTAGACTGCCCGTCGACTACCAATTCTATCTCGGCTTGACCCCCAGAAAACATCTTCCTATCTCCTGGCCACGGAGGCACCGCATATTCTATGTCGTCTTCAATGTCTACCACGTCGAGCAATTGAGCTGGGTCAAGGTATATTCTGTTTTTCGTGCACATTCTTGTCAGGTTCTATTCTGCGCCAATTGCCAATTGTACGATTATACCCAGGTGGCCAAGCACAAGGAAAATGCAAGCGCAATGGCTTTTATATTCTGCTTGTCTTCAACGACTTTCCAATCCCAGAAATAGAGTCACTCCCCCGCCACAAAAACACCCACAAAAACACCATTTTCCAATCCATATCAACATCCACAAAAAGGATCAGTGAAATGAAAGCTAAACTACACGTGTCACTGGGCAGCTTGCAAGCAAAATGATATTCACTTAATCTTGTTTTTCCAGCAAGTAGGGTTACAAGGAACTGAGCTCATTAGAAAACGCTATACGACCATATCTAACCCATTCGAAAGTCACAATTCTGCATATAGTCCCGCTTTGGCGGCCCTGCACTCCACCAGAATGATCTATAATTGGTAAATGAGTCGGCACTATGTTCAAGGATACTGCCCAAGCATCCAAAACGATCCTTCCCATGATATATCTGATCAGCAAGTGTACTCTGATTTGAGCCATTGAAACTGCTACTTTCACATTGCGACATCTTCCCTGAAGGAGATTCCAGAGCGGCCTGGACTCAATTTGGATTATCTCGCATATTCAGCGGCTACATAACCCAGTGTGAACTCACAGTGTAGCCATGTCATTGCTAGTTTTATCCCAGGCCACTATGTAGTTTTCATCTTTTGCATTTGGATCACTTCGTCATTCTAAGGAAGGACAATGGATGATAAGCTCGCTAGCACCGCCGCACAACCAAATCAATGTCGGCCGGACGATACAGAAGTTAGAAAAGCCCTCTGATCCTACGACCCAGCCGTGCTGGTTGGAAATCAGTGCTAAGCCACAATTAGCAAACCAGCATGAACTGAGTCAACCCAGCATGCCAGTCCAAAATCCATTCCTACCACTCCTTGAGGATGGCCAACGTTCCGTAGTGAATGCAATGTTAGTCCACCCCAGTCAGTGAATCTGCATTGTCGCTTCCCTGTTGATGCACACCGCGTTTCTCAGCATCACATCTTTATACGATTGGACATTAGCAGAGATCACCGTCCACTACGCGCGGGTTCAACGGTACTATGTCGGTACGAATTCATTACTTTATTTTAGGCCCAAGAGATGAACAGCTGTCAGATCTTCTCCCCATTTATTTATTTTCTCTGGTACACTTATTGCAGGTTCTCGGCAGAAATAATGTTGCAGTGGATTCTTGGCAGTCATCACCGCTCGTGGACTTAGATCAGGATGGAGGACATCAAAGGTACGTTATATGGCACGCTGCAGTATTCTCCAAGTTTTGCGAATTCTGGTGATCTTAGACAATCGCTTGTCGTAGAGAGACGGAGAGGAATTCCTGGATTGACGAACCAGGGGATGATCTTGACGATGACACCCGTCCGCGGACTTTTGAACCATTTGAAACTATGTCTGATAGCGATGAACGTGCCCGCACTGAGACACCGCCGCTGCAAGCCTCCCGGGAAGTAACTCTTCCGTTGTCGGAGGGCAGTCGCTCTCCTTCTTGTGAACTCGGATATGCAAACGACCGCGTAGTTGTTGCCAGCCCGGCTCTTTCTACTTCGCTTGAGACTCCTGCCAATCAGACCGGGCTGTTCTACGATCCACGATTATTGCGTCATACAAACCTCTTCCCTGACGAAGATGAGGAGTATTGTGAGGTTCCAGAAAGGGTAGAGAAAGCGTATGAAGAACTCAAGCGTCGGGGCCTAGCATCGCGGTGCATCAGGCTAAGTGGTATTGCGGCGACCTACGAGCAACTTCGGCTAGTCCATACAGAGGAACACATTCAAGAAATTTCGTCTACCAGAGGTACCATGCGCGGCTCGTCACGATCTTTTTGCGATTGATTGATGTTGTATTCATGATCGGATCTAGATATGGAAATGGACCAGCTCAAGCTCATGTCCAAAGAGCGCTACAATGATGTGTATTTTTCGGATGCAACGGCTGACGCAGCTAGCTTATCATGCGGGGGTGCAATTGCGGTGGCGGAGGCAGTATGGTTAGGGCATGTTGAAAACGCCATAGCGTTGATTCGGTAAGGACTGCGGTACTGTCCCCTATGGACCAATAGGTATTGACCTTTGTCTGGACCGTATAGGCCTCCTGGACATCACGCAGAAGCCACGAAGGTGAAGCTGCTACTTTTTTTCTATATTACATGCGCACCACTCACAATTGACATTTGTAGGCATTGTGAGTAGAATGCTCATACGGCCTGAAGCTGTGCATTGGTTGTTCTTCCTGCTGACGATCGCTATCCAGGGGCTTCTGCATCTACAGCAATGTTGCGGTCGCCGCCCGTGTTTTGCAGCAGCAACATGGAGTGCAACGGATTCTTATCGTTGATTGGGACGTCCATCACGGTATGTAGAAAGCAGTAAATCATCTCAACTGATCTCTTCGTAACACATTTGATATCAGGAAATGGAACTCAGAGAGCTTTCTGGAACGATCCCAATGTCCTGTTCATAAGCATACATAGATATGAGGAAGGGGCGTTCTTTCCACATCTGTCCATTGCAAGTGCCGACCATATCGGCGGTAAACGGGCAAGGGGAAGGTTTGTATTGAGCCTTCACTATTCTCATCACCTTGCACTTCTCATATCCGTCACAGGAATATCAATGTCCCGTGGCCTTGCGCGGGTCTTAATGACATAGATTATTTGCATGCTTTTCATCGAGTCGTTTTGCCCATCGCCTATGAGTTTAATCCGGAAATCGTGATCGGTATGTTTCCTAAGAATGGGATCTTCCACGATCTCCCTCTGAGCGACTGTACTAGTTTCAGCCGGCTTTGATGCAGCGATTGGTGACCCTCTCGGTCTGTGTCGAGTTTCTCCGGCGGGATATTCTCAGATGACTCATTTGCTGAAGGGTCTCGCTGGAGGAAAATTAGTGGTTTGCTTGGAGGTATGGTGAAGAAGTAAGCTTTGAAGAAGATTCGTTTGACTTACAAGGTTGCTGGCAGGGAGGGTACAACCTGAACGCAGTTTCGTCATCCGTTGCCGCAGTGACATCGGTTCTTCTTGGGGACCCCCCGCCCCCAATAGACATGACGCTGGGTCCAAGTCCAGCGTGTATTGAAACTGTACAAACGGTCATCGAGTGTCAATCACCGTACTGGAAATGTCTTGTCCCCACCTTTGTCCGCTCAGAGCCAGGTATGCTTGAGGTCGCTGCACGCGGGATACCTTCAGGCTTACCCTGACGCTTCAGGTCCAGAGAATTTGCATGAGCTCATCGTTCCATTACACGGTGCGTATAGTACTTTGCTAAGTTTTTGGAAACTAGCGTAACCTCATTACGTTTTTTCTTTTTTCTTAAGACGTCCTGTCGGGGTACAGGACCTATATGCTTTCTCAAACTTTTCACCTTAGACGAATTGATGTCGAAGACCGAGATTTGGCCGATCGTTTCATAGGACAGATTCACGTCAGGTAATGGCACGGAACATACTGTGTTTGGCTGCTATCTGGCTCTGAAGTATGACTGTGCAGCAAAAATGTTGAATCCCACCGGGGTTTTCTTTTTATTTTCGTACACTCGAGGTGAGATGAGAGCAAAACGGCTAAATGTAAGGCAAACCACTGATGGGCCTTTTGCAGCTGGGACGAAGTGCGGTAAGCCCCTAAAGCCTTGACATTCCGGGACAACCCATCTCAACGGTTATGGAACGTGCCATACGGTAGAGGTCGATTAGATGCACACAGCAACACCTTGAGGATCGGCAAGACCTCTGTGGTAAGACACATAGTTATCCGTCGCGAGACATCTGGTCACTAAACTCATGGCATTTTGCGTGAAGCATGATGCGTCGACGCGGTACATACGTGACATATGTCGTAATGGGCACGCTTTGATTGACATTGACATCAATGCTACGTCGAATGAGGTGTGTGCATGGGACCGTTGTCAAATAGCCACAGAGGGACCCATTTTAAGTGAATTAATGCTGCAGTACGATACCGCCCAGGTCACCAAAGAAGTAACAAAGTATGCATGGGACAACATTGGACGGTAAGTATCTAAAGTCATTGCGTCTGGTCTCGCGTGGAGTCTATGATCGTTAAGTTCTACACTGACACATAGGCATACGAACGCAAGCCGTATATTACTGATTGGTGTCGAGATGGGCGCCCGAGGTCTAGCAAACCTTATATCAGTGCGACGTAGGTGTAGGACGTCCGCTACCATGACGTACGCCATCCGAACTGATTAACTCCGGTCCACTGTCCATTGCAACAGCGGAACTCCGAAGCAGAACCGAGTGCGTAGTAATGATGGTATCTGAGAAGCTTCCTGCGGTTTACGAGTCGATACAGGATTGGTATTTTAATGTATGTCACCATTCCCCTAACGGACTGGCTAGTACTGTTACCGACGCTAATGGCACTTCGCAACTTTATGGTAGGTTTCGCGGGTTTACACATGGTCCGATCTGCCGCGCGGTACCTCAATAAGTACGGTTGCCAAATACGGTTCTTCCTACTCAGCTGGACACAGTACGTTTGAGCGAATGTGAGCTTTTTGTACCCCTTGATTCCGCTGATTCCTATTCACTTGAAGAACCTCCAAACGCCACGATATCCACGCTGATGAATCACCTGGAATTAAGGGTTTTCCGTTTTCTCGCCCGGCGAATGGGAGAAGCATACTTGGCACAACTTGCCAAAAAGTCCCAGGCCGTCGCCATACCGGTGGGACGATCACCACGGATGAATCGCATCCATGTTGAGGTAGAGCCCAAATTAAGGAATGGCCGCTTGACATCGCCCGTCAGCGTCACAGGGTCTTCTGAGCACCATGATGATCGTTTCCCGGACATGTTAGAGTGGCCAGAGTCGGCAAACCTGGATGCGACTGCAGTGCCTGGCACGTTACCAGACCATACACAGGACAGATGGAATCTACTGCACCCACCAGAAGAGCCGTTGTCTCCCACTGCCCGCAGTTCGCAGGCCACAATGCTCTTTCGACCGTCACCTGGGGCGGATGAAGTGTTGTCGGACGATGTGCATCAGGAGAGGGAAATGTCGGTGGACATTATAAATGGCCTCAGTGACTTCCGAGAGCCACCGCCCGCTTCACCTGTTGTTGAGGAGGTATCAAGGGAAAGGCGAGCACGACGGCCCAAGCGCCGGATACAATCTCTCCCACAGGCCGAGGAATCCGCAGATGACCTCCAAGATCCAACACCTAGTTTAGTTATAGTAGAGGCGCCGCTACCTATTGAGCGGAGAGTACGACAGCCCAAGCGAAGGATACAATCCCTCCCAAACGCCGAGGAATCTGAAGATGACCTCCGAGACCCACAACCTAGTTTAGCTATCGTAGAGGAACCATCTAGTAAAAGGAGCGTACAACGGCCCAAACGCCCAATACATGCCTCCCCAGAGGTCGAGGAATCTGAAGATGAACTCATCCGGCCAGAACCGCCGATACCACGAAAGCGACAAGCACGGAAAATTACTCGAGGGGTGGGAATGTCTAATGCGGTGATGGAGCGTTTCTTGAACATTAGCAGATGATTATCGATAGAATTCAAATCTTTTATTTTATTTTTTTTTTTTTTTTTGCAAAATTGGAGTACGTGTATTCTTTATGAGGTTCAAGCGGGCCAATAATGAATGGAATGAAAGATATTTATTGACAACATGCTCGTGTACACTTTTTATTTATCACTTAAAAATGTGGCAGATGAATGGTGCTCTTCTTTCATTACCCGGGCTTCCTGATCGGCACTGGGTCAATAGCGATGTTACATATCATGATAGCCATCAACTGGGGTCAAAATGGTTCTTGGTTGTCGCACTTGCACCTGTCGAGGTTATGGCCCTGTCATTGAAAGCGGTGCACACAACATTTTGTGCTTGTTGCGTTGCGTTGCTTTGTGATATCCAATTGCACGCTGAGCGGCGTCTCTGGCATCAACGCTATCGCATGAAGATCGCCGCATGAATTCTCGCCTTATTGGTCATGGAGAATACGCTCATAATATCGCGGACACGAGCCGTACCCAAGCGTGTCACCATAATTTTCGATGCGTTCAGGTTGATTGCGACTCGAGATTAAAATACATTTGATATAACCAGTTTAAAGCAAGATCAACTTTTAGATGATCAAAATGCGTTTGAGCCTCGAGTCGCAAGACAAACTGAGCGCCGACAACGGCTCGTATCTGAACCTACTCTACTCTCCAAGACCAATAAGATGAGAATCATGGGTTGCGTTGCGGACAGCACAAGCAACATTTTAGGTTTAAACGTTGCAAGCAGTAGCGATATGCAAGGGCTAATGAGCTGTGCGGCGTCTCAGTGCACTTCCCATTTCGATCACCTTTCAAAGTAAGAAGCTGAGCAACCCCGCTTACAGGATCTTAACCCCTGGCCCACACCACAAGCCAGGGTTGGCGTAACGGGTTACGACAAAAGCCACTCAATTGTTTGCTGTTCTGCGCCCGGCCTTTTACAGTAGCCCAAACAGCCATCTCTTTTACGAGACCACAAGGTGTGGACAGTACGACGACAAGCCACTGCACACCTCACACCTCCTTTTGCAACACTTGAGCGTCACAGTCTTTGCAAACATTTGGGACCTTTGAATGATACCAACCACTACTTTAGGGGGGCGATCCGATGATCATTCACTCGCATGGCACCTGACCGCGTCTTGCTGAGTCATCATCCCCTTTAGACTGTTCAGAAACCCTCTTTTTCACACTTTAGTCCTTACAATAAACAATTAATATTTTGGGCACATGAGCAACCGTTTGTCTACCACTAGAGTGTCAACGAATCTTCCGTATGGCGTTGGCAACATGACTCACTAGAGCCCAACTTGAAAGAAGGGCTGTTTATAAAGGGGGGTTAAAGCAGTTCTTGATTATTGAATTTCTTTTCCTCTGCTTTGTTTCTTGCTTTTTTGCGATTTGAAGGATATATGTTTTCTCTGCAAATTCCTACTTTTGTTCACTTTCCACAAAGGTAAATGGCTCAATGGCCCTTATGTTTGTACTATTGTCAAATGCTCAATATGGTATGCGCAGATGGACGGTATCATGGTGGGCGCGGTAAATGCTTGTAAAGGAGACGCCAAAGGCGGAGACGACTCGGTCGACATGGTTCGCGACGTCTCCGCCATCTGCATTACCAAGCAAGTCGGATGTGGTCAATTGAGTCTTGGATGGAAGAGTACGGAGGAGGATGAAGGCTATGGTTCGTGGGAGGACCAATCGCCGATCTGGGGTTTAAAGAGGTGAGTTTGGCAAAAGTGCTATAGAGCAAAACTGGGTTTTGTCAACCACATCTTTGACAAAACCTATATCATTCCAACAGAATTGAGCCAGTTACATTTAACTTCACCCAGGACGAGTCTACCCCTGCCACGATACCTATCAGGCGACCTTCCTTTTGCGTTCGCTCCAACCAGGCTTCTCAACTATTACCGGAACTGCTCACTATCATCCTCTCCATAGTCAAAGATGAAACGGACGAATTGGCTCTCGATCATGCCGCGACGCCCATATGGCCTTTATGCAACCGTCGAACAACTCGGCAGAAAACACTTGCATCCTGCGCTCTAGTCAACCGATACTGGAACGCCGTGACGACACCCGTACTATACAGCTCGCCAGATATTCCGACTGAATCCATTCTTTACAAGTTTATACGCACATGCACGTATCACATTTACACTCCGCACATGTCTCCTACAATGCACACAAAGAGCTTAAACCTTCTCCGTCTCCGCCTTCATGAACCGACACACACTCAAGTTCTGTTGACTCTGGCAAAAACATGCTCAAACGTTCACACCTTGAAAGTCTGGTGCGAAAGGCTTGATATCAAGACGCTGACCATCCTCTTGGAATCAAGTCCTCGTGTCCGGACGCTCATTCTTCAGGGCCACATTGGCTCATATCCAGCCGAAGATCCGCAGGCTCTTCAAGACAGCATTCGGAAACTCCACACAATCCACATCGATGTGGGCTTTGATGGAGATGCAGGGAGGACACGGTTGGCAGGTTTGGTTTCCAGATGCTCAGGCCCGCAAACGAGTTACCTGCGTCTATCGGGTGGAGATACAGAGGAGCACATTGCAAGTATTCTCGAAACCAGTGGGCGATCACTTAGAACAATGTTATATCCTTGGTCAAACCTTTCACCTGCTTCCCTTCTGCACATCGCCCAAAACGCCCCCAATTTGCGCACATTGGACTTGCGTGGTTGCCTTCACGCCGTCACAGCCTGTACCATCCGCACCCTCCTTCAAAACAGTCCGCATCTACACTCGCTAGACCTTTCTTTCACATCCGGAGGCGAACCAGTCATGGAAGTTTTAACTGCATCGCAAAACCTGCATACATTGATCCTATCTGGTTACAAGCAAACGTCAGAACGAACACTCGCGAATTTGTTGATGCATTTACCCAAACTCAAAACCCTCTCTCTTGCATGGCTTGGAACTGCAGTAACGGACGAGGTTTTGGAGATTTTGACCAAACGACATGACGCGCGATTAGAAAAACTGGATCTCCGGGGTTGTCCCTGTGTTTCCGAGCAAGGGCTCACAGCTTTGGTGGAGGGGTGCACGGCCTTACGGGTTTTAAAGATTGAAGCGCATGCGAGGTGGGGTGAAGGAGGTGAGGATGATGTCGTGCACGACGAGCATGACGGCTTCATGAACGGAAGACGGAGACCTTCTGCAGAGTTTCTGCAGGAGCTTAGGGCTGGGTTTTCAAGTACAGAGTTAGTTAGGTTAGAAGTTGAAGAAGGGTTTTGAACCAAGGAAACCAGTGGTCTTCACTGTCGATGATTTCCGTGAATTTTGTTGCTACATGGGGTTGCTAAATCTCTGGCATGCGTTGTTCAACTTTTTGTATATACTGTTTTAGGTGATTCAAATATAGAAAACCACGTAGGATTATCACCAGATGTGCATTGGGTAATGTTGGGTAATATAAGGACTTATCCAAAGCAACACTTCATGCAAAGGAAAATATTTATTCATCCGAATATATTACAAAACGGGAGAACCTTGCCAGCAAACGAAAAACATTTTCAAAAGACGAGAGTGGGAAAAAAGACCCCAAGCTCTGCAAACACTCCCTCTAAATAGAACCACCCCTCTCCAAAACTACCAACATTCCGCGCATCACGCCATAGAGCAAAGCAACCAGAAACAGTGACATGCTTACGAGTAGAGATCATCATCGGCAGTTACGTCTTCCGCAAATGCGCCTTCATTCCCGCCGGTTGCCCCACTTCCAGACTCAGGGAACTTGAAAGATCCCCCAAATCCAAGTCGCTGCTGCAAGTTTTGAGCAAACATCTCATATTTGCGAATGTCATTATCAGACACTGATCGGCGGGCAAACTTCATTGCTTCCTCAAAGTGAGCACGAGTGATTTCGGGCACTGGGTCTTCATCGTCATCCATGAGCTCCTCACCGCGAGATTGAGCATCCTTTCGTGCACGTTCGCGGTTAATTTCCTTTTCGATGGACTCCCTGATAGCCAGCTTGCAGGCACGCTGGCAAATCTCAGTAAGATCAGCTCCAGAGAATCCGTTCGACATTTTTGCCATGTAGTCGAGGTCGACAGTCTTTGAAACGGGCGACTTGCGAAGCGTTGCGCCCAGGATCGACCTACGTGATTTCTCGTCCGGGAGGGGGATGTAGATGAGCTGATCCAAACGACCAGGACGGAGCAATGCGGGATCAATCTGGTCGGGACGGTTGGTAGCACCGATGACAAAGACGTTCTTCTTTGCGTTCATACCGTCCATTTCAGTCAAAATCTGGTTCAACACACGGTCACCCGCACCACCTGCATCACCAGCCCCTGATCCACGAGCCTTGGCAATAGAGTCCAACTCGTCAAAGAACATGACACAAGGTGCTGCTGCACGTGCCTTGTCGAAAACATCACGTACGTTCGCCTCAGACTCTCCGAACCACATAGTGAGCAACTCAGGTCCCTTGATACTGATAAAGTTGGCTTGACATTCATTCGCAATAGCCTTGGCAAGGAGTGTTTTTCCACAACCAGGGGGCCCGTAGAACAAGACACCTTTGCTGGGGTTCATACCAAACTTCAAAAACTTTTCGGGGTGTTCCACGGGGTACTGGACAGTCTCTTGCAACTCCTGCTTGACCTTTTCCAACCCACCGATATCGTCCCACGTTGTAGTGGGCACTTCGACAATGGTTTCTCGCAGAGCAGATGGGTTGGAGATACCAAGAGCGTACTTGAAAAAGTAATCAATGACGTTAGAAACCTGTTTAGATTACCTTGAGATTGATGTGTACCAAAACTTACTCTGAAGTTTTCCATGGATACCGCAAGGCTGTCTAGAACTTCAGCGTCAATAGTTTCCTCCTCCAAGTCAATCAAATCCATCTTTTCACGGATCTGTTGCATTGCAGCCTCTGAGCAGAGGGAGGCCATATCAGCACCGACGAAACCGTGAGTCTCGGCCGCAATTTGCTCCAAATCTACATCATCGGCCAGTTTCATGTTCTTTGTGTGAATACGAAGGATCTCCAATCGTCCAGTGGGATCAGGAATGCCAATGTCAATCTCACGATCGAAACGTCCAAAACGACGCAAGGCAGGGTCAATACTGTTTGGACGGTTAGTTGCCGCAATGACAACCACGTTGGAGCGTGCCTTCAATCCATCCATGAGAGTCAAAAGTTGGGACACAACACGACGCTCGACTTCACCGTTGGTCTAGAGGAAAAGTCAACATCAAAATCTCGATGGAGGATATGGAGCGAACAAAATATGCATACCTTTTCACGCTTGGGCGCAATAGCATCAATTTCATCAATGAAGATGATGGACGGGCTGTTCTTTTCGGCTTCCTCAAAAGCTTTTCGGAGGTTACTCTCGGATTCACCAGCCATCTTGGACATGATTTCCGGGCCGTTGATGAGGAAGAAGAAAGCACCGGTTTCGTTGGCAACTGCACGAGCAATCAGAGTTTTACCGGTACCCGGGGGACCAAACATGAGGATACCCCTGGGAGGTTTGATACCGATACTTTTGAACAACTGGGGATGGCGAAGTGGGAGTTCGACCAGTTCACGAATCTGTGCAAGCTGCCTTCGCACACCACCAATATCATCGTAGCCCACTTCGTTCAAGTTTTGCTCCTCCTCCTCCCGTTTGATGGGGTCGCCTTCGCAGTGAATGATCGTGTCTTGTGCGACCTGCAGACATGAATGAGTTCAATAACACTGCTATAATGAGATACGCGCTAGGCGACAATAAACTTACGATACAATAAGGTGCTGGATCGCACTCTACAACTTTGAACTCTACAGCCCTCATGGCTCCACGAACGACAAACAAGTCGCCTTTTCGTACTGGTCGGTAGGCCTCCAAAAAGTACGGTTTCAAGTAAATGTCGAAAAGGTTTCCGGTAATGCCCTCAATGGTGTCATCAATGGGAAGAACGTGGATACGCTTTCCGTACTTGATTTCCGAACAAGAATGTACCGAGACAACATCACCAAGACGCACACGAAGGTTGTTACGTACAACCTTGTTGATACGGATCTTTGAAGGCTCGACATTGTCATCCGCCAAAACAATGAGAACAGTGTCCTTGCGCTTCTTGCCCTTGAGAAGAACAGTGTCTCCGCGGAAGAGGTTCAACTGTTCCATGGTGGCGGTGTTGAGGGTGCAGACTGAGTTGTCATCGTTGGTGGCATCATCCACGATGAGCTTGTTTGGTGACGCCTTCTTCTTCAAAATGGCGAGAGCCGTATCGTCACTGGAATCGCCAGTGGTAAGGTCGGACGGGTTCACGTCGCTGTCATGAGGAAACAGAAACGTTTAATACGTGAAAAAGACAAGTTGATGCTGCGCGATCCAGCCATCACAGAGATGGCGGAATCATCTTTTGGCTACCCAGCAACGAGCAACAGCAAAAGCGTCACAACTATGCGCAACAAAGAAACCAGCAGCGGTATTGTGCCGATATCAAAGCGTGGGATGGGGCCATTCCACATGATGCGAGTCGTGTCTACTTACGGTAGTTTTCCCTTTCCAGACATTTTTGGATGGGTGTGGTTAAAAAGTGTTGTTGAGGACGGTGTAGTTGTGATAAGAGTATGTGGGTAAGTGGGAAACGATGGAAAAAGGCAGATGAATGGGACCGATGAAAGATGTCGAAAAATCTGGCGTGGGAAAGACTGCTACTGCTGCGTAAGTCCACTATATAAAGGGGGCGAGGTTGATGACTGCGAAATGAACCGCGTCAAAAACTGTGGGAAAGGTCGTAATTTGTAAGTCCACTTTTGGAAGGCCATAGACACGCGTTCAAATAACAAAAAACTGCCCAAGCTGCAAAAGAGTAAACTGTTTGCAGTCAAACTGCCATCATCTTATTATTGAAATACAAAGTATTAGTTATGAAATCATGTCAAGACCTTTTTGCAGTTGCTTGGGTTTGGTTTGCAGTCAGATCGGCTTGGGCTGTTTGACCCACGGTATCTTGTGCGTGAGTCACTGGCGCATGGTCTTTTACCGGCCATGCACTTTGGGTAAGAGAGTGAGCCCGATTGGATAAGTTTGCCTTGGGCACCTTCAAATTCAGATCTGAACCTCCATCGTCGGCTGCCAATGGGCAGGCATCTCAAGTTCATACCGGTTGCTATTCCAAGCAGAATCGGCTGCCAATGGGCAGGCATCTCAAGTTCATGCCAGCTCCTATCCCAAGCAGAAACCACTACTGATGTTTAAGCCATCTTGATGAACTTCACTCACTCTTCCAAGAAAACTGAGAATGATCACACAGTGCGTGAAGCACACCTCAAAGCGGTCAAAAGCACCACTCTGCATGTACTAGTGTCAAAGGATCACTTTGAATGATAAAAAACAAGAAAAAAGAGCCGAACAACCGTCGGCTACACCCCAAAGCGGTCAAAAGCACCACTCTGCATGTACTACAACTCCTTTGAATATATGATGGGACAAATAACCGGTACACAGCAGAAACATAGCAGCGCATGCGTTAAACCAGGTTTGATGGCATGGCCATACCGCCTTAGCAATTGCTATGAAATAGCGCGTTGAATGAATGGAAGAAATTACAAGTACATTCCATGGTGCCCCATAACATACTCGATAGGAGTTGTAGTGTCAAAGGATCACTTTGAATGATAAAAATCACGCGCCATCTTGATGAATTTCACTCACTCTTTCAAGAAAACTGAGAATGATCACACGGTGCGTGAACCACAAAGCGGTGAAAGTCTGTGCATGTATAAAACCAGTGCAAATAATCGCAGTTATTTTTGGTGGTCTATTAGCAGTGTAAGTCCATATTTGCAATCAGGTCTGCGGACCTGGGTCCGCGACTCATAGGAGACGCGTCGGACCTGATTGGGGGTAAGTGCATGTATAAAACCAGCGCCTTCAAAAAAGAGGTTTTCACTCTGCGCGAGCGTCTGTATGCATGTATATAAAACCAGCGCCTTCAAAAAAGAGGTTTTCACTCTGCGCGAGCGTCTGTATGCATGTATAAAACCAGCACCTTCAAATGATCATACAGTGCGTGAACCACAAAGCGGTGAAAGTCTGTGCATGTATAAAACCATCAAAAAAGATGTTTTCCCTCTGCGCGAGCGTCGGCTACAGGATTCGAACCTGTGCTCCCAGAAGGAAATGGCTTAGCAGGCCACCGCGTTAACCACTCCGCCAAACCGACGTTTTACTTTCCAAGGAAGTGATAGATGTACATCCAAATAGATAAGGTGTCTTGGAAAAACTTTACTTTCCAAGGGAGTGATCGCTGGGCAATGTGCTTGGAGGACGAATGATGGAATTCATAATGGTGAATGGCATTTCTACATACTTAGTAACACAGAAAATAATGGCTCCAGCAACTAAACTAAACCTAAAAATTTTGACATACTATATACATGACTGATGTACTACTCTTTAATGGGCGGCTTCACAGTCAACCTTTGGAACTGGGTCTCTTTCCTCTGGACCCGCTTGCTGCTTGTGTTGGGACATAGATACCGAATGTTGGCAATAATGTGGCGTGATGCACCAGCCAATTCCTCGGGTAAGAGCCAATTTTTCCAAGCCTTATGATAGGGATGATTGGGATATTTGTCCAAAAACATTGAAAAAGAAGGGATCATGGATTGTTGGTTGGGAAAGATGATGGGATCAGCCAGCGAGAAGGTGCCTCCATTGGGATGGGTTTCCTTTAGCCACTGTTGAAGCAACCACAATCCGTCGTTTGCTTGAACCGGACCAAAAGCAGCCATGGTCTTTTTGCTAGTCTGCTGTTTGAATGGTGGACGTCCTGAAGTCATTTTCTCGGCTTCCAGTGGTTCACTTAGAGCTGTCTCCATTCCCCTTGCCAGAGCTTCTGATATAGATTGAGCCAAGCTTGGGCGACGAGCTGGAACGGAAACGGAAACGGGGACAGGTCCTTCAGCGGCGGCCTCGATTGTCAGAGCTGGAATGGGTGCAGTTCCTTGGATAATGGCCCTTTCTGATGCCCACAAAGCCTGAAGCAAACGGTGAGATTTGTGGAGGATAAAGTCCTGTTGACGCACCAGTGCACCCGGGCCAATGTCTCTCCCATTCTCGTCATAAAGTCCAATGCCATCAGCAAGAAATTGGACAAATCGCTTGTCGCCGTCCTGGATCGGCACGGCTCGTTTGGGTCCTCTGACAATAAGCGTAACATTTCGGTCGGTTTGAAGTGCCTCCAAAAGTTCGGCAGGCGCAATCCAGCGCAGCACCATGTCTCCATTTGCCCATATTTTGATCTCCCGACCCTGTAAAACGGATGTGTGTGCAAATAACGGATCGCTGGCTGTTTTTCGCAAGACTCGCTCACGCTGTTTCTCGCTCGAGTAAAAGTCGGCTGGGAGAAATTGTTTTAGGTGAGCTCCTTTTGCTAGCAGTGCCTTTCGCATTCGAGTTGGGTCATCCATCCAAGAGTCGTCAGTGGCTTCCGCTGGTCGAAACATGCGTATGGAATTGCGAATACGCTGTGCTTTGGGCATCGCTTGCGCAAGGGAGCTCATCGCAAATGACATGTTTTCGGGCAACGTCATGGCCCACTGGAACCAGCGATCTTTATCTTCTTTGTAATCAGTGACATGTAAAAAAGTATCCGGCATGTGGAGTTTGTACAAACGGTTGACTTGAGCTTTTCGCTCATCCGAGTTGGGTGCACCTCGGGCTCTCTCTCCTCGAAGGATTCTCGCTACCGCCTTTTCAGACATGACCTTGCGAACCTCCTCATCCAGTGGTTGAACCGTACGTCGCCGGCGTTGTCGGACATCCTCCCAATGGGCCTTTAGAGCCGTTTTTGCTTGTTTTAGACGTTCATACAAGGCGACCACAGCGGGATCCATGAACATGGGATCATGTTCGCTGCATTCCGTATAGAGCCGTTTCACGAGGGTAGTGCGATCTGGTCCTTTTCCCTTGGCGGCGCCCTTGCCGGCCCTCAGCAGTTTCATGGCACGGTGGGCAACATAAAAGGTGAGGTACCACGTCAGGTCGATGACAGCCCTTAGTTCAACAGGTTGGGCGCCGTATTTGTCAAAACCGGGATCCAAGTGCGGAATAACAATAGTCCATTCGGTCACCTCTGATTCTACAGACGAGAGCCAGTCACGATCTTCAAAATGCCGCAGGGACAAGACGCCTACGCTATCCAAAAAGTTATCCTGTGAAAGCCCGTATGGGTGATAGAAATTTGCGTGTGCACTTGAAGTAACCAAATGCGAAAATGTAACTGTAATGATGGGACGGACAATGCGAAGAAATGCCGACAGATAATCAAGTGCGGACGTCACGTCTTCATGTCCCATCCATGGGAATAAGTTGATAAAAGGGAATGCCAACTTGTCAAGGGTTGACCACGATGATGCATCCCGTTCGTACGCTTGAAGGCGCGCGAGAAAATCTTTGGTAAGGTACCCTGCTCGTGAATTTCCTGAAAGAAAAGTGTGAGAACCAATATATTCTTCAAATGTAACGTCCTTGCCAATCAGCAGCAAGATGACATTATCGTTGATCATCTGAGGCAAGAGTTGGTGCCGTCGTTTCGTGTTGTATTTTTGGGTCAGTGGATGCAGTCCAGTCTTGGTCTCGATCGGGTGTTCTTCAGCATAACATTTGGTTTCCTCTATCCACTGGTCAATAGCCTTCAGCATGTCATCGTGGGTGCTCGTGCACGCATTGCGGAAGCGACGGATAAAGTCGGTATTCAATTCTTTGAACAGATGGTAGTCATCAATGCTTGGAATGTAGGACTGATAAAAGCCGCCGTGCTGACGATTCAAAAGCTTTTCTCGGTCAAAAAACGCAATAATCGCCCTCTCACGGTCATCCCTGATCGTTGCTTCGGCTATCTCACCAAGTCTACCCTCTACAAACTCAAAAGTCTTACCACTTGCATACGAGTCTGGGGCGATTTCTTGCAGTGCTTCCAAAAAATCGTGCAAAAGACCCGACTCCCTTTGCTTCAAATCAGTGGTATATCGCTTGTGCGGTGTAGCGGGGCCCCGGCATTTACCAACGTATCGGATAAAGCATGTTTCGGCTATTTGAATTGCATATAGCCATTGCCATGCCTCACGGGGCTCTATCCCTTCCTCTTCCCAGCTTGCAAGAAGTCTTGCCAGATCGGTTGCGTGGATTGCCCAGCTTCGAACATAAAAGTATTCCACATCCGGCTCAGCGACAAAGTCACCGGTAGACTCTACTAACCCCAGAGCTTTAACCATATCTGCATCCGAGACAAGGACATTGTTCTGCATTAATGCCAGCACCCTTTGCGTCAATCGTTGAGACTCTGCCGGATTCGTAGCTGCATGAATGGCCGGACCCACAAGGAACCGAGTCAATCCCGCCGAGAGGTCTGCAGTGGACTGGTGCGCTGCTTGCAAGCGTCTGACAATAGTGGAATGCACATTTTGCTAATGGTATGATAAAGTATGTAAAGGTGAGCATTTAGACAACAGGTAACTCGACCGATTTTGAATAACCTCAAGTGCATTGGTGGCCATGGGCGTGACGGGGTACTGTACACTGCCCTGTGAAAAGACTTCTCGCTCGGCAATCACATAAGGTTTGCGAAGGGATTCTTGTGCAGAATGGCAACGAATCATCTTTGACAAAGAAGGACTGCGGTTAAATTGCAGCTACAATGAGGAAAAGGTTGCTCAGTCAGACTTTGCTTCGTGGGAAGCATGGTAGAGCCTGGGAAACAAAGCCCAAATGGCATTGGTGACGCATGAAGCATGGTGATCTGTATGTAGAGATTGACATTATTTCTCACGGGTCTCGGTTTGAGCATCTAACGTTTCACCTATAATCCATCTTATATGCGTGGTGAAATAATGACAAAATATGCATTTTTACTTTCCAAGGGAGTGATCGCTGGGCAATGTGCTTGGAGGACGAATCGATTGAACTGCAGTGTAGATTGCCTTGTAGAAACACCTATTACCCATACACACATAGATGCCTTGCAGATATATACAGTAGATTGCCTTGCCAACACCTATTACCCATCCACACAAGAGTGAAAATACATAGATTTGACTTGCAGATACTTTCCAACACCTATTACCCCTTTCTAATACCATTTGCCCATTCATACAAGAACGGAACTACAGGATTGTTGTCTTTGCAGATTACAGGGGCAGACACTTTTTGAACATTGAACACTCAAACCTTGTAAAAATTTCCATGCGGCAACCCCTCTACACCAAGCGATGGCCAACATCACCGTTTTCCTAGCCAGTTTCACAATGGGCAGGGCAAGCCAAGTGCATGGATAATCAGTGGCTAATAAGTGCTTTTTTCATCTCGCCACTTTTGAGGTTTTTGTGTATTGTGCAAGTGAACTGTAAACGATTCCAACCCATTCATCGATAATGAAAGCATGACCGAAAAGACTCTGCTGAAACGACTGAAAGTGCATTTTACTCAAAATGTAATAAGGCACATGTATTAGCGTTTCAACAAAATGGGGTTTTGAAGATCCTTTCTACACAAGAATCTAAATATGTAAGAGTTATACTTGGTGGCAACGGTAACTATCCGCAGGTAAATACCACACGCTCTACTGAGCAACCCTACCCATCAATCTACACCTCTATTTTCATCACCTCGTCCTCAGGTACACTATCATCATGCGTATCCGTCAACTCTTCCAAAGTCTTTCCCTTGGGTTCAGGCAACAAAAATGTTGTAAAGAATCCGGAAGCCATGACTGCCGCAAACACCGCCAAGACAATCTTGGGATGATCAAAAAAGAAGGGTCCGACGGCTTGGATGCCGACGATGGCACCGCATTTACCGGCTGCAGAGGAGAGTCCGTGAGCTCGGGAACGGAAGCGGGTTGGAAAGATTTCGGCGGGGTAGATAAAGGTCGTCTCGTTCGGCCCAAAGTTGAAAAAGAATTGGGCGATGGTATACAGGGTCAAGAAAATGGCTTTTGAGGAACTTGTGTAGTGTCCGTCATCTCCCTTTTTCAAAATCTGGTCCCAAGCACCAGCAAGAATGGCTAGGATGATGGTAATGACACTAAAGCCCACATATTGGATCGGCTTGCGGCCCAATTTTTCAATCAAGGCCACTGTAACCCAGTACCCAGGAACAGTACCCATACAAGCCACAATAATGTTTCCTACTGCTTTGGCCCAGAAGGAATCGTACTGGTCGCCTCCATGACCAGAGTAGTCGATGAGCTCGAGGACGACGGGGAGGTTGAGGGAAAGACCGTACCAAGCAATATCAAGGGCAAACCAGCAGTACGCAGTTGCGAAAAGCAGTTTTGCGTTTTTCGGTTGGCTAAAGTATTGCTGGAAATTAACTTTACGCTCCGTGGGGACAGGTTCTACAGGTTGGAGAGGTTGGTTGACCGTAATGTCGTCGCCCTTGCCGGTTTGGGCTTCTGGGTGGGTCAGCTTTTGAATGTCCCGCTGCGCGGCTTCGTGATCACCCTTGACGTGCGCACTGAACCGAGGTGTTTCTGGCATGGTGAGACGGAAATAAACTGTGGCGACACACGGAACGATACCGAATCCAAGCATGATACGCCACACATAGTCAAGGTACAGTGGGTCCTCCCGGATCAAGTTCTGGAAGGCCGCCAAAGCAATCAGCGTCACCAATCCCCCGACAAGAATACCGATTCCTTGCATGGCGAACACGGCAGCGATCATCATGCCTCGGTACCGAACTTGAGCGAATTCAGATGTGATGGTGGCCGACATGGGATAATCTCCACCAATACCGATCCCCAAAACGAACCGCCACAATCCGAGCATGGTTAGCACGCCCATGCCACGAACGGTGGAACAAGCGAGAGTGGATCCGAGAATCGCGACCATCATGATGATGATTTCCACACCGTAAACCTTTTTACGGCCAAGTTTGTCACCGAGGTAACCAAAGCTAAGCTGTCCAACGAGGTTTCCCCAGTTTGTAGATGCCTTGAGAAGAGCATCAATGTGTGGGTGGTCCGCCCCAAAGCTGGAACCTTTAAGTTTGTTTCCATCCGCAGGTGGATAGTACACGCTGAAACATTCAAAAGTTAGCATCTTAAAGTTAGAACGATTACTACAACCAAAACTAGAAAAACGTACCGATAGATCATTGGTAGCGCCAACCCAATCACGAAGATATCGTACGCATCACCAAAAAACCCTGCCCCCGCGACAAGAATAGACCGGATGTGAAACCATCCCAGACGGGCTTCATCAAGATGTGCGAACGTCGCCGCGCGCGTCGTGGACATATTGGTAGTTGAGCGAGTGCAGTTGGATGCTGAAAACGAGTGAAGAGAAGAAATACGGATCAGTGATCTATAAGAATGTTCCGCATTTTATACAGAACATGGTAATGTTCCTTTTTTTTTTTCAGAACAAGTTCCGCCCAGAGTCATCATTCCATAATCCCCATCATGTCCCCGCGCTTTCAAACTCCGCCCATCTCATTACTCCCATCTGTACCACTTGCTCACATAAACAGAATCGATAGCCATACCTCTGGAAGCTGGTCGGTCCAATCACTCTATCCCAACGCTCAACGTGCTCGTCTAAAACTCTGGAAAGGGGGGGGGGGGGGGACTTTAAAGGCTTCCGATTTTTATTCCCTTTGGGTCGGCTCAATTTTTTTTTGCAAAACGTGTGAAATCTGCATTACCATATTTGGGTATATTACGCAAGAGTTTGGTTGTTTGAACGATGAGTCAGCAATGTGGGGTTTTGAGCCACCCGCCTCAAGTGGCAACTCACGCCGTACGGATTGGTGCGTCAATTCAAGGATCTCACTCGGTTAATCTCTTTGGTGATTGTAGAAGACATCCCATGGAAGGCCATGGCTGATTATCTGATAATCCTTAAGGGCTATCGCTTAACAATACTTGTTTTACCATAGTATGTGTCTTGTTGCGCAGCATGTTTAACTGTGGGGTAGCTTTCTGAAGGGAACCATGTGCGCGGAGGTGTTCAACGGAAAAAAGAGAGACGACATACGCCACTTTCTACTGTATTAGAAGTAGTGGATGTGAACTACGAGGACGACGGGACCATGTCGATAATGTACAGCACCGGTGGTAAACGGTATTATTCCGCAAGAGGTCCTCGGCCGAGCTCAGTTACTGCATAACATCCCACGCGCTGAAGGAGCATAGGGATCATATCATCGAGCAACTGCAAATATCTCTCAACAGAATGAAGCTTGGGTTAACCAACCCTATGTTACAACACTGTTTCATTCCAGCACATGTCGCGGTTGTTCCCCATGAAATAAACAATACATCGGGGGACAATATCTACCCGCGGGGATGCTACCGAATCAAGGTTCGCATGATTCCTTCCTGCTTCGAGACCGGCCACGGGTCAAAGATAGCAACAAGTTACCTGCTCTGCGGAAACGATAAAAATGAATGGCATCTTTTCTACGAGCATGGTCCCGATAATTTCTCTGCCCAGCATCCCGAGGAGTCGATGAGAGCCATTCCGCCTTCAATGCGTCTCCCATCTCGTCCGTCAACTGGTCCAACGCGTCCATATATTCCGCAACATCGAACATTCTGCGACATACTATATGGAAGTAGATGGAACGTGGTACAAGGTGGAGTGGAGCACATAGAGAGCGACTTAACGACGACGAAAGTTTCGCCCGAAGACATCCCCGGCAGTTTGCGAACTGCGAACGTTATCGATAGTTAGCGTGAATGATACTGCATCTTAATGAGCGTTTGATAAGGTGCTGCGAGGTAATGGAGAGTAGGGAGGTCGGGATTAAGGACATCTGACCAAATGGCTCAATCACAAATCGATAATGACACTGATACACAATCCCACGAATATCACTTTGTCACCTTCATAATCCCCAACACCCACGCCCCAGAACAAACCCCATTAGAAACATTTAAAACCCCAAAACAAACACTCGAAAAACTCGCCGGATTCGAGAATGTCGATCGTCTGGTTCCTTCTTCGTTCTCTCCATTTACCACTAAGCCAATGTCAGTTATCATATGATCTATGATAGGCAGCCATACCAGGATGGTCAAGATGGTCTCATGGAACGCAGACCACTTTTAACAAATGCCTCAATTCAAAGTCGGGTCTCGGTTCCTGCTCTCCAAGATGTTCATAGCATGTGATGGTCCCAACCGAGAATGTGATCCTTCTCAAATGTATTACATTGTGATTGGCGATGCAGCATTTTGCACTTTGGGCGACCAGTCCCAGACCCAGTCCTGATGGCATTTGTCCTGACTGCGCCATACCCCGCTTACGAGAGGTGGTGACTACGGCGGAGTCACATACTGGAGAGTTATCCCCAAGAGAACTAACTATCCACCTTTATTTTGTCGTTCATCGATTCTGCAGGCGAGCGGAGAGCTTTTCCAGTTTACAAAGTTGCCATCATTCCAGAACGATGACCTTTCATCCTCCCCTCCCCCAATCTGAGAACGACTTTATGGCTCTGCTTGAGTCCCGTTCTTACTCAGCACGCGGGCAACTTACCGCAAGGCTTGCCCATGTCTACAGAGACGACGATGCTCTGTCTACACTAATTAAGCTGTTGCTGACTACAAAGCCCGTGGTTTATTCCATTCCGATAGTTCAACCGACAGAAGCCAACAGTGACCTAGAGGCTGACGGCGGCATCCCCGTACCCAACATGGTATATAGAAATTTGATTGTCCCTCAGACAGACGCGGCCGCCAAGTATTTTCAGCGCGAAGCAGCTCTGGCTATGGCCACAATTGCAGGGAATCAGATGGATCTGTTACTCGAGGTTTGTGACGCGGATAGGATGTCTGCCTTTGCGTCTGATTGAAATTGGAGTAACATATGCTACGTAACCTTCACAGAACCTCGTTGATCCTTCGACAATCGGAAAACCTCGAGTCATCACATACTGTGCTCGCAAAGCATCAGATACGCAGCTGACTGCAGTTTATGCGAAATGTGTTCCCGCAGTACAGAAGCCTCTAATTGAAGCCCTTAGGAAATCCTCCCGTCCTGATCTAGTCAACAAGCTGCTTGGCGAGAACCCCGCTTTCGAAATAAAGGAGCCAATTGTTCCAGTTTGTGTGCGGTTGGAGCGTGATTTAAAAGCGTCAAACGAATGGGATCGGGCCAAAGTTTGGATGTCATATCAGTACGTGCTGAATTTTATGGTGTTACATTTTTGGAGTTTCTTACGACTCAGCTTTTCTAGGTCAGCCTTTGCTAGTGTAAAGGGTAGACATCAGGTGCAGCATCAACATGACCCGGTATTTACTTTGAACGGGCCTCTGTCTGATACCCTCCTTCGCTTGCAAGAAGAATACCCGCCTCTATTCTTTGGTGGCGTCCATGACCCAACTTCGCGCTTTCCCATGTTGGCTTACATCTTGAAAAGACTTTTCGTTCCGCTACTTCTTGCGGACCCACCTCGGATAATGAAGATCCTGCAAAACACGTCGTGGGCCGTAGAGGGCAGTGGAGAACAAAGTAGATACATTCTTCAGGATACCTTCAAACTACTCACGAGTAGCAAGCAGGTTCAAAAGTTTTGGAGGAATCAACCCGATCAGACAGGGCTAGTTGGCGACTTGGTGGAAAGTTTGATGAGCGTGGGCAATGGAGCTCTGCTGAAAGCCGGACTTCTACCAGCAGAACAACTCTTCATCTGTCGCGCACCTGTGCTGGTAGGTTTACCAATTGTCATTAGGAGTGAGTTTCACCCATTAGTTACAATTCTATCCCGTAGATGCGGCTGATCCGCGCAGCGATCAACTTCCTTCCAGAGTCTCAATCAAAATCCATTCCCGCTTCATCGAAGAAAGAAGTGCATAACATTTTCCGTTTCGCAGTCGGGGGGCTCAATATTCTCGGCAATCGCCTCATTACGACCTCCACCCGTCGCGACAGAGTGTCAGCTACTGATATGTTTCACCAGATGTACTCAACTCTTCTAACAGCTATTGTCAAACGAGCTATGGCAGTTTTACCATTGCTATGCACCAACGACTATGGGTTCCACAAGCTCCTCTATAAAAGCATTTTTCTGCTTATCGACATCAATGCTTTAGATGCCTATCCTCCGTTGGCAGAAGAACTGTTTAGCCTAGTTCAGAGCATCTTCTGGCCATCAGGTACCGGTGTTCAGCCGTGGGTAGCGTGTATTGGATCTTTGGTCGTTCGCCTTCTTGCGCCAACTTCGCCAAGCATCTTTGACTTTCCCAACGACGACGTAGACTCACCCTTCTCATCTGTGCCGCCGTTCTCAAACCAAACTGCCTTCAATGCTCTACTAAAATATTACCCACCCAATATTAATATAAGAGCAATGGAATATTGGACGAATATAGCCCAAGGAAAGATCGCAACCCCTTCGAAGTGGGAGATTTCGTTTCGTTTTGCACAGCCATCTCTTACGAAAGAAAAGCGAGTTTTCTTGACGAATAGACAGAGGGAAGAATTGTTCTTTCTTATCCGAGACAAAATCAACCTTTCAATGTTCAAAAGCGAGCCCGGAATCATCCTTGCCGCATTGGATGTGCTGGCACCGACACCGGAGCTGCGGCATGAAGTCGCCTGGAGAATGTATAATCATGAAGATGCAACGGACGCTGATCGTCAAATGATTGGTCAGTATCTCGATGTTGAACGCTGGGATGTTCGCGAGGAGTTTCAGAAAGCGGCGAAAAAAGCGGTATTCGAAGATCGGCTGAACGTGTACAAGGTCTTGTTGAATGCCGCCCGTAAGCGGCGAAGCGTAAGGGCGTGGATTGAGGCGCTGAAGTTTATGGTGCCAAGGTCGGTATTCGGCTGAGCTGTAGAGTGGCAACTTGTTACATTACTGATAAATCTTTCGAACAGAATGACCAACGAGATTCATCCAAACCTGCTCATGTTGGTACCGCATCTGAATTGGGAGGGATGGAGTGGAACAGTGCCAAAACAATGTCTTGATGATGCTATGGAGGATGAGGCCAAGGAACTGGCTGCGCTATATTTGAAGTTGGATGCACAGGTAATTAAACCAACAAAGCAGTTTGGAGAGCATTTAGCTCACTTCTAGTCGTCTACAGAACTTCTCAGCGGTAACAATCGTCTGGCCGCTCGCGGGATTCATATCTAACATTGCCAATGAAGCTATTGCAAGATTCATTTCAACTCCGTTACACCCTCTTTTTTGCTTTGGTGTGGAAATCGCTTGGAGGCGCGTACTGCACACGGCTGGTGAGGGCCAGGCGATCCATCAGTTCAATATTCCCCTTGTCGAGCCCAAATATTATTGTGGCGCTCTCTCCGAACGAAGTGAAAATTGCGAATTTTTACGGCGAAAAGCGGTACGCTTGAGCAGGACCGTTGGCGAGGATTTAGGAACAGGAAAGCAGAGGTATAGGTGGGGCCTCGCCTCCATACGGTATGGAAAAGAAGAAGAGTTCGTCACAGCTGTGATTGGGTTATATAGAGATAGGTTTAAGGTGAACGACGCCGCGAATTGCGAGAGAAGTCTTTTGTTTAGACAGGTTTGTTTGGACGCTGCCAAGGCGCTTGGGGTTCGTTGGGTACTATCTCGTACACTCCTGTCATACGCGGATTCGCTTTTGGAAGAACTGCAGTCTGCTCCTCGTGTTTTAGTGGGTGGAGGGGAAACAGTGCTCGATTGGTCTGCTACTTGGATTACCAGAAACAAGGAGGACACGCCCCACTGGAGAGATCCCCGTGAACTCATCATGACTCTGTCTTCCCTCTTTGATCAACCCTGGATACGAAAAAATCGCGTTATGCTGCCATGGTATAATACCTTCCGTACTCTGCGCCTCGAATCTACTTACGCCGTGGAGGAAGTCAACGCCCTTTTCAATGAATGTCAATCGTTGGAAGGAAAAGTGGACTTTAAGCGAACAGACGCATTAGTCGTCGCGCTCGTGGCAATCTCCCCATCGGCAATTGCTTTGGAACAGGTTCAAACGCACCTATGTGACTTCCGTCAAGATTTGCTCAAAGAGGCGTATCTGACAGGACGGGAACATTTTTCGGGTGTCTTTAATCAGATGCGGAACTCAACAGGTGCGACTGCTCCGGTCCCACTCAATCCGGCATTTCCTTCTCGTCTTTTCCCGCGTCAGTGTCGACTTCTTGCTCAGAGATATCTTTCTATTACAAAGGATTCCTCTCTGCCCATTAGCCAACGCATTGATTCTGCAGAGAAGTACGCGCAGCTTCCTGTTACGAATCTATCGCATCTTGCAGATCTTCTTGCCACCCCCCGTCTTCCCTCTCGCGTCGCTGAAGCGATTTTAATGTTCCTTCCACGGATGGTAGAGCCGGCCTGCGGTATTCAGCTACTGTTGGCGCCGGGGTACCTGTCCTCTGATCTGGCTCGCACGTCAGTTCATGCTGCCAAACAGTCCCTGAATTTTGTACCCATCGAAAAGGTATCAGATTATATTGTGCCACTATTTCCCCACCCGCCCTCGAAACAGCAGCGAGTGACAGTTCAAAAAGAGCTGGTACGACTGGCTTCGGAGTACATTCGAAATTCGGAATGCAGAGCACTGCTCATGAATTTATGGCAAAGAGATTCACTACACATTGATGTACGGATGGTAGTGTTACAAGTTGCTATTCGGATTATTAGCACTGGTGGTTGGGAGGTCATGGATCCGCAAGTAAACAATATGGCTTGGACCATCGTGGCAGATGCCGCAGCAGATGCAAAGCATAGAGCCACCGGAGCGGCAATACCTTTGCTGGCGGCAATTCCGTGCGGAGCTCAATTTATGGACAGTGGGATTCTCCGCAAAGGATGGGTTCATAGCTCAACACTCTCAAATATTGCCTTTATTCAGATTGAGAAAGGCCAGCAATCACGGTATCTTGACATTGCTCTTCGGCCTTTGTGTTCCCAAATTGAGATCGATGAAAAAGACCCTGGACGGGAGAATGCACGGTTGGTAAAACACTTAGCGTATCAAACGATTAATTCTTCGTGGATAACACCGCAGAATGCCCATTCATTGGCGACTGAATGGAGATCGGCCGCAACAAGGATCATGTTGGATGATTCAATGTTAGGACTATGGCAGACGTTGATGACTGGTCTTGGCGAGTGTGCCGCAAGGGACAGCTCTCCGACCGGGCCATGGCGTGAGCTGATAGCTATTGTTGATATGCTAGCTGAGGTACTGGCGGATGCCGGTGAAAGCAGACATCGACGAAAGTTGGCGCGAACAAGAATCCAGCAGCTTTGCCTGGAATCAGAATATCTATTTTTGAGAATCTCGGATTGGTGCGATGCAACAAATCGAGTAGAACTTGTCCGACCTTTGAAAGATCACAATCTGCAGGACTTCTTCTGGCGTACGATACTTGATCGGGAGTTTGCATTATTTCAGCCAACATTGGACATACCTCAGTCCGAAATCAAGCCTCAAATATTGGAAATACTAGAGCATCTCGTTGTGTATGCCAACATGTATGCCGAGGATCCGTCATATGCTGTGGAGAGAGTGTTGAGACTTGTAACCGCTATGCCTACCATCGCAACGAAGCAGGCCGTTCTTGAGATAGTGCTCCAAGGGGAAGGGGAGGTGGGCCAATTCGTGTTTCTTGATTCCATTCAGCTAGCATGTCTGGGAATGGGTGGTCTTCCAGCGTTGTGGGACAACGAGTCTAGTGGAGACCATCTTCGGGGTCTTGCCACAAGATTTGTAGAGCGCATTAGCTCAAATGACCGTGAAACACAAGTGTTCTACAGGAGAGAGTGGAAAGGAATCGCAACGATAATTGAGGCTATTATGCAATCTCATACGATGGAGTCTCATAAGGGTCTTCTGGATGTGTCAAACCTTCGTCGAGGACCTAACCTCCTCATGCCTTTATTTATACGAGCAAAGGCAGCTGGATGGGAAGGACCTGACGCCGACATCTTGCTGCACATTGTCATGGCGAATCCAGACATTACTTTTGCACGTCTGCCGTCAGAAATCTGTGGTTTTCTACACACGCAATATGTGCGAGGGCGAATCGATCTACAGGAAGCAAAGACTATTATGTCGCGGTTGGTCTTGTATGTGCATCGCGCGGCGATATTGTTTGCCTGCAAAACAAGTGCAGAAGTCTTCAAAGTTGTGGAACATGATTTGTCCCCGGCGGCAGTGATCGTAATTGAGGCCATTCTGAATGGGCGGTTACATAGCGTCAACTTAACACCGCTCGTCCTGCAGCATGACATTCCGTTCAGTATTGTCGCTGGCGTCACATTTCGCTTTATCAGCGATGTGGGTGCGGATGGAGGTGATATTGAGGGCCGAGATGGGAAGGATACAACCAAGAAAATGCATCACAGATGGCAGGGGCTTTTGGAAAACTGGGGAGGGTACCTCAAAAGTATGGTCCAAGGTGCGTGCGTCTTTTCTTCTCTTTTGAATGGTCTATAACTCGCGCCACAGCTTTAACTTGCGTGCTTACATCTCTCTACAGCGACGGAAACAGATGCTCGTATGACTCCAGCAATACAACGCATGTATAGCGAATTGGGCAACGAGCTGTTGAGTTCATATCCGCGCTTTACTGTCCTTAATCCAGAGGCGTACATTCGCCACATGCGAACTTGCCTTGCCGCTCCACACTCAACCCTCAGCCCCGTTCAAATAGCGACTCAAATTATCTCCGCCCTCGATCCTGTTCAAGAATCCGAATCGCCGAACAGATGGCAATGGGCACCACCTCTCCTGCTAGGTCTAGACTATGTGCAGCGGTTCCTGGATGATATTCGAGATGATGTTAATATAGAGGGAGAGAGAGAAGGGAGGCTTGTGGACATGATTGCAGCCAGGGTGCTGCTTGGGTGGTCATCCATAATTAGCACAGCACTGGGAAAAGCCATGCTGGAGGCTGAGGGTCAAGAAAGAGTTAAGCGGAAGTATTTAGAGATTTTGGATAGAGTAGATGCTGGAGCTGGGAGAGCCATTGCGATGGAGATTGCTCCTATTATTTGAAAGCCGAGTTGCCCTATTGACTTACTGTCAATATTAGTAGAGTGCGGCGCGCAAAAGGAATTGATTACGATAGGCGGATAGTGTAAATAAGAACGTTACATGGTAAATATAGCGGCATCTGCTATGGGTGTAGAGTGATAATAATGCACGTCAAGACGATATCCAACTTTTTCAAAAAGACCATGAGATGGACGGGTGATTGGCAGAGGATTGATTGCGCAGCCGATGTTTTGTAGAGGGAAATCCTGAAATGACGGACAATTATATCAAGCAACCTTAGCACACCTTCTTTCGGTTAAAGCTAATAAGTGGGCAACAGTCTGATGCCTGTTGCGTCGTCTTGCCTCACAATGCGAGCCACAGTGTTCCTTTGCTTGCTCGCATGCGGTAAAAGCAGCTGTACTGCCGAGCCCTTAATATATGCAGTCAATCTCAATCACTGGTGGGAAAACGTAAGAGCAAGGGACGTCTCACTCTGCAGCCAACCGCAAGTCATTGGGTTGTAACATGAAGCACTCACTCTGTCCGAATCGATGTCACAAAGATCGCAGCAAAACCTATCAGGATTGTGAACCGTGTTAGCGTTAGTATTGGATCATTGATGTGGATGCGTACATGAGATCTTTGTAGCAAACAAGGTCGGCGGTTCGGTTGATTACGGTAACAATCGCATAATAGAAGCCCCAACCGTTTCGTGTTAAAAGCACCGGTGCTGAACCTGCACACATAAGACAAAAGAGCTGATGTGACGCACAAGTGTCGTTTGGGTGTCCAGATCCCGAGTTTCTTTTTTATGTTCCGAGGTAATTCGTTGGGGAACGGTTGACCGTTCCTAACGGTGACGACAATCGAATGGATATCTCCTACTTATCGGAATTCAACCATGAGGAAACCGAAGGTCAAGAGAGAAATAATTCTTAGAGGAACATGGACATTCTAATAAATTGGTCTATTTGTTACCAGCAGAATTAGCGGGCGCTTCTAGCAAATGTGAAAATACAAATCTCTCCATTATGAAATGTGAACATGAACTATGTACACGCACCTATATATTCCCAACCCAACCTAAGACCTACCTACAAGGGCTACTTGAGCTATGCTAGCTGCATCAACCACTATCAGACTACATTCCCATATCCAATGTTAGCCACGTGACCATCCTTACTGACCACGAAGCTTACGAGCAGCGCGATCATTAGGCTGGGCATCGCCGAATCCGCATCCACCGTCACGTTCCTGAGCAACGATCGCTCCAGCACACTTTCCAGTTCTGAATCCACAGCACCCAGAAGCGCAGTCAGCATCGCTCGCACAAGGACCAGTGATGAATTGTGTTCCCTGGCCATTGCCTTTGTTTTTGGCGCCGGGGGCGGCGGGTGCCGCTGCCGGGGCGGCCTGCTTTTTGGCTGCTGGGGCGGCGGGCGCTTGACCACGGAAAACACGAGCGGCACGGTCGTTAGGTTGGGCATCACCGAATCCACAACCTCCGTCACGTTCTTGGGCTATGACTGGGCCGGCACATTTGCCAGAGTTAAAGCCACAGCAGTCAGAGGCACAGTCAGCATCGCTCGAGCAAGGACCGGTGATGAATTGTGTTCCCTTGCCATTGCCTTTGCCGTTCGCGCCGGGGGCGGCGGGTGCCGCTGCCGGGGCGGCCTGCTTGTTGTCTGCTGGGGGCGGCGGGCGCTTGACCACGTAAAACACGAGCGGCACGACGTTAGGCTGGGCATCACCGAATCCACACTCGTCACGTTCTTGGCTATGACTGGCCGGCACATTTGCCA